CAAAGTCCAGTCCTACATCTGTTTGAGAATATGTGCCAATCAGGGGCATTGCTTGGCACAAAAATTTACTGGGGCACTGGCCCCCTACCGCATATGCCCCTCCTGTCATACACAAATACAGACAAGCACACTGCCCCACACTGATAAATTCCTACCAAAATTACTAGTTGAGATATTAATGAGTGTAAGAGCATATTTGTTTTAACAAACATGAACATTTTCAACCTTGCAGCTATACAAAATAAGACATTACCAACTTTAAAAATAAAAAGTTTCCTTATACACATTCTGAAGTAATCATTAATTCCTAGGTTTCAGAGTTTTAGTTCAGGGGAAAGTTTAACTCAACCCGAACTAAGTTTTCCTTTTATCTTTTGAGCATTAAAGTGTACCTCCTATTTTTCATTTTTGCAAGTCGGTCAATCACTAGACTGTGACTCAGCTTAGAAGTTCTTCCTTTTTAACTGATAAAATAGCAAGATGATGGAGCCTGTCTTGTCCCATTGTGCACCTCGGCCAAGTGTGGAGCCTTCTCAACACACTGAATGACCTTTCACAACTCCATCTGTAGACTGGGATTGTGAGGGAGATCTGGATGACCTGCGTTAGTGTTGGGAATATGATGTTATCAAGCAAGTTGAAAACACACTGCATATCCTTGATGACAAGGCTTTCTTTTTCAACCATAAAAAGCTTTCAAACCATTTTGAATTAAATGAAAGTTTGTTTTTACTCCAAATTTGTGCTGGGGATAGTGGGACAACTTCACTTGTTTAGGACCATCATGCTTTCCCCCTAAGTCACTAATGTCCCCTTCTTGTTTGTGGAAGCTGGTTGTTGCTCCCTCATCACCTTCATGGTCCTGTCTCTCCTGTCCTTCACCTGTCTTTTGCCTGTCAGTCTCGCCTCCTCTTCCCTTTCCTACTCCAGCACCTTCATTCTCATTCTCTACAGCAAACATTAAAAAACGTAAATTTATAATTATGTAAATATCTATCATATTGCTTATAATGTTCCTAATGTAACTGGTGAGCTTAAACCACTAATTCATTACGGGACCTCACCTCCCTCTCTCTCATCTTGTTTTACTGCTTCCCTGTCTCTGCTTCGTGTGAGGAATTTCCTGATATCCATCTACAAACCAATGCAGTCATTTTCAGTTAGTAGCCTATAAATCATGTGGTTTCACAGGGAAAATAATAAAATTGACAGGTAAGAAACGTTACCAGAACTAAAAATGCGTCACGGCCGCACAGTGTCCCATCCAACTCAGTTGAGAGCAGCGTGTTAATTTACCTGCAGTTCATGCAGTGACATGCGCTGACGTGGGGGCGCTAATACATCCTCAATTTGGAGTTACCAACACACTTGCTACGCATTTGAGTAGAAATAGACGTCTCCTCCCGTTATCTAAATTGATGCATTAAAAAAATGTATCACTGTTGCAAATATTCATGAGATTTATACTGGGGCACAGCTCATTTATACTGGGGCACGTGCCCCAGTAAATGGGGTCTGGCGACGCCGATGGTGCCAATAAATGAAAGATGCTGACCATAGATTACCTTTGTCCAATCTGATCGAACTTATGCCCTTTGCAGTGAACAGACACACTCCCACACATTTGCAGACGTAAATAAGGAAAAAGATGATTATACAAAGAAATGGCTCAAGGGGTTTAAATACAAATGCATGTTACACTTTTCATATTTTTATTTGTAAATAAATGTTGGAAACCCTGCATCCTTCCACTTCACAATCATCTCTTCATTTGAGTCACTCTTTCAGGTGAAGTGACTCAAACGTGAAGTGACCCTAAACAAAAGCTACCTAAGTGAGTGGGTATCATCCAAGGAATAACAGATGACTTATTTAGGAAATCATTTTTTAAACCAATCTTTTTTTTAAAGAACTAATGGTTTAAATTATGATATAATGGAGAAGTGGTAGAAGGGTAAAATGAAATGACTGAGTTTTTAAAAGACATCAGGACTAATGCTTAGAATAAGAAAAGAAAGAAACAAAAGAAAAAGATAAAAAGTTCTGTACTGGTTTGACTGGATGAAAAAAAGAGAGAAATAGAGTAATCATAGGTGTGAATCTCAAGAAGATGATTCTATTTCTGCATTTGTATCAAGGGTGATGAGCTATTTTAATCTTTTTCTCATCTTTTCTTGTACCTCCCTCCTTCCCTTTTTTCTCCTAATTAAATCAGATGACGTTCTTTGTCTGCTAGAACTATAGACAAGACTAATTCTCACTGCTTTATCATATAATTGTAATTGGTTCTGTGGTGCTTTGTTATGTTCCTTTGGTGCAAATTAGTGTGCACATAGATGGTGCTTAAGCTCTGTTGGGTACATAAATCCTGGTTAATAATCATTTGGTATAATCTAATGATTGATTATTTTCTATTACAGATCTGTTTAGAAAGCTGTTTGGATACTGTCGTAAATGTAAATAAAAATTCGATTATCTGATTAACAACTTACCTAAACATGTAAGAAAAAAGGGCTTAACAAATTTATGATAGTTTTTTTTATGCAATGTTTATCCAGGTGAGATCAACAAATCAGTAGCTTATTGTTTTTCCCATAGGTAGAGCGTTAACATTTGATCTTTGAACATCTACTTCATAGAGGATAAAACCAAGCCTTTGTTCAGTTTTGATCGTGATTTAATCCAACATTTAAGCTAATCAGAAGGAAAACATTACTAAAGTGGACAAACAAACCCTAGATGAAAATGTAGGGATTATGAAAAACAAAGGAACTAAAGTTTTTTTCCTTACTAAAATTAGATTATAGAAGATCATAGAAACAGCTTTGAAACAGTTTTGGTCAATTTATAGAAAGCCTGTAAATAGATAATTAAATGAATAAGCCAATCTGAGGTGCATGCAGAACACAGTGAACATCTGAAAAATAATCTAACTAGTCATATCAGCTTTCCTGCAGGGATGTGAAACATTCAGGGGCCGGACTACCAAGGATCAGAGTTGCCCTTCTCTGTGCTTGACCTTTTACAAGCTGGCTTTGTAATGTGGCTGTAAAGTAAAGCTCTCCTTAAGCCAACTGGTTTTTTATTATTACACCGCAGGTTCTTAAGAGTTTAAGCACCTGCAGAGGCTGTAACCCCAAGAATAAGCTAAGCACTAAAACAAAAGGATCTACTGTAACACCTTTCTACCAATAATTAACACAGATAAATAAGCTGAATATAACAAGACTTACTCAACACCAATAAATCACAATTAAATTATTGAAACACATTTCCAAATTAAAAGCCATATCTAAGCACCACATTATTATAAAATATTTTATCAACAAAAATCCCATTCTGTATCAATAAATGCATATGATGTGACCTAGTAAATAAAATTTTCAAAAACAAGTTGACTTTGCTTACTTAATGGTTTGGTGGACGACAGCAACAGGATACCATCCCCTATTTGTAAGGTGCCTGAAAGTTTAACAGTCTTACATGTTTTTCTATACTTTTCCTGTTTCAAAACTATTTCAATTTAGTTCTACAAAGCCTGCGTATGGTGTGGCTTTTGCCCAAGGTCTCTAAAGCCTCTTCCCTTTTAGAGCAACAGGTTTGGATTATATTAGTCTCTGGTTGTCATGGGTTCAATAACCAACCCTGGGTTGTTTTTTTCTCCCTTTGACATTGTTCAGTCCATTCATAATACTTTGTTCACATCTTCAGGCATCAAGAAATGCATTTCATAAATAATTGTTTCTGGTGAGGCTAATAAGCTTAGTCAACGAGCCACAAAATAATCTGGTTAGACTGATTTATGCATGTTTTCTGAATTAAGACAAAATCAACATTCAAATAAAGATTAAATACTTGACAGTTTGAATGTCTACGTACGTTCTTGACAAGCATATGTTCCCTAATAGCCTGACCAATTGACCAATACCTTACATTCCGAAATATTCTCACTGAATTAAACAACAGGTATCACTAGCATAGGGGAGCCTGACTGAATTTTTTAACATAAATAGCTAATCACAGACCAAGCGGCTCTTTGTCATACTGCATATGACTTTCTGGTCTAATCATGTGATTACTGATTTATTATAAAGTTTCAAATTATTATCCCATCACATTTAGGAACCCACAACCTGTAGTCTCAAATTTAATGTTTACTGAAGCTTTATGGTTTTGTGAGGCTCAATTCTCAGAACCTTAAGCTTTCTTCTATCTTTTTTGTTATCCTTTTTCCATTCATCTCCCTCTTTCAGTCTGTAAGTAAGCTCAAGTGAAAAATTGAAAAATAGACCAAAAAATCAGAGAGAAAGTATAATTGGTATAAGGTTGACAAAAAAAAATGTGAGGAAGGAGAGAGAGAACCAGAGAGAGGTTAAGGGATGAAGAGCAACATAAGAGAATTTATAGAAAATGGAGACAGGAGGGCAGACTAATGAGGGAGCAGGGGCTCAGATCACCAGATGCTGTTTTCTTTACCCATCAATGTGAAAGCTAAAGGCCACAAAGGTGTCTATGCATCTGAAGAGCAGATAAGACAAAGCAAGACCACCAAAGTAAAAATTCAACTTTTTGCTGCATTTTTTTTGCTTTAGGTAGCCAAAAAAGAAAGAAACCATGTTTATGTGATGCATTTGTCCAGAAGCACGGTGTCTCTCAAGCTTAAGGGTGCCCTGCCCACCCATGGTGGAGCTATTCTTTGCTCTTCTTCTAAACAGCAGTTGTCACAGCCATCCTCCCACGCACAAAACACAGACAAAAGTAGACCCCCCAACAAAAAAAAAACAAAACTGTTTTTTTCTGTTATCTTGGCTTTGCTGCAGAACCTCATATAATTCCCTTCCATATCTAAATGCTGCAGCCATCCCCCAACAATGACTGTTCACATATGTTGGAGCTGTCTTCTTGCTGCAGCTCAACACAGTTTATAAAGCATAAAATTGTGTAATTTATTGGAAAATTGTTTTTCTCTGTCTTTGGCTTGTGTTCCTTTTTATATTTAGGATCCTGGCAGCAGCAGGAGCTCATATGAACATCTCAGTGGATCTGAGGACTCTCAGGGCTGTTAGAGTGCTGCGACCCCTCAAACTGGTCTCTGGCATACCCAGTGAGTGTCATACAGTTCAGTAACTGTTCATAAGACTTCTTTTGTTAAGCTGTAGTGTTTTGTATATATATATATATATATATATATATATATATATATATATATATATATATATATATATATATATATATATATATATATATATATATATATATATATATATATATATATAGTACTTCTGTAAGAAAAACAGGAAAAAAAAACTATTATTATCGGTACTTTAAAGTTGCTGTTTTTTTCACATGCATCTATTCTATTAAATTGCCTTAGACGTATTCAAACCAAATTTTCTCATCTGCTTGACCAAAGGAACAACAAAAAAAAGGATAGCATACATAACAAAGCTCAGAAAATGACTAAGGTGGTTTCATTAACATGAATATTTCTTTGTAAAACTATCCAAACCTTATTCAACCTTTTCATTTATTGTCAAAAACCAAATATTTCGTTAATTATGCTTTTGTTTAGAAACACCTACACAGAGAACTAGAAAAAAATTGCTTAAAGTTGTTTCCCAAATAAAAACTGTGACATTGTGGTGAACATCAATATTCAACACCTCTGAGTCAATAATTGTACCCGCTATTGTCCCACATTGGATACTTATACTGTATTTCTGCCCATTGGTTTCTCCAAATTACTAAATTAAGTCAGAACACATTCTGATTTGGACATAGATCCTGACAGGAGATCCTAACTGAATATGATTAATCTAAACCCTACACAGGGTGTTTTAGTCTAAGGCTGTTATGCTTAAAGGTAAACTATTAACCAAATCTTTTGCACCCTGTAGGAGTTTTCTGCAAAAACACTCTAATGCATTTAACTCTGTGCATCCTTCTTTTTACTTTAACTACCTTTCCTCCCCCCCGCAGATTAATAATTTCTCCAACATGTTTCACTGTGGGGATTATGTAATTATGGGTAGGGGGCTGAGTATTGTTATGTTTTTTTATGTTGGCCCAAAAGTTAATTAGTGTAGCCACAGCACATCTTTCTCTGTACCCTGCATGCCCATATAGATTATTATTTTTGCAAAAATAATAATTTTCATGAAAAGATTTTTGCAGTTCCTTAAATCTTGCTTGGTTTTGATCCTCATGCACAGCTTGTCAGTTTTAAGTTAAGAGGTATGTCTTGGTAGGTTTTCAGCTGTCAAAACTCGTTTTCAGATTAATTGGCACATTAAGTAGTTCTTTGTGAAATATTTATAATTTGAGAATTTTGTTTTATAACATACTTCAAGGTATGAAAAAATTTGAGTAATTTTTTGACCTGCGTAGTTTGTTAATTTTGTATCCCTAGGTTACAAACAGGGAGTTTCTTTTTTATAAATCACATTTATTTACATCCAAATCCAGTTGTTTGTCCTGAGAAAGCCCCCCAAAAAATCTGAAATGTCCTGCTTTAGACATCTATTTCAGAAATGACTTTGTGTTGGTCTATCTTATAAAATCTCAGTAAAATAAGATGATGTTTGTCAGTGGAATGTGACAAAATGGCATATGAATACTTACTGTATGAACATGAATGTAAAGGTTTAAATATTTTTTATTTCAGCTTTGTTTCTCTGTATTATGTTCGCTTATAAATGTACTTGAAGTGACTCCCTGATGTGTCCTAAATTCAGTAATATAATTTTAGCTTGATGACGTACATTTGGGCAAAAAATAAACATTTGAGAGATTTTACTTTTATTTTGATATAGTCAGAGAACAAAACTTTAATGTTTTTCAAAACTAACTAAATTAAGGACTTATAATTAGCATTAATTATATAACAGACATTTGTAAAACAAAAAATTATGCTATTTTTTATAAATTATGCTGTTGGTTTACACACTTACTCAGCTAGTCTATGTTTTCTTTATGTCCAGGTCTACAAATAGTTCTGAAGTCTATAATGAAGGCCATGGTGCCGCTACTACAGATCGGCCTACTGCTGTTCTTTGCAATCCTTATGTTCGCCATCATCGGCCTGGAGTTTTACAGTGGCAAATTGCACAGGACCTGCACACCACAGCCAGGAATACAAGGTATGCTGGACTCCTCTTTTTTATTTAATCTTTATTGCCATTGATTTGATGTGCTGAATAGACATGATGTGTGCCTCAATGTCAGTGGCGGGCGACGCATATGGTACCTAGGCCTTCAGTGGGTACCCCTCAACTTAATCCACCTCTTATCCCTTGACATCTGTCAATTTGCAACGATGGGTGTCAAGGGGTTATTATCACCTCTTTCGCATTTTAATATCAGAAATCCCCAATAGTATTCAAATATGAATTGTAACAAGCACAGGTATAACCAAGAGAAAGATTAGAGTGAGGGTAAATACATAGATCAATTAAGCAAGACGCCAAGTCAAGGTAACCACAATCCTCTACTCTATAACCACAGCTCCACAACATTTACATCACCATTAGCGGTTCAGTTTCAATATGCATCTAATTGCTACATAGAATAGCGAATAAAGCAGGAGAATAAAATATCACTCTCACCAGAGATGCTGATTATTTATAAACTAAATCTGTCCTTCTTTCTTTGTGCAGGAAGTCTTAGTGTCTGCATTTAGTATCAGCCATTGAGGCGAGAAAAACTTTAACAAAAGTCAATCTAAATGCAGATTGTTGCTAGCTTAACTCGGCTGTAAACATTTTGCCCTAACTGACCAATCAGTGGACAGAAAATGCTGATGTACAGGTGGGCCCGCTCACTGGCCCAATGGGGCAAATTTGGAATCTAATTGGCTGAAGAAAACATTGCTCACGAATATTGTTATGGTAAGATCCGCCAGCGCTGCTGATTCTTTAAGCCCTGGGCAGATTTGTTTGGTATAGCAACACACAGAAGGCTGACATGTGTTGCATTATAAATATGGTCCGGTCAGTCACCTCAGTATCAGGTGGGTTTAAGAGGAACATTTCGCACCATTACATGTGCAAAGAGATGTCCTAATCTACAATTGTGTAGTGGACCCACCAGGTGTCAGTAATAACTAAGAGGTCGTGGTCCCATAAGCAACAGCTGTCTCTGCTTACCGATAGTTACGCCATTGGCTCAAACACCCGGTTGATCTTGACAGAAGGTTGTTTGGCCTGTTTCTGCCAGAGGTTTATTTCTGTTAAAGAGGAGTTTTCCTTTCCACTGTTGCTACATGCATTCTCGATATGAGGGATATTTGCAAAATTGACATCATAATGTCAGTGAGTTTGAAGTGTTGTTACACACTCATCCAGCAGGATGTATACTACAAACATTGACTTAATGCACTTTGCTGGGTTTCTCTAGATGGAAAACTTTTGCCAATCTGTCTGTATGCTTTAATTGGTTGTAAACTGCCTTGTAATATAAAACGCTATATAGATAAAACAGATTTGATTTGATCTTTAGCTAGACACATAGGGTGTAAGTACCTGAAGACTTAGCCAAACCAAACTGGTTTGCCTGTCTTTTATACACTAACCAAACAGTGCAATACAATAATCAATCTCTAAGTCACCCCTATTTTAAGTTAAATTGAGACAAAAAAAAGTCCAAGTGACTTACTGTCACTTAAATATATTATCAGAGACAGGATATCCATGCTTTCACTGTATACTAGCCATCCTCAATAACTTGCAATAGTTGAAATCCATGAAAAATGATAGATTTCCATTTTCTGCAAATATTATTTTCCACTTTATTGCAGCAACATTATTGACACAGAATGATAAAGTCAGCTTCAAATGTTAGCTGTTTTCCTTTCTGTTCAGGAAATGAGACGGTCGACTCGTCTGAGTACGAGTTCCCGTGTGGCGTTCGTCAGTGTCCAACCAAATATGCCTGCACAGAAACCTGGATTGGACCTAATGATGGCATCACCCAGTTTGACAACATCCTGTTTGCAGTCCTTACCGTCTTCCAGTGCATCACCATGGAGGGATGGACCACTGTTCTCTACAATGTAAGGTCCCATGTCTGCCTTTCAAAATTCTATTCTGGTTGGGTTCTAATTGTACCTTAGACACAAATAGACCCTTTATTGTGTACTGAGCGAGTGTCTGAACCCTAGCTGTATCTTCCCTTGCATCTGATAATTGGCCTCAAACATTTATTATAATTATATTAGAAGGAAAAGGGCTTGCATGTTGCATCAAACTAATAAATTAGAATGCTCAGCACCTACCTCCTGCGGTGTTCAAACTATCCTGCCCCCCGACTTTCCACTGTCAACTACACACTGATGCCACCTGCCAATCAATCCTAGAGGCTCGTCAACAACTATAGAATGATCTAGATTTGTCCCAAAGTGACACTCCCCTCTCCTGCAGAAAGGCTGACTGACTGCACAACATTATAAAGGCATTGTGGCATGATTATTTTGTTTAAAAAACTTCAAGTAAAAGCCTAAATGGTGACTGTGGGGAACACAAAATTCAGTGGCACGTTACCCAGAGTCTTGAAAAAAGTGAAACATTAAATCCAACTGCTGGTTGTTTGTCTTACAAAGGTATCAAACAATTCTTCCACTTTTTCTAATAATAATAATTTTTGCTTATGATCTTCTTAGCTTGGAAAAAGCTTGTATTGCCTAATTAACTCTGAACACGTGTGGTAATAAACTACATCGCAGGTAATGTGCAGCATGCGCTTTAACAAATGATGCACATCCTGATTATATACATGATAAAAACATGCTTAATTTTATGTACTTATTTTACTTTTATGTTTTCTAACATCCATGTCAAATCTACTGTACATGCAGACAAAGCAGTTGTACAAAAGTGCAGTTTGTAGGCTTTCACTAACTAAAGAAATGCTAAAGTCTCAGTCTCAGTTGCCATGCATGTAAGTATATAATTATACATTTTTTTAACACTTATTTCAACAGGGGGAAAAATCCCATTGAGAATGAAAACCTCTTTTTCAAGGGAGCCCTATGTGGATTTTGTGTCCTGATGTTTGTCATAAATAAAAATTGCAAACCTACACCCATTGGTGGGAAGTTTTAAGACTGATAAATCTTCACTCTTGTTTGGATATTTCAGACCAATGACGCTTTGGGTCCCACCTGGAACTGGCTGTACTTTATCCCTCTCATCATCATCGGCTCCTTCTTTGTCCTGAATCTGGTTCTGGGAGTCCTCTCTGGGTAGATCTTACTTTACATGTTATAATGTTCATTAATTGGGGGTTTTCACTTCTGTATTTTTATTTTCCTTCAATTAATAGCTTTGGTTTAGACTTAACAACAGAACAGCCCAGTTTAGAGAAGGCATCATAACTAATTTAACATTTTTATGTTAGCTGAAATATTTGTTGTTCTGGTAGTTGTAAGATAGACTGTCCTGCAGGCTAAGCAGTAAGAGGAGCCTATAGTGCAGAAAAAATATTCTCTACTAATTCTACCTAAATAGAGTTTATTCATACCCAGGCAAATTGTTTTTTGTGTTTCTCAATTGTTCTCAAGAAGTAAACTACCTCTAATGTGTTCAGCTTTGTTATTTTATTTTTTTTTTTAGTGAATTTGCAAAAGAGAGGGAGAGAGTTGAGAACCGCCGGGCCTTCATGAAGCTGAGACGTCAGCAGCAGATTGAAAGAGAGCTCAATGGTTACCGCGCCTGGATTGACCGGGCGGGTGAGTTTCGAAAGAAACAGCAATACAGAATATTTAAGATGAGTCCTGCTGTCTGTAGAGTATTTAATACAATATTGATGGAATTTTATTGTTTGATATTGTGTATTTTTGATTGTTTTGTTGTACAGTGTAATGTTGTGTCCTGAAAGGCACATTAAAAATAAAATGTATTATTACTAATATTATTATTGTTATTAAAATATTCCAGTTTTTCGTTTTGAAGTAAAGAAGCTGGAAATGTGGTTACAAATGACATGGGGTTGTGTTTGTTTTCACATTGAAGATGCTCATTTATGATCCTATATTTTCTTTGCAGAGGAAGTTATGCTTGCAGAGGAGAATAGGAATCCAGGACCGTCTGCATTGGACGGTGAGTTAGCAGTGAAGTTTTCTCATTCAGATTGGCTTAGTAACTTAAGATATTTTAATATATTCCCATAAGTCTGTGTTTAAATTGCTGCCCATGGCTCTAATGTTAAGTTGATGTGTGTCATTTTTAAAAAAACTTTTGGCCATATAATTTACATTTGGTGTTATAATTTACATTTTTTATGGTATTCAAGTTATATGTGGTGGTCCCATTTGATTGTAAAGCTGAAGATCCTTTTAAGACAGCAGATCTCTTCTAGAGGTTTGGATGTATCAGATGTTCTCTTAGTACAGATCAGTTCAGTCAGCATATTTGCATCAACCATGCAAAATATTTTTGTTTATATGAAAACAGCAATGTGAGACTAAAGAACTGCTCCGTTTTTTTATTTGCCTGAAAAGTTGATAGGCTAATGTATTTCACAACATCTGTTCTGAGGTGTGTAAACGTCAGCAAGGCTATATGCAGGCTTGGATTGGCCTGATCTGCTAAACATATGGCAACGATTTGAATTAAATCACTGAAGATTCTCCAAAAGGTGTAACAGTGCAAATCAGGACTGAAAAAAACCTCAAGATCTAGACCTAATTTTCTACATGCATCTGTACCGTGCTAAATGTAGAAGCTAATGACAGTTGTAGATAAGACTTTTTTTGTTGTTGTTGATATTTCAGTTGACACCCTTTCTGTTCTAAAGAGAATATCATTATGCATCATAGTAGAGATGCAAATCTATGCCTGAACAATCCAAATTACATTCTGCATATTTACTATGAATGGATGTGACTGGCATATCTCTAGCAGATCTTTGGCCCTAATTTGATTTAATTAAAAGAAAAAATCTATTCTAAGCGCAGTCATATAATACCATAGTTGTGGAGCACATGATGAAGCACATCAGTAAATTTAGTCACATTAACTGAATAATATGGATTAAAAACATTTGCCCACAAACTTTAAATTCACTGCTCTTCCTTTGAGCAGTTGTAAGAAAGAGCAGTGTGTCTAAATGCTGTTACAGACTGATAAAATCGTGCAAAACATTATTATTAACATCTGTGTTTCTGCATTAAAGTTACATGTTTACTTACCAATCTAATAAACATGTTACGTAAATCATTGTGGATTACAGTAAATATGATATTAAATCTATTCTTAGCGTAAAGGTTTCTGAAGCCTGGTTTATGCTTTGGTGTCTGCATGACCAAATTACCTCATTTTAAGATCCACGCTCCTCCACGTGGCATCTCTGTGGCCAGATGTCCGCTCCAGGCACCTTTGAAAATTTGAAACTATTCAACTCCACACTTGAACACACCATAGACAAGCAAGAGTTCCTACTTGTGAGGGTTCACTATTAGAAACATTTAGAGACATCTTGTGATTTGTGTACAAAGCATGTTATGTTATATTCTTAATTGATGTTATTTTCTTATGTTCATAACTTTGAGATGGGCTTTGAGGTGCACTGTAACCTCCATTTCAATGGCTTTAAGCCTCTGCTTTATTTCATGACCACTCTCAAACTGCATATAGAATATGCAATCTGCACACTTTAAAAGGCGTAACCAGATCGGTTTGCACGTTTTAATATTTGTGCAGATATCTTTGTAGATCGCCCAGAACACAACCAATTATTGCACATACTAAAAATAAATTGCACATGCAATTTGCCGCCTCTTTCTTGGAAGATCAGGCTTTTAGTGTTTAATCTATCGACCAGCAGATAGATAACCGGTGCTTTGAGCCTCCTTACTCTACTGTGACCTTTTCTTCTTTCTGGGGGCAACAGGGCTTTATTTTTTTTTGTTGGCTGCTCCCAGGATCTTTTAAGAGTAGAAAAGAGGTGATGTTCATGTTGACAGCTAAAATCTTCTGCACTTTACAACAAAACACTCACAGCGATTTTCTCACAGGCCCACGTAAACACACAGTAAATGCTACAAAGCATGGAGTCATTGTAACCTGGTCACTCTGACATTGAAATGTTAAAAAAACACTGCAGTTTGTTTTGGACATTAAAACTGTCTTCAGTTTGGATGGCAATAAGTAAGGATGCTCTGATAGTTTTGATCATGAAGAAAGGTGGTGCTCTACTGTTGCCTTAGCAACCAATGGCCTGAAAAGGCAGCAGCATAGATTTGTGTATGTGTTGACAGGGCTGAGTCCTCCCACCTTTGGCAAACAACACTATGTGGGAAGCAGTATTCTTGGGAATGTTTGTGTGCATAATTAAAAAATCCCTGAGTTAATATTGACTGTAAGCCGGTTCAGAACTTGTTTGTTAACTAAAAGGTGTAAGTACGTATTAATAAGATGAGACGTAATCAGTTACCCATCAGTTGGTGAGAACAATAACTTTGTTTGTTTTTTTTAGTGGTCCTTTTTACTGCAATTTAGTTAATCCACACATAGAAGCTGGATGTAACATATGTCTTAGCAAATAAGCTCTACAAAAATGGTATCTTGACATAGAATCATATTTGCAAAATGAAATACATTCAAATAACAGTGAGCCCAGCGTCAAAGTAGGCAGGCATCATTAGTGGAATAGCGACCTGTGTTTGTATGACCTTAAACCAGCAAATCCACGTGGGACAGGTGCTCAAGCCAAGAAAGTAAACCCTGCAATAGGATATGTTTAATTTGCATTTCATTTCTTCTTAATAAATACATGTCAAGCAATAGTAGGCAGAAATAAACAGAACATGGCCATATTGTGCATACTTTTTAATAAACTAAATATTATCAAGCAGATAGAGTGGAAAATGGCCAGTATGAGTATTATTAAGCCCTCTCCTTATACTAGTTTTAATGTTTACTGTCAATTACCTCATTTAACGATTCTGAAACTGTTAAAGTATAAAAACCAACATGAAAATAAATTTGTTGATGAAGGTCTCTTTTCCTCTTTGTCTCTATTTTTAAAACCTTATTTTGAGAGCTGCTTGACATTAAAGGCAGACAGATGAGGTTATGGTTTTGTTCAACACTTCAGTCGGGGAAAGCTCCCATTGAAGCCATTCGGAAAGAAGGGCATGCAGCTGCCCTTTCAGAGCTGATTGGATGTAGGAAGACCTAGTGCCCACCTACAGTACCAAAGTTTGGTTTTAGCCAGTTAGAGATAAAAATTAATTTATCTCACGCTTCAGGGGTCTTGAGGAGTCAGAATGAAATACCCTTATAACACACTAGCTGTTCCTGTTTGAAAGATAAAATTTTTGATTCTGATGAAAAAGATGTGATAGGAGCAGCTATGTGTACGTCATCCTATGCTACCATGTTATTGGGGTTTGATTATGGGCTCAGCATGTCTCTCCTTTGTCAGAGGTAGATGTCCCACCTTTAACTACTGCAATGTGTTTGACTGACCGTTTTTGGGTCGGCCTCTAAGCAGGAGCTTGAAGCAGGAGCTTGACCTGCTCCTGCAAAATCCTGCTTTTCTAGTCTTTTAAAACCAAGAAATCTTAGATTAAACAAAACCAGCAAGTAGCTGGTCTAAAATATTAATTTGTCTCCTCTGTCTGCCTATCTGTATTTCTGCCCCTCTTTCTGTGTAATAAAAGTAATAAGCTTAATGTTTATGAGCCTATTTTATTTCCACATTTTATAACAAAACATGTGGGCTATGTGTTCTGCATTGCAAAGTTTATTAACAGGTTTTTGGGGGTTAAGATTGCCATAAAAAATCAAATACAATAGATTCTAAGCTTTTGACCAAAGTTGTCGGTGCTTTAACTTGGATCATAGAGTTGGTAAAGTGTATTTTAGGGAAGACCATAGTTTTGTCTGTGAGAACAGGAGAGTTCTCCATGCTGTGTGGTTGTGTTCAATTATTTTGCTAAATTGGATCGAATTTAATTGTCTCAGCTCATTCAGCCTGTGAGAAAAAAATGGATGCCCAGGTAAAAAAAATGACTGAAGAAAGATTTAATTTTTTTTGTGGATAGTCTAAAATTCTATTGGACTGTTAAAACCTTGATTTGGACTGTTAAAACATTGGTGTCTTTGTGCTATTTATTTTTTCTCTATTCTGTAAGATATGTGAAAATGGTTTTAATAAAAAAATAAAAGGATAGACCATTTAGTCATTTCAAGCATTGTTTTCCTTCTGACATTTTTGGATTGCACTGTGAGGTGTTTTGGCCATGCTTTAACATTAATGATTGTTTTTATTTAATTTAGCTGCGACATTATTGAGTTTCACTGCCTTTGGCTTAAAATGCCTGATAACTCATTAGGCTCTGGGCACTTTTTATCTACTTCATTGCTTTGCATTCAGTCAGTAATCAGATTTCTAGCCTTATTTAAACATTATTGTGCACTGCAATCAAACATGAATACAATATGCATTCAGGAGTTCAACTGAGAGCCTTCAAAGCAAAGGTTTAGCTTTATCTAACATATAGGATTGTGTTTCATATACCTTTGATTTTGTTTATTTTCCTAAGTGTTGAAGCGAGCCACCACTATAAAGAGGAGAGGCATGGATGCACATCAGGGCCATTTAGGCGATGAACATTATGGCGATATCTCTTCTGTGGGTGAGTGGATATTATCTAAGCTACATTCAATTGAACTAAAAATGAATATCCATTTGTACTGAGCTTTGCGGGAGTTTGGGGTTAAATTGGTCACTGTTTTTGGTATGTTACATTATGTAAGTGTAACCATAGTTTCATCTACCCACTATCCCCCTACCATAAGGCATGCCGATGCCCAGAGCCAGCATTCGAAGTGCAAAACGGGGTCCCACTGCCTATTTTCGACGTAAAGAACGTCTCCTCCGGATTTCAATTCGCCGTGTGGTGAAGACGCACACTTTCTACTGGACGGTGCTTGGCCTTGTTGGTCTCAACACACTGTGTGTTGCCATTGTGCACCACAACCAGCCTCCCTGGCTGTCCCACTTTCTCTGTAAGTTGTACAATCTATTGAGCAAGACTAATATATCAGAAAATACCAAGCTTTGGAAGAATTTCCACACCTTAACATGTTTTTTTGTTGTTTTGAAGACTATGCAGAGTTTCTGTTCCTCGCTCTGTTCCTGACAGAGATGTTCCTGAAGATGTACAGCTTGGGGCCGCGTCTCTACTTTCATTCCTCTTTTAACTGCTTTGACTGCAGTGTTAGTACTCCACCTTCCCTTTTCCACATGTATATGACTCAGTTAAAATGGCACAATTATATGTTTGTCCCTTTTTCTTTTCTATCTTTTCTATTTAATGTTATGATTAAAATGAAATTTTTTCTCTTCCCACGGTTGACAAATCTCTCAAATATTGTAGGTTATCATTGGCAGCATTTTTGAAGTGCTGTGGGGTTTCTTCAGACCAGGGACTTCATTCGGTATCAGTGTCCTTCGTGCTCTCCGTCTGCTTAGGATCTTCAAAATCACCAAGTACGTCTTAAGCTCTTTTTGTTTTCTTGTCTTCTTTAGGTTCCCATCACAAAGGACAAGGACACATTAGGACATAACAAATGAGTCCCAACTTTAGCTCACTTTGCAGGATCGTGGGAAGGAAATATATATATATTTTTAATTTTATTTACAGTAGTGTATTATGAAAAAAACTTCTTGGTACAGATAGGATTCAAGTCGTGACTGGGTTGTAGGATAGGTCGCAGGTCAGCAGGAAGCAGTCATTGGTCGTTTCTCAATTCATGAGAATGCAAGTATGGACTTGCGTTCTCATCAAGTCCGGTCTTGGCAAGAACACAGGAAAGTATGGACTTCGCGAGAACGGGAGCAAGCATCATAGATATGGGTCAATTAGAACAGAAGTGTACACGTGACGTCACCACAATCTTGGCTCATCTAGAGCTGCATTTCACCTCCTGTTATTAATAGTCTCTAGATAATAATAAATTATTACTTTTTTCATTTAGTGGGGGAATAATGATGGACACAGTCAGATAAACACAAATCAAATGAAAACAAAAAAAAAATCGCCATCAGAGCCAGCAGTCCTTCACACACGGCTATGCCGAGATAGGGCTATACTGTAGACTGGCTGCAGCTAACCCTGGCTGCCGTTTGCCTCGGAGGTCCGCTGGTTGCCGCGACCCTCTCAACTTCGGAAACCTTTTTTTAAATTACGCATTTAATCGGTAAATAGACCATATAGTGACACTTTAAAGTATAATGTTCTCGCCCCAAATGATCTTAAAACATACTTTTATTGAACAACAGCAACAGAAAAGACATCTTTTAACTTTCAACGGAGCACTACTGCTGCTGCCGCAGTGCATGCTGGGACAGTTGTCAATCTCAAGAACAGACAAGTCTGCTCTGATGCATACTCGATAAAGAGGGTGGGGCGAGAACAACATACGGGGATATGGTGCATTCTCGGTCTGGCGTTCTCGGCAATTGGAACAGTGCTCTCACTGAGGCTGATGACGTATCACGAACACACGAGCACACAAGAACGCATATTGAGAAACGGCCATTGTCATTAATATTAGAGCACAGTTGTGTCACATTTACATACTTAGAATAAGTAGAATATACATATTTATACACTTATACACACTTATACATAAACTTTATGACTTTTGAGTCATCCTCCACTATACTGTACCTTAATGACAGAATTTCCACCTCAGGCACCTAGGAAAATTTGTAGCTACTCGGACAGCTCGGCATGGAAAAACTTGATGGGGAAGTGACAGCTTCAAATACAAATACAAACATCGGGGGAGATCTTGTGATTTAGCCCATAAAGATCACCGCAATCAACAGATTTTGAAAAAAAAATGGAAATTAATATATTCCACTCTTGGATGGCACAAAATGGCTGAAAAGAGCTTTGTTTTCTGCTTTCTTATGTAGTGTGGAGTTGTTTTTTTCCAATGAGGTTCCATTCTAATAAATACTATTTTAGATATGATATCAATTATTAATCAATTTAAGTTACAGAATGCTTATATCAAATATACTACTTTTTAGATTTTAACAGATATGTGATATTTGATTACTGTCAAGGTATTGGGCGTCTCTGAGAAACCTGGTTGTGTCTCTGATGAACTCCATGAAGTCCATCATCTCCTTGATCTTCCTTCTCTTTCTCTTCATTGTTGTCTTCGCACTCCTTGGCATGCAGCTTTTTGGTGGCAGGTAACATCAATGTCTCCTTCAACTTCTTTGGCATGATTCTGTAAAATATTAGGAAAGAGATAAGCAATGCAGCAATTACTACTGGTTGTTCATTTTCTCAAACTAAAGCATGGATTGAGATAAAAAATCTTAATTATTATATAGGAAGGTTAAAGAAAACATTGTTTTTAACAAAACAATTTAATGCATAGTCTGAAGAAATAATTTAGACCTTTATAGCTCACACAGATATTCCTCTTTTTTTTTTCTCTTACGAGGTGTCTCTCATGACACAAGTTGGAATTTTGGGTTATTGAGCAATTTACATCCCGAAGAGGCTGCAAACTCGCTGGTGGAAGCCTCAGACATGGAGCAGTGAGCAGCTTGCCCCTGGGTGCTGCAAGCTGCTCAATGCTCCTCTATAAGGATGGGTTAAATGCAGGGGGAAAATGTTGTGCTAATCTACAATTGTGACGTCAAAAAGAAAGTAATACTTAGACAAAAGTGGTAAAGTTGGACAACCATAGTTTTAATAGTGGACTGGCTTCAGCAGAGAGAAAATATGAATGAAATGAAACAAAAAAGATAATTTCAGACTAACAGTGTCTCGTCTTTCAGGTTCATCTTTGAGGACTACACCCCGACAAACTTTGACACCTTTCCCGCAGCTATTATGACTGTCTTTCAGGTCTGGAAATTAAATGAACGAATGAGTAATCTGCAGATTAGTTTATCAGACTTCAGGATGGTTATAGAGATGTTATGTTTCCTTGTATTTCTGTGGTTTGTGGGTGATTTTTTTTCACAGATCCTGACTGGAGAGGACTGGAATGAGGTTATGTATAATGGCATTCGCTCCCAAGGAGGAGTGAAGTCAGGGATGTGGTCCTCTATTTACTTTATAGTTCTCACTCTTTTTGGAAACTGTATCCTTTTTGTTGCTTATAATGAACTTATTTTCCAATTTGTAGTTGAATGCTTTTTGTTTACCATGGGGATTAATTACTGTGCTTCAAAAAATGGTTTTTGCTTGTTGTATTTTTTATTTTTTTAATTTTTTTTTTTACTGAGTGTGCAGTTAGCTCAGTTAGCTAGTTAGGGAGAGAGAGGTGACAAATTAGTATTTTAGACCAGCTTACTAGTTTTGTTTCATCTAAGTCAGTTATTTTGTAACCACTGACTTTCTCCCAGGATTGCCCTGTTTCCCGCTCCATCCATCTTCCCATTAGCTCCAAACTACTATCCTGTCTCAAAAAATATAAAAATAAATAAATAACTATTGTTCTCTTGGCAATATTTCACATTAATTCTCAATAATGAATTTAGGTACACTGCTAAGTGGGTTTGTAACTGTGCCACACTTATTGCTTGGTATATTTCCTCTTCTTCCAGCATTCTTCTTGACCTGGGCATCAAACCTTTGGTGCTCTTAGAACTCAGTTATACCAAGATATTTCATACAGATGGACACTATCGTTTAGCTGGATTCCAAATGAACCCGATAATCTGGTGAAATATAAATTCATGCAACACCTCACGTGTTTTCCTTCCACTTCTTCACAGTATTTTGTGTTGACCTGTCTCATAAAATCCCAGTATTTTATGTTTGGTTTGTCAACCTTTTCTCAAAGTTACTGAGTTGGGAAGGTTTTCCAAGGTACTGTATGAGAGGAACCTGTGTTCTTTCTGCTAGCTTTTCTGTAAACCATCTCAAATTCAAAGTACTACTTCCAGTTTTGAGACACCTTAACATATCTTTGACCAGATACACTTCTGAATGTCTTCTTGGCCATCGCTGTGGATAACCTCGCCAACGCCCAAGAACTTACCAAGGTATTAAAGCTAAAAGAGCCTGAGCTAACTGGTTTCTCTTCTCATTTTCTTGTTGGTTGCTTTCTTTCTTTCTTGCTGTTCTTTCAGGTCAATGTTTGTTCTTTTTTTGTCTTTTATCTCTGTTAATCTTATTATGCGTTAAAATGTTTATGTTTTCAAATTCCTAAGCTGCATCTTTTCTTCTTATTTTTTTTTTTTCATTTCTTGATCAGGATGAAGAGGAAGCAGAGGCAGCTTTTAACCAGAAGCATGCTCTGCAGAAGGCAAAGGAAGTTGGACCGCTCTCCTCATTCATGTCCTCAGAGTAAGTTCTGTATGCAGCCTTTTACTGCTTAATCTCCCCCTTACTCCCTATCTTTCATTTTCCTCAGTTGGGAATGTGTGCCAAGGGCTCAGTCATCAGTTTGTATTTTCTGTTACCATTAAGATATGGCTTGTCAGTTTTTTTCTGTTTGGATTGAATTACTAAAGAAACAAGTTACACAGAACATCTGGGTTATAGTGTGAAAAAAAATATAAGGGATTGTCCATTCCATTACTATAGTGCTGCTGCTGAGCCAGATTGAAGAGTTAAAAGATCAATGGTTTGATTGATTTAGTAATATGACCCTGTTTGTTTGTTTTTCTACTTGCAGAATAGATTTTGTTTCTCAGTAACTGATTGAACTTTGCCTTGTCGTATATCTTGGAAGTGCATGTGCATGAACAGAAGTGAAAAACTCTGTATGCACGCTGTGAATCAAGGGACAGCTTTTTGCATGGGCATGTGAAAAAGTTTGCACAGATTATGAACATGACCCACTGAGCTAGAACTAAACATTTTGGTGAAATTCTGTTTCCTCTAAGATCTCTAGGATCGTTTCCGTCTCTTTTTCCTAAGAATTGCTTGCTTAAGAACTCAAAATCTCCTCAAGTCTTTTAATATGTCATGATACCAGCCAAACCAACAGGTGTTTCACTAAGATCATACAGACGGTCCGGTGCAAAGAAATATGACTGGAAAGTAGAAAACAAAATGGTGGATAGTTTTTTAAAACAGTTTAGTACTAAAAACCTCAGTGTGTGTGCACATTTATAACTCCGCATTAGTCAACTGTCTTCAGCAGTAACCTTATTAGTTAACAGAGTGTGTAATTTAATATCGTTATAAATCATGCTGTTCTTTGGAGACCTCAGAGTTTTTTTAGTGAACAATAATGAGCAAACAGCTTAATGAATACCAAAAGAATCATTAGATAGGTCAGGGGGTGAGTTGTGAAGCAGAGTAAGGCCTTATCTGGCTGCATTATTAAAAACATTGAACATTTCCCAGAGGATCGTTAATCATGAAGAGTATTGCACACCTGCAAACCTACCAAGACCAGCAGCTGCTGCTGCTCTCTGAAACAGGAGAGGCTCATTGGTGTTAACTTGAAACCATGGGAGCAGTTCAGCATAAGATGTTCTTTTTTTTTTTTTTTGGTAATGCAAACTTTATTGAATTTTATTTTATAGAACATACAGAAAATATGTCAACATGTCACACCGTCCTTTCAAAATATACTTTACAATTAGCCAGCTAGTATAGGCAGACCATTTATAATCATACTGATGCATTTTACATGGGAGGCTGTATGTCACTATCTCATAAAAGGCCAGTTTAACCATAGTTGTCAGCCATTCATCATCAGGATGAGGGTTGTTTTTCATCCAGTGTCTCAATAAAATAATTTTTGCTGTAGTCAGAGCCACCTCTTCTCAATAGGTGAGAAGTGTGAGTCTGGGAGTTCTAATGTGGAGCCTAAAACCTTAAGCTTGGCAGTGACATTAAACCTTCTTACCAATATTTCAAAGATTACCTCCATAATATTCTTCAACCAAATTTTGGGGAGCAGGGAAAGTCTAGGGAATATGTAGAATAGATTTTCCCTCATCATTACATCTGCAGCAAGCATAATTAGGAATCCACTTCCATTTATGGAGTTGTTGAGGTGTTCTTTGCCATGTAGGAATGATTTTTAATTAAAGAAAAATTTCTTCATACATTGTGTTTACATTTTGAGTGCCAATCATTTCATAAAGAAATATCTTCAAATCAAAAACAGAAGAAATAAAAATAACTATCGAAAAGGATATAAATTAGCAAAGCACAAAATACGAGCCTTGAAAAATAGATGTTTTAGATTTGCATTTAAATCTGTGGGACACTAAAAAATATTCTGAGGAAGAATATTTTTTATTCTTACTTAGAAGAATAAAAAACAGTATTCCAGAGAACAGGATATTATTGACTAAAGGAGTTGTTATGATGGGGTTTGAACCAGGTAAAGCATAATAACCAATCAAAAAAGTATTTTTGGCCTGTTAGAAAATGCTTACACCACATGTTACAAAATATCTGTGGAAATGTTGGTGGCAGCATCAAATTAGTTTCCTAAAGTTTGCCAAAAGTCTCCTGATTAATAAATGCTTGCACTGGAATTTATTTAGGCATGTCACAGTAAAGAGGACTGAAAACACGTGCCAGCTTTCCAAATTTTAATTTGTAAGATAGAAAACCATGTATCTTTTTCTTCTACTTTATGATTATTATCTAGTGTGTGTTGTTCTATGGCATTAGATAAAATAGTAGCGTTAAGAAGGTATTGTATTCTTACTTGCTCTTTGTTTTAAGGCTAGCCAAAGGAAATCTAAAGGAATGGTGGATTATTACAAGGTTGTCAGGGTTGACATCTACATTTTAACAGCATCCTCTGAACTTTTAGGGTGTTAGATAAATGTCATCTTAAAAAAAAAATACTCTTCCTGCCCTAAAGATGTCGGAGAAACTTGCATGACACCAGCTGCTGAACACAAAATTACTGCATGTTGAATTTAGATAATGGTTTTGCTTTGGGACTGCATGCCATATGGTCTGCATGATCAAAGGAAAAAAAAACTAAAAACCCACTTAACTGAAAATGCTTCTCGTTCAAAGCAGAACAGGTGTTTTCAGTGCATGTGTTATTTTTCTTTCAATAATTTTCCTTAAACTGCTTCGACAAATCCTCTTCGACCATTTTGCATATGGTAATCTGATATCAACACTCTCAGCTCTTGACTTTCCTTTCTTAAATGATTCCACGTCTGAAGAGACTGGTGTTCAGAGCTGCATCCCGGCACCGTTGCTTTACCTCAAAGATGAATTCTTCCTGCTTGTGTTTTTGCTGACGGAGCCCATATATCTGTTTTCATACTGTTTGCTCTGAGTGTCTATCAATGTTTTGTTTACTGTTGATGTTTTTAAATGTTTTTAACTGTTCTTCTGATACTGTAACCATCATGTTGGTCAATGTGCTTGCTTGGCTCCAGTGGAGACACACACCAACCTCCATCAATTGATTTGAATATAAGATAGCACAATTGGGATTTAATGTTTATGTGTATTGCTCTAAAAGCAGTGCTTGTATTGTATATGCCAGCCCCAATATTAACTAATTAGTTGAATTGGAAATTGGATGTATGACCCAGCATTCCTATCCAGTTACAGCAATTTAGTCACTTTAGTTTTATGTTTGCATCTCTGGTTACATCATCACACAGACTGGTGTTTAACATTTCTCTTTGTAACCAGCACTCTTCTTATAAGATGTCATTTTTGGTGTGTGTCTCCTGGCGTGTTTCTGCCTCTGCTCAGAAAAGCACTAATGTCTTGTTTTCAACCAAACGCCTATTGATAACTCGGACCACACAAGAGTCCACGCTCCAGTAAGTAACACTGTCTGTTCAGCTCTCTGAATCTCTCACTCGTTTGTGCTCGATTTGCTTATTTAAGTCCCTCAGTCATCTGTCCAAGTTCTGTCCTGTGCTGTCCTGCCCAACTCTTTCAGTTCATATAAATCTCTCAAATCAATTCAGCTAATTTCATTGTGCATCACACTGTTTATGTAAGCAACTGTGTAGGCCAGGATCTGACGACCCCACTACATATATTTTTCTTTTTTGTTTGGTAATGATAGAAGCATCTCATAATAATGTGAAATAAAAAAGGTTTTTGTAATGAATGAAATCTACGCTCAGAGAAAAAAAAGGCTTTATGCAAATAAATATCATTAAACAAAACTTGCTCATCAATGCTTCTGTTATTTTGGTGTCAGAATGAAAGGCAATCTACATGGATAAATAAACATAACCATTACAAATCTAATCCCAATAGTGTAAATAGAATCTGAATAGACAAGACACATTTTTTTTGCACCAGGGTAAGGTTTCATAGAAAAACAAATAGCCATATCTGAAGGAAAGATATTTTTTGTATTACAATTATCAAGAAAAAAAATCTTTCAGGTAGATTTTCATTATTCGCGTTCACAAAATAATCAAGTTGCTTTTCCTGAGTAAAACAATTATGAAAAATAATGTAGTGGGGGCAGATGTCCACAGTTATTTTTTTTAACTATCCTTGGCTTTCAAAATTTCCACTTATTTCATCAATCTAGTTGATTGCTTTTCATTGCAGAAACTAAATAACTGGCTACAATAAGCTTTCTTACATTCAGTTCATTCTTTGGCGTACATATTTTGTTTGTTATTTTCATTGAATTGAACAGAAATTAAGCTGCCTGTTTTTAGGTTTAAATAGAAGTTTATTCGTAAGAACCCTGCATGTAGACCTATATCAGTCTAGTATTGGAGTGAATCAAATAAACACAGCTAACATGACGATTGAAGGTTCTGATTATATTAAACATCTTAAATTCTAATTGGATTTTATAGTAATGTTATGTCTTGTTTTCTTCCCAGGGGAAGCCGGAGGAGGCGGCCCTACTTGTACAGGAAAAGGGCCATACATCGCAGCCGGCCGACCTACTCCTACTCCCTGGAGGAGGCTCAGGGCAGTATGAGAGAGGGCCGCCCACCTCCACCACTCAAACCCTCTAACTCTTTCATGTCCAGGAGAGAAAGGAGAAAGAGGATGACCATGTCTGTTTGGGAGCAGAGGACCAGTCAGCTAAGGAGACACCGGCAGATGTCCAGCAGAGAGATCTTGTTCAGCAGTCCCAGTGAGGAAAAAGATGCCCCCCCTGCTTTAGTTCATGGACGTCCCCTGTCGCTCCACCGTAAGGTCATGCAGCATACACCTTCAGGGAGCATAAAGGGACTAACTGACCCTCTGGTCTCACCAGGCAAGAACCCACCTCCAAGCTCATCTATGGATGTGCCCCTGGATGCTCCTCATCCTGGTGACCTTCCTGAACCCCCTATGTCAGCGCTGGAGTCAGAGGGTCTGGATCCTACGAATGTACCATGCTTAAGCTTACCAGAGCCTCCTGATTCAGAATCCACCACCGAAAACAGAAAACTAGGCCTTAGCCACAAGCACGTTACCGAACGTCGAAGCCCAAGATTAAACGCAGAACGTCAACACAGGCATGTTAAAAAGTTTAGACCCCCAGATAATGTTGAAGCACTGATTCTTGAGAAAGGAGGTCAATGTGAAATCAGGGGCAGAAAGGGGCATCATTGCGACCAACGCAACGGGACTAGAACTCAAGCATCTTCTCCTGGAAATGAAGGAAACATAGGTTGTGCCGCAAATGTTGACGAAAACAAAGTAAATACTGGGAAAGTGGTGGTGAAGAAGGGAGCAGAGCCTGAGAACAGATATGGAGAGGTGTGCAAACACCAGGAGAGCAGGTGAGATAATCAAGGATGAACTTGACCACTGGTTCATCAACAGTGGGAAAATGTTCAGAAACATATCCTTCATTAAAAAATAAGTAACTCATGAAAAAAATCCTTGCAACAGCATATAAATGTCTCATTTCAGGATATGGAGAACATGTACTTTTCTATTATATATTATTTAATTTTTCTTAAAAGCTGTTACCACCTACAATTCAGTATTAATAAGTGTTGTCCCTAAATTACGAGTTTACAGAATGTTATTTTGTGAAAATGATCCATACATGCAATGATGACATTCATCAATGCATGTAAGGGATCCAATTTAAACAAGCCAAACACTCTTCAAAAGTTTAAGGGAGAAACTGGTTAAAAAATGCACAGAATCAAATTAGTAAAGAAAGGAAATAACAGCCTTAAGTCTTTTTTACACTGGAAGCAATCTAAATAGGTCTTTTTTTTTTTTTTTTATAAGTGCATTTGTTCTTGAATTGAGGGCAAGTGCAGATCATCTCATGTTCTTACTTTAGGCAAATTATCTTATTTTCCTACTCAAATTAAGGGTAAATACACTTAATTTAAGAAATATTGACTTATTTATAGATCGTTTTTGCAGAGTACGCAGTATGCTCAAATTTACACCGTATTCTTTTGCAAAATATTGACTGAGAATTTTGTAGATCTTCTAGTTAATAAAAAAGCAATTGTTAGATTAAACTGGACACCAGTGGCACAAGAGTGGACTGGGGTAACTTTTGGGTCTTAAAAAAGTAAATAATTAAAAAAAGGTATTAATAAAAAAAAATAATTTATCTTAAATTAAGTGTCTTCAAATGAGAGGATTCATTTTCTCTTCTATTAAAAAAAAGCATTCAGTGTTATAGTGTGTTTCTCTCCTATTTCTTTCAGCCACTCAGTTCTTGTACCTTTGTGCTTTTCCTTGTCTACGCTGATGGCTGCATGTCGGGTTTTGTCTGCTCCTCAGAACACCTCTGCTTCCTTTTTTTGTGTTTGCTGTGTTGCATCTGCAGACTGGCCCACCAAAACGAGGGAGAAAAGTCTAAATTAAAAGACATCCTTTCTGGTGACCAGTGCCCTCAGAAGCTAGATGAATCTCTGAACCAGTCTGAGCTGACAGCACCAAATAAGGAAGAGGATAACAATGAAGAAAATGAGTCAGAGCGGGACCGGGATAAACTTAGCTCCAGTGTGATTATTGAAATGCCTGATGTGCAGCCATCTCTTGAACTCTCCACCATTACAGGTACCAGCACAAATGGGATTTTATTTTAGATGTTACCATGAAGAGAACTGTATGATGACACTAAGTAAATCCTTTTTTTTTTCTTCTAATGTGAAAAAATGGGAATTAAATAAATCCAGAGAGGTAGTTGGTTTCCTTTATTTTATTCTAAACAGTTTACCAGATTGAACCAGATTGTAAACAAAAAGAAGTTTTTAAGGAACTCTTGAAATGTTTCCCTAGTAGAAACCTGAACAAAATAATAAAAAAAAAACAGTGAAAATAACTTTACTTTCTTCTTTTCACCTTCTCTAGTCAACAATAAGGATCCAGAAACCTGTAAGTCAGAGAAGGAAGAGGCAGAAGAGACAAAACCTGCCAACACTGTGACCCCAGACAGCATGTTTATCTTCAAACCTGACAACCTGTGAGTTACAACTACAATCACTTTGGTTTGATGACTAATAATGTTGCTAAGATGCTTCTGCAAAAATATTAAGATCAGACTCCAAAGGGCAATAAAGAGGTCAATAAAGCTCTGTTGTTTTTCAAAAGCCAGAGAGTTGTATTCGTTGTATTAGGAAAAGTACAGTAAACAATAAAGCAGATGTTAATTGGAAAGTTCGAGTCTAGCAATAGATTATACTATTTACTTTTTTGAAGTACATACAGAAAATATTTTCCTTAATTTGAGGTCACTTTTATATGCTGAACTATGTTGTATTAATCAGATTTCAACATCACTGTCATACTACTCCCCTCTTCGCTTTACTACAGTATATATGAAATCCAATGTTTCTTAAGTTGCAAGCAATACAATCCCTCTTCTCTCTTTTTACCCCAGGGTTCGGCGAGCATGTCATTATGTGGTGAACCTCAGGTACTTTGAAATGTGCATCTTGTTGGTCATAGCTGCTAGCAGCATAGCACTGGCTGCAGAGGATCCTGTAGCTACATCGTCAGACTGGAATAAGGTTGGTGTTTGCTTCAGTGAACATCATTTCTTTATAAATCACAAATGTAATAACTGCATCCTAACAGAAGTCATCTGGTGCTAGTCAGTGGTCACCTGCACAAGGCAGAGTGCGCCAATAATAGCTCCATACAGACACATATCAGAAAATAGCTGTACGGAATCAGAATGAGGTTTATTGCCAAATTGGTTTGTACTAAAAGGAATTTGACTTGGTGTTTATGCTGCATACAATATATATATATATATACAGAATACAGAATCTATAGCTATATGGAACATAAAACACACAATATAATATATGCAATATATAGTACATAGCTATAAACTAAAACAATCCCATGTACACATATCCAATTAGTTTTAAGGGCAATCCAGTTTCTCTTATTAGCCTATCATCCACTATTGCGTAAGGACAATATAAAACTCCTCCCTGACCCTGCGAAGTCAGACCCAGTACTTTTCTCTATTATATGTAAATCTCAAGGTAGATCTGAAGGGTCTTATATTTGCTTCTTCTCAGACTTTTCAATAGTTTATTTTTCTAGTTTAATTATACTAATGGAATTGATCGTGTGATGCGCTTTTCTAATTGTTAGGCTTGTGGGGGGAAATGACAAAAGGAACTTAATTCTGTTTAGGGTGGTTAGTTGTTTGGGAGAAAAATAGAACAGGCTCACTCCAAACCTTCTGTGACTTGTTAATTAATTGGACCTTTTTCTCACTCTGATTGTTGTTTTCATTTTTGTCTGTTTTTACAGGTTCTACGTTATTTTGATTATGTGTTTACCGGAGTATTCACTTTTGAAATGATCATAAAGGTAAATAAGTTGCATAATGATTTTAAAGGAAACTTGACCGCACACTTTGAGACGTCTTGTATAACAATAACATTTATTGGACGAAAAATTGCTCACCGAAAGAAAAAAAGGAAGTCTGTAAACATAGGTCAGCATGGGGACTGACAATTGCTAAGTTTAAACAACTGCTTAGTGCAATCCATGAATTACTTTCTACCCATTTAGTCTTGGCACAAATAATGGAGTTCCTCTAATGATGAGATTCTGGGTTGTCTTTAGATGATTGACCAGGGTCTGATCCTACACGATGGCTCCTACTTCAGAGACCTGTGGAACATCTTGGACTTTATCGTTGTGGTTGGAGCATTGGTGGCCTTTGCTCTCACGTAAGCCACGCACTTTATTTTATTTTCTTTACCATTCCTGAGTTAACTTGTTTCATTTACATACCTTTAAAGAGGTGATACTTTTTCTTTGGCTTATATGTGTATATCATATACACACAGTCAAATGTATACCTCTAGCAAAGTTTGGAAAAGTGCCTTGCCCTTTTGTCAGTTTTGTTAGTGAACTAACCAACTTCAGCTTTGTCCTTCAATATCTGCATCGAAACCTTTAGGTTAGTTAAAAAAGTTGACACCACATTCTGTATACTGCACAGGAATTGGCTGAATCTATCAAATAAATACAACAATTAAAAAAAATATATGTAAACCATGTCTACTTGCAGACTAAACATATCAATGAGCATTCAAGTTATATATATATATATATATATATGTTTGTTTTTTTCCAGAATTTAATATAGCTTTATATGTGTTTACCTGGGCTGCTCAGTGGAGCAGTGGGTAGCACTGCTGCCTTATAGCAAGAAGATTCCTGGCCCAGGGTCTTTCTGCATGCAGTTTGCATGTTCTCCCTGAGTATGCGTGGGTTCTCTCCGGGTACTCCAGCTTCCTCCCACAGTCCAAAAACATGATTGTTAGGTTAATTGGCTTCTCTACAGTCCCCTTAGGTGTGAGTGTGAATAGTTGTTTGTCTGTATTGCCCTGCGATGGACTGGCGACCTGCCCAGGGTGTACCCCGCCTCTCGCCCATTGACTGCTGGAGATAGGCACCAGCACCCCTCGTGACCCCACTCGGGATAAGCATGCTAGAAAATGGATGGATGGATGTGTTTACATGTGTCATTTTATTTTTTTGCTGTCCAAGTGTAGATATATTATTAATGCTACCTTGATTTTCTCTTGGTCTTGATGATACCTGCTGCCGGACTGACCCACAGGAACGTGTTGGGGTAAAACTAACTTTACACAAATAAGTTTCTGTAAATTAACATTTTTAACTTTTTGACTGCTTGTGTACAAAAGTCTTCTGTGATTTTTTATTTTTTTTGCGAACAACGTGTCTTTTTTTTTCTACTAAGAAACAACAAAGGACGAGACATAAAGACCATAAAATCTCTGAGAGTGTTACGTGTCCTTAGACCTCTGAAGACCATCAAAAGACTTCCTAAACTGAAGGTTAGATTGGTCCTGTCTGCGTTGTGTTTGTTAGTTATCAATTTCCCAGTTGTGGGACAATAATATAGAGTTATGACTTCAGACTAAAAGTTATTTTATATCTGTTTATATTGTTATCTTTAGCAGGGTGTTAAGTTAATGTGATTTATTTAAGTAGGTCTGAAATAAGGTCAGTTAGGTAGCTTGTTTGGCCTGAAAACCATCATAAGCCCAGATTTTAATGCCAGAAAGGATGAATAGATGTAAAGCCTTGGTAAACAGTTAACTTTCCAAGGGCAACAAGGTCACTTAGCACAGCATTGGCTTATGTTGATGCTATTATCAAATATTGTTTGTTATTGTCAGAAAATACTCTATTTGTTAATATCTAAGCTAGTGCAACAACTTATGAATGAATCTATTAAATAGTTTCAATAATCGTTCTGTTTAAGGTTCTAGTAAAAGTTTTGATGAAAGTTTTCTCAAGAAAACGTGTAATCGAGTTTTTCTGACTGTAATCAAAATGTAAAAAAAATTGTAAATAGATGTCACTATCAATATGTGCTACTATCTAAACCAAAGTTTATCTGTAATCTCCATGTTTTTAATATCTATTTTCCTTGTTTTTTAGGCGGTGTTTGACTGCGTGGTGACATCTCTGAAGAACGTCTTCAATATTTTGATTGTCTACAAGCTTTTCATGTTCATCTTTGCAGTCATTGCTGTACAGCTTTTCAAGGGGAAGTTCTTTTACTGTACTGACAGTTCAAAGGACACAGAGAAAGACTGCCAGTAATGTTTTTTTTTTCTTTTTACTTATGAATTTCTATTATACTGCTCAGATTTCCTTACCTTTATTTATTTTTCTTTCAGTTTTCAATAACAATATATCTTTATATATCTGGTGCATACCCTGAATTAAGATGTAAAATTATATATACATTTTTTTATGTTTAGTTTCAATCAGAGCTCAGCTGCCTTGTTTTTGTCTCTCCAGGGGATACTACATTGACTATGGGAAGGACAAGAAAGAGGTGAAAAAAAGAGACTGGAAGAGGCACGAGTTTCATTATGACAACGTCATCTGGGCTTTGCTCACGCTCTTCACTGTTTCCACTGGAGAGGGCTGGCCTCAGTGAGTGCTCGACTGGAGTTGGGCCAGATCACATGCTAGATGAGAAAATCCATGCGAAGCTATTCAACGCATCATTTTCCTTCCATGGAGGGGCTTTTACTTGATGTGTTGTAGCCTTTTGTGATCTGGCACATGTTTTAATAATGTTCAAATCTGACCTTTGATTAGGGAAATATGATTGATGTAGATGTTTCATCAAGGACTTTGCTGCTTATTTAGATAATGCCAGCATTATGGGTTTGTAATGGGTCAGCTCTTTTAATTGATTGCTGATTTGGCAGTTAACATTTGATCTTCAGCCCAGTTATCAGATACCTCTGAATAAATGTTGTCAACCTTCATTCCCCCATTTTTAGCTTTATAATGTTTTTTGAAAGTTGACATGTAGCTGGTTGGTTGCTTTCTGCAGGGTTCTGCAGCACTCTGTGGATGTAACAGAAGAAGACAGAGGTCCAAGTCACGGCAATAGGATGGAGATGTCAATCTTCTACGTCATCTACTTTGTTGTTTTCCCCTTCTTCTTCGTCAACATCTTTGTGGCTCTCATCATCATCACCTTCCAGGAGCAGGGGGATAAGATGATGGAGGAGTGCAGCCTTGAGAAGAATGAGGTGAGATTTATCACATGCTATCATTGTCTTTAGCTCTTTTTGTTCTCTGTCATTTCCTCCCTTTGTCCTGGATTACAGAGAGCATGCATAGACTTTGCCATCAGTGCAAAGCCCTTGACCCGATACATGCCACAGAACCGACACACGTTCCAGTACCGCCTGTGGCATTTTGTGGTATCACCATCATTTGAGTACACAGTCCTGACCATGATTGCTCTCAACACGATTGTCCTGATGATGAAGGTAAGGAAAACAAACTAAAAGTTACGGAAAATTTGAAGTCATTGTATTAAAAAGTTGAGTTAAGCATAATTTGTCTTAATTAAAGACAAGTGTGTTTGTTGCAGCAGTTGTTGAAGGTACTTTAGAAAAAAAATTACTGTTCTACATTAGTCGTAATGAGGGTTAAAATATAGTCGTAGCTACTGTATGGAAAAGCATTTGTTTTGTTTTTTTTGTTTTGTTTTTGTGGGGGGGGTCTTTTTTTAAAGGAGGCATTTGACACAAATGATCATTTACTCCTTTATAAAGTATGAACGGGCCACATAAAGGACAAATTATTGACTTGATGTTAAAGCTACAGTGTGTAATAATTACAGGGATATACAGTCAGAAATGTAATATATTAAACATAACTATGTTATTTTATCATCATCTACGAGCTCAGCCTCTTAACCTTAATATTTGCGTTGCCTTAGAATTCGTTATTTATAATTACATAGGAGCTGGTCTCGCAGCCATGGAGGCAGACATCTTTGCGCTACGGCAGCGCAGAGCCAACAAACTAGTGATTGCGAGATCGCCAAAATGTCACAACGATGTAGAAAAAATAACGGGTATATTTATTATCTTAAGTCTACATGAAATCTAGACCCTACACAGACTAATGAAATACTATCTGTAAAATTATCTATGTAAACAAACCTTATCACTTGAGAAGGTAGGTGATGCGGACGTCGTGGAAGACATTTTGTCCCGTAACGCTCGCCGTACTGTTGGGGGGGAGAAGCGGTGGGGGGGAGATGTTCATGTTGCTGCGGTCTGCAGTCTGACCGCTAGATGTCGCTAAAAGTTACACACTGTAGCTTTAAGTTTGATTACGTAAAAAGAAAGAAAAATATTACAATTTACTTATATGTAATCTTATTTATTCTTATTTAAATACTTTTTTTTTTATTCAAAATGGTATTTAAATGGTAAATGGCATGTACTTATAAAGCGCCTTTAATCAAGTCAGGAGACTTGACCGAAGTGCTTTACACTACATTCATTCACCCATTCACACACACACTAATGGCAAGCTACATTGCAGCCACAGCTGCTCTCGGACTCACTGACAGAAACGGGGCTGCCGTAAACTGGCACCACCGGGCCTTCTGACCACCATCAGTAGACAATGCAGGTGAAGTGTCTTGCCCAAGGACACAACGACACTGAAAGTCAGAGTCGGGGCTTGAACCGTCAACCCTTCGATTTCAGGGCAAACTCCTACATCCAATGCCACTAAATCTTTGTTGACAAACCCATTCTAAATATAGTTTTATCTGTGTCCTGACTTCTTATCATAAACTTCTCATTAATAACACTTTCAAATTCCGAAAATCCAAAACTGGGATCTTTAGGTGTCAGATTATCACCTCCGCACATTGTGATAATTGCATTTGGGCCTATTGATTAATGTTTACTCTCACACTTTCCCCATCAGTATTTATTTCCTGCTCTGGCCTTTTTACAGAGCCCCTCAGACACACAGTCAGAAAAACGCTCAGTGACTCAGCCCATATTAAATATTGATCTACAATGTCCAGGCGCTGCTATTTAACATGACCTCATTAACTGAGGCTGCCGGCCCCTGGAGGAATGACTCCCTTTATAGCGCCTCAGATGAGAGGTGCAGAGACAGAGGCTCTATTTATGGGTCTGGAGGAATCTTCCATCTAACAGTAAATCTGCAGGGTGCATGGCTGAAGTTAATCAAAGGGATGTTGATCTGTTTTGAATTTGTTTGTGAATACCCCAGCTTTGTCTTCTTTACTGTTCAGACAGGCTTAAGAGGAACCTTAAGACACTTGTCATCTTTTGTATTTGCAGTATTACTCCGCCCCGCCTGCATATGATGCCTTTCTGAAGCACCTCAACACAGCATTTACTGTTCTCTTCTCTATTGAGTGTGTTCTAAAGATTCTGGCCTTTGGCTTTCTGGTGAGAGAAAATGGAAATAATGTTGCTTAACATGGAATTGATGACAGTCCCTGTGCAAATCTCTCATAATTTGGTTTCTGTTTTAAAGAATTACTTCCGAGACACTTGGAACATTTTTGACTTCATCACAGTTTTGGGCAGCATCACTGAGATTGTGGTAGACTTGCAGGTAATCCCAAAGAGAATCTCAAATTGTCCCTTAAAGACTAAGAAATAGAAGATGCTGTGTTTGTGTCTTTGCTAACTGATTGTCTCCCTTTTATTTGTGTGGTTGCCAGCGCATTGACACATTCAACATGAGCTTCTTGAAGCTGTTTCGAGCAGCACGTCTGATCAAACTGCTAAGACAGGGCTACACCATCCGTATCCTCCTCTGGACCTTTGTTCAGTCCTTCAAGGCTTTGCCCTACGTCTGCCTGCTCATTGCTATGCTCTTCTTCATCTATGCCATTATTGGAATGCAGGTCAGAAATAAACAAGCCTTATCAAGTGTCTATGATTTCTCAATAAAGTGAAATGGCAGCTTATATAATTTTAGATTTGATGATCTCTTTGTCTTTCATATATTTGTGTTTAAACCAGGTATTTGGGAACATTAAACTGAACGAGGAGACTCACATTAACCAGCACAACAACTTTAAGACCTTCTTAGGTGCCCTGATGCTGCTGTTCAGGTACTGCTGTACTTTATAACATCTTTTCTAGGTAATTGACATTAATGATCATATTTCAACCTGTAGTACTATTTCCCTGAATACATCAGAACTATTTCAGTTTCTATCAATTAAAAATACACTGGAGTCTAATCAACTGTGGTTCACACTAAATCTGAGGTCAAGATAATGTGGCTAAGATATAGTAATAAAAATGCTCTATAAACACCTAAGGAGTCACTGTGTATAGAGATATAAAATACTTTCTGGGGATTTAATTTACATAGGATTGCGTATCATCTCTATTGAAAGTCTCAGTACGTCCACAAGGGAAATGTAGCATACACCAAATGTAGATTTATAAAACAATGAGCATGCTCACCTGCAGGCATTTTCCTTTACAAATCACAGCTATACCTTAAAGTCTCCAGAACAGGGGTAACTAATGGGGTCCAAATAAAGAAAATAAACAACCAGTAAAAGGCTGGAGACATTTGTAATTACATTATGTTACTTTAAACAGAAATTAAACACTGAAATAAAATTAGGTGTTTATGCATCCATGTTACACATTGAATTTTTAAATTAAAATAAATAGAACATTTGTCCATTTTAAAATCTAAAGTGTTTTTTGAAGTAGAGAAGAACAATCATTACGTTAGGTATGCAGACAACTTCCTGATTCACATATTTTATAAAACACCTGAACTGGCTTAATGAGAGAAGTGTGTTTTAGACTGCCCTGCAAGGCTTTAACCCTGGGTTTGAATTGTGAAAAAGCAATTCTCAAGCACAAGGTGCTCATTTGTGAGCCTGGATCAATATTTATAGATACATTGATTGTTTTGAATCTCATAAAATGACTTTGGCTGGAAGCTGAAAGAGGTCAATGTTTGGCCCATGTCTAACTACTAATTTATGCATCCATCCATCCATCCATCCATCCATCCATCCATCCATCCATCCATCTATCCATCCATGCATCCATCCATCCATCCATCTGCTTTTTCCCACTTCGTCTGTCAGTGTCGCTGTGGAGCCAGAGCTTATCGCCAGCAGTCTATGGTTGAACAGCAGGCTACAGCCTGGACACATCGCCAGTCCTTCACAGGACAATACAGAGACACACAAAGAAATACAACCATTCACGCACACACCCACACTTAAGGAAATATAGAGAGGAAGCTGGACTGTGAGAGGAAGCTGGATTACAAAACCCACGCATGCACAGGGTGAACATGCATAGTCCATACGGAAAGACCCTGGACTAGGAATCTAACCCAGGACCTTGTTGCTGCAAAGCAACAATGCTACAACCTACACCACCAAGCTGCCCTTTATATACAGTGAGGCAGAAAATCATATAGTCAGCCACTGAAAGTACAGGTTTTCCCACTTATAAAAATGTAAGAGGTCTGTAACTTTCATCTTATGTAACAGTTTGGGACATAAAATATAAATTTAAAAAAAATCTGAAAATCACATTGAATGAATTTTGCGATGCTACTAAATTGGGAATTATAGTGAAAAATATATTGAAAAAGTACTTGGTCCCCCAAAATCAAGCAAGACATCTTACAGACCTTTTCTGTATTAAGAACATCTGTTGAAACTCTATTGGTGTGTTCAGATTCAGCACCTATATCCAACAAAGGCTAAATATGTCAGCCGATCATTCATAGCATGGCGCCGTGGCCTGTTTGGATTGGGAGGCTCCTTCATGTACAGCCAACAAATGCAGCCTTCTTTTTGCCTGTTTTGAATGACAGGTCCGGTGTATCCTCTGTAGCCTTGGGTATCGCGTGATTCATTGCTCAGAGGAAAAAGGGAAATTGCGACAAACAGTGTATTTTCAAGAGCAAATTTTATTTTATTAGGAAATTTGGGTAATTTATCCAAATTCTGCTATTTTCATGGTTTTCCAGCAGTGCTTGTGCACTCTATCACAATTTATGTGTTAATCTGTGTTTCACATCACTAGAAATATGATGGTGATAAAACACTTAACAATCATGTGGCGTTTGATTTAAATTTTATTATGGTTTACAGTAATTTCTTATTTTATCTGGCAGGTTCTCGTGTATAGTTACGGCTTATCATTGCAGGCCCATATTGCACTGCATATTAAAATGCTTATGATGACATTGATCAATAAATAAAGTTTAATATAAAGTGAAATTGAATGTCTCAGAAGAGTCATGATGCAGTTTGTCTTTCATTCCCCACCTCACTGTCTGTCTGCATTTTCCCCTGCCTCCACAATGACCTTATGCATGTGCCAAATCTGCACCTTTTCTCATGAACTATGTTTTATAGATCACCTTTGTGACCCATGCAAATTTCCTCGCCATTTTGTGTCTAAAGGAAACCATAGGTTCAAAGAAAAATATGTTCAGGTTAGAGTATGTGGGCTAAATTATTTTGTTTATCTCTTCACTGTGAGAGTTTAGTACAAAACCTTAAATGTGGTGAAAATATTAAACAGTATTAATCTGGCTCACACATGCAAAGAAAAACTGTGTATAAATTAAAGATGTAATATATAGAATCAAACTATTCTTTAGTAGTGGGAGTAGGAATGTACTGATAATAAGATGTAAGAATAAAGTAAAACACAACAGGATATAAAGTTAAAATGGCATTTCACCATGATGCATTAAATCTTAGTATATATATATATATATATATATATATATATATATATATATATATATATATATATATATATATATATATATATATATATATATATATATATATATATACACTATATGTGCATTTTAACAAATTTGTCTGATTGATGCTGAACATTTTTGAAGATAATCCTAGGGGCAAATGGTAGAGATTATGTGTGTCATCACCTCAAATCGAAACCGAGGTTATGTAAACTAGTAGCCTTATGTTGGGAGAGAGAAAACATTACACAGCTTTATTCCATCTCTAAAAACATAGTTCTATAGATTATATTATTTGACTTTAGTGTTGGGTTTGCACGTGATTATTTTTCCAGAAAATTTCTCACATTAAAGCTCTACTGAAAGGACATGCAATCCCTGTTAATTTATAAATCTCTTATAGAACCTTTGTGTACAATCACAGCTATGTACGAAATGAATCTTCCTTGATTTTTAGCTTAAACCTTCAGGTGGCAAACATAACATAAATCAAACTGCAGTTTAGACAGGGAATCCGAACCAACTTTTTCTCCTTTTATTCTTATTTGTATAACCAGGAGTGCAACGGGGGAGTCATGGCAGGAGATCATGCTGTCGTGTCTGGGGGGGCAACAGTGTGAAATGGATCCTTCTCTTCCTCCTCCAGCGCTGATGACTGACCAGAGAGAGGGCTGCGGCTCAGACTTTGCCTACTTCTACTTTGTCTCCTTCATTTTTTTCAGCTCTTTTCTGGTAAGACGAAATGTTTGTATTTTCTTCAATGTTATGTGTGGTTTTCTTATCTTTTTCTCCTATTTTATCTAGATGCTGAACTTGTTTGTGGCTGTGATAATGGATAACTTTGAGTATCTTACAAGAGACTCCTCCATCCTTGGTCCACACCACCTGGATGAGTTTGTGCGAATCTGGGGGGAATACGATCGGGCTGCCAGGTGAGTGTATTTACATCTTTTATCCAAATTATTGCAGAACAATTTTCAGGGGGTCTGATTTTCCTCAGACAAACCTTCAAGATTTGCCTTTTACATCTTCATGTATCTGCACTGGTTTGGAAGGCTCATCACTGTCAAGCCAAAAACATATTGAAGGACCACAGCTGACCAAACATGAATACCTTCACCCAGCAGCGTTACCATGACAGCCTTTTAAGAGTTTGCAGTTGAGAAAAAGAGAGTTGTTTCTGTTACCACATTAACATTCTCTTCTCTTAACTAATTTCCCTCTGGGATTATTAAAGTATTTCTGATTCTGATTCAGAGCTAACCTGGTCAGCAGCAGGTTTTCCTCAATAAACTCAGTGTCATTTGTCTCTGTTTTGTTCAAACAATAAAGAAAAAAAAATCAGTCAGTTGTGTCCTTTAGACACATTAGGTATTAAAAATACAAACATATCATTTCTGTTTGACAAGGATCCAATTAATGAATAAGGGGCATTAATTCACAGAGAATTAAATATTTATAGAGATAAGGTTTTCAGACCGTGTATAGATGTTTACATTTAGAAGTTATCTTTATGAGCTCTATTACATGCCACAACCTTATCTGTCCTCATATTTGCAGCTTTACACAGACTTCTTAACACCAATGTGTGATAACAGCATTATAGAAAACATTTGCAAGTCAGACAGCCACTTAGTATTTGCTGTGTAATGGAAGGCAGAATCAGAATGAGGAGGAACCCCATGAGATGATGCACAGGTCCTTCCTGTTTCAACAAAGGTTTTACTCCTCATCTTTATCTGCTGTCAGGTGCTCTTCACTCCTGCAAGATTGCACCTAAATAGGTTGCACTGGTCCACTACCATTCAAGCAATAAACTAGTTTACCCCCATAATGTTATTGTGGTTGCGGCAGACTGTGATATTGAGCTGAGTTGCTGTGTTTGTTTTTATGGCTAATGTAGTATTGTGTTCTGGGCAACAACTCTGCTGTGGGGTGTCCGTCACAACTTCATCCCAATTTATGATGTAGCATATTAACTGAGTTCTGTAAAGTCTGAGGCAACACTCTTGGGTTTCTTGGCAAATTCTCTGAGCACTGCAGACCATGGGATAAAATTGCTGGGATGTCAACTCCTAGGAGGATTATCAGCTACCTTCAATATGTTCTCACAGTGGGAGGATGGAATTGAAAAATGCTTTAAAGTGGCCTGTTTATGGCTTAACTGACAACAATAAACTCAGCTGTAATTCTGATTACTTTCCTTCTTGCTGCTGTGTTTGTGAGCACATGCTCCTGGCCTACTAAAGCTTACAAACTGTAGACTTTTATAAATTTGTTCATACCTTCTGTTTTTGTTTTTCTTTCAGTTCCCCAAATTTCTACTATAAAATAAAATAAAATAAAAACAGTGATTGAATACACTGATGGTTTTGTAGGTATCAAGCAATAATTATAGGAATATTGACTTACTATGGGTAAGTCATATTTACTGCACATGTACCGTTCACAAATATTTCTGGAACAACGAAGTACTATGCTTTGCTATCCCCCCCACCCCCCCACCCGCCAAAAAAAAAAAAGATCGACAATGACAAATCTGGCAAAACTGGGATAAATCAACACTGCAGCGAGATTGAAAAAGTAAATTAACAAGATCTTTGTATTTTTTTTCATAAATAAATACAGGACAACAAAATGTTAAAAGGATTCAGATGACATAAATCATTTTTAATCTCCCTCTGCATCAGCTTTGATAAAGTAATTACAACCTTTGCAAAAAGAAAAGAGATTTAGGGTAATACATGTTCAAGTATTTACAGCGGTTGTTAAAAAAAAGTGGAAAAGCACCAATATATTGATCCAATTCAGATTTATTATTCTAAAATGAATTGATTTCAGAGCATATGTAGAACTTAGGAATATTCTTATTTCAATCCTTTAAACAAAAAAAACACAGAGGTTGTTAGAATATTTGATCCTTTCCTACAAATTGTATTTTGGTGAGAAGGGTTTCTATAGTAACATGGGTCGACTTTATTTCCTGAAAGAGCAGTATGCAAAAGGCTTCCCATATCCTGCAAACTCAGACTTTCTCATTACCACCAGCTGCCTTGGATATCACTATCAACCATTTCCAATTAGCTTTATTCAAATTTGATTTGCAAGGGAGCAGTTTATTTGATACGAATTGCTCCTGAAAAAATTATTAAAAAGCTTCAATTGTTCCCACAGAAACTCAAAAGTGCCAATAGGAATACGGGGCTGTGTTCAGCCACCTAATGGTATATTGGCAAACTGAAACATAAAACTGGGTAATAAAAAATAAATGTTTCAACAACTTTGTTCCTTTTTGTTCCTTTACACTGTGCAGTGCAACTCAGTTGAGTTTACACACCACCACCGTTATTTTCTTTCTTTATTTTCCTGAAACACTACATACCCTTAGCAGCAGGATCAGCTGTTACACACTATAGGATGTGTGAAGGGACACTTACAAAGCAAAAACATTTGTGTAAGTTACATATACCTCTAAAAATCTTAAAATGAAAGGGTATTACAGGGGTGTCTAAAGAGATGAGAGTATTGAATTACTTGGTGTCAGAGTTGTACTACTTATTAGTTCTGTGTTCTTTTGGTCACTTTAATGACTAATTTCAAAAGAGCCAAGCTCTGGTCATTAAAAAGAAAAAGAAAAAATGTCTGTAGATCTATACTCAGAGATATGTGTTAATGTATTTGGGTAGAGTATACAAAATTACAATAGAAGTTGTCTGAGTCTAACTCTGAAAATGTACATGCTTCTAATCAGTGAAACTGTCAAAAAGCATGAAAGAGACAACTGAGTTTGAGTTTATACAATAGAGATCTATGCAGGTATGTTGGCATATGTAGAAAAGGTGATGAAAACCTATATCTGAAGAGAATTATCTTGGATACCCAACAAACTGACACCCTACTCAGGAATTTAAAGCCCCCATCTGACCTACAGTCATCTGTTTTAAGTTCATAACAGCGGTAAATGATTTCCTGAGGGGAATTTTCAACAAACTAAAACTGTCATAGCATTCAAACAGAAATAAAGCATACCAGCTATAAGGTTGTAATGACTCAGAACAGAGAGACCCAGTATTCAAAGCAAGACAGACAGACAGATAGCTCAAAAAGATTAGGAAGGTCTGCAGTAGTAAGGGCTAGAGCATCAGCGACGATATCATGACAAAAGTAGCCCAAAATATGACTTTTTTACTTAAAGGCCACTGTGAGGATTTATCTGTGGTGCATTGATACTGATTATTGGATGTTGTTCAGGAGATATCTTTTGTTACACCATCCAGAGTCTTTAAATCTGTCTATAGTTAGTTAACTTGCAATGAAATGGCCCCAAAAAATCACTACAAGTGTATTTGTAAGAAGGGAATATGATCTGTCGCTTATTTAGCTCACTCACAGAGAGAAAAAAAGGAACCTGCTACTGCTTCAAGGATACAGTTACACATTTAACTCCTCGCTACCGTTAGCTGTTATGCTTGCCTGCTCGTTCCAGCCTTAAATAATACTTAAAATGTACTGCTAACTTTTGGATTGTGAGAGCTGAGGGAAGCACAGAAAAACCCAATCCCAAACCATCCGCTAAGCCCTAACCCTTAAGTATTGAGTGCCACTCACAATTAAGTCAAACTCACAGCTTTGAAAGGTGCCTTGATTAAGAGATGTGAGGGTATAATGAGAATGGGAAGGCCTCTTCCTTCCAAAAGAAAAGGAAAGCAGTCCTTGCTATGGTTACATAGTTCTGTGTTGTCCCTTTCTTAAAAATACATGTCTAGGTTCAAATAAAACTACTTCACAGAGGACCTTCGCTTTAGGGATTAATGACATATATTTGTTTTTTTTGTACATGTGATTAAGATGTACTGTAATTTGGTTGGTCTGACAGGATCTGTGTTTGCATGGTTCTCATTATATTTATTTGGCAGGAGTTAGTGTCCTCGCTAGCCCATTCATTACTCACTTTGCAGAGTAATTTTATGGAGTGCCTCAGGGTTCTGTGTTGGGACCTATTCTCTTTCTGCATAATGTTTTGCCCCTCTGTAATATTTTTAAGGGTTTCTTGAGGTCTTCTATAATCATTTTGTAGATTATATTCAGCTGTATTGCTATTTTAAGTCAACTGAGATTACAAAAAAAATTAACTCTAACGAACTGCCTTGGAAAAATGTAACACCAGCTAACTCCCTGCAGTTCAACCTGATAAGACTTAGGTGCACAAAACTTAGAATATTTGTTTCCAAAGATGATCTAGAGCTGATCAGTCAGGCATTTGTTTTTTTCTTGTTTAGACTATTGTAACAGTCCTTTTCTTTTCTAAAAAAAAAAAGAGGTTTCCTGTCTGCAGTTGGTTCAAAATGCAGCGGCTATGGTGCTGACGCGCACCAACAGAAGGGACCATATTAGCCTGATTTTATTGGCATCCAGTGGTTTTTTTGTCTTAATTTTAAAATGTTGGTGCTAACTTTTAAAGCTCTCAATGGTCAGGCGCCCTCTTACACTAGAGCTCTATTGTGTCCTTATCCCTTTTCGAAAGCTGAGGTCATTAGATAAGAATCTTCTCTTAGTCCCCTTTACCCGTTTCAAGACTCGAGGAGGTTGCTCCTTCCAGGTAATTGCATAAAGGCTCCGGAACAATCTCCCATTCCCGTTATATTCCCTTAATTAGCATCCACAGAATTGCAAAGCTTTTTAACAACTCCAGTGCATGTGTCAGCTGTTTTACTTTGACTATTTTATGTTGTTTTTTACTGTTTTATCTTTTAATTTTACATGTTATTAAAGTGCTTTGTGACCCCAATGACTGTGAGTTTCTATATTAATAAACTTTTACTTCCTTGCTTACAAACCAGTGGAACATTTGAATGCCAGTGTTTCCTCAACCATTATATTCGCCCTTACACTCACTTACATGAATCCAAACAACACCCTTTCCAAAGGGTTGGACCTGTTCGTTCGTTTCAATTTGTATGTTTTCTAAACAAAAACAAGATTTTGTTGGGCTCTGTATGAAGCCTCAAACTCAACAATATTACTGACATTTTGAACTGAAAAAGCTTGCTGGATAGGAAGCGAAACCTCTTCAAACTTGGAAACAAAGTCCAGTAGATTGGTTATTAACTGGTTTGGAAACACTCGCAGCCAAATTCCAGCGGCACAGCACTAGTGTAGACTCCCTATCTAAGGGCTGAACAGTTTACTCGCCCTACCCACTACTGGATGGGGTTTGAGACAGCCCTTAATGTAGCAGACCCTCAGCGGGAATGCCAGAATAGAGGGTTAGTGTTTAGTTTTAGGGTTCAGGGTCCGATTTAAGATTGGGCCAAACTGTGTTTTAAATCAAAGGGCAACAAAAATTTGGTACCCACTGATGGTCTAGCTGCTGACTCTATCAGGACAGTATGCGTGCAGTGGCACCATCTGTGTTGTATCCTTGTTTATTTTCCTTTGCCTTTTCATTCTCTTGAAGTCGAGATTAAAATTTTTCATAATCCAGCTGCAAAATGTATTTCAAACAGCACAGAGATAAATCTTCCTCCTTCACCTGTTTACTTTCAGCAGTCTCATCCATATTTCTTTTATAGGAGGTCTTTGGGGAAAGGAAGAGTGTTTTACCCATGCTTTACAATTTTATCAAACATGAGCCAAACAACCTTTCAAGATGTTTGAATAAGAAAGATTTCATTTTTTTTTTATCAAGTAAACGATTTCTAACAATGGCACCATCATCTCCCATACATGGCTATACTCTTCCCATTTTAGTGTGCCAAAGTCAATACCTTTTTTCTAACAAAAATGTTTTAAAATTTGTAAATGAAGAATATGATAAATTTAAGGATGTTTGCTCTTTGATGAAAAAATAGAAAATTATATGATCCAGATTTTATAGGGAAATCTAATGTGTAAATGGTGTCTGTGTGTAAATCTGCGATGTAATGTTTTACCAAAAAGACAGACTATTTCTCATCCCTTTTGTGTAATCATTGTTAACAGTATGTGTGTTTTTTCCAGTGGTAGGATCCATTATAAGGAGATGTACAAAGTTGTACGTACTATCTCACCTCCTCTGGGCTTTGGAAAGAACTGCCCCCACAGGGTGGCATGCAAGGTTTGGTTCCCCCATGTCAGCCATGTCCCTTTGGCTATTTTTATGTGGGATCCTTCCTCACTTCCTCCTTTTCCTTCCTTCCCATCCCTTCACTGAATATCACCACCCTGCTCAATCTTCAGGGCTGTGTTACTCAGGATAAAGAATGACAGTGCTTCAGTCTCGGGGTACTTAGGCACAAAACTTCCCTCTTTTAGTTTTACTGAAGGTAGCTTTTAATCCAAATTGGGGAAATTTTGTTTCTTTCTACCCCTTGGATCTGGGGTTTAAATGTCGCCCCGGTCTCACATATGTTACTGAAGGTAAGTGTGTAATTTTTTGGACCAGATCCAATGACGCTGTCATTTTTTTGTTCATCCTCTTCAAGGATTCCTCGCCTCCTATTTTTCTATGCGGTCAGCATAGAAAGCAAACTTTGATTTATCCTACTTTAGCCTTTGTGTTTGTGATGCCTTGAAATAATATTTTTCCTGTATATCCTCCATTCCTTTTCCCTTTCTACCCACCATCCCCCCCCCCTCCTGTGTTACTTTCCTCTGCCCTCCCTTGGGAATGCTATCCTCTAATGCCTCCATTTTTATTAAATTTACCCTCCAACACCATCCCTGTCTCCTCTTTCTCTTCCTCTCCTACCCTCTTTTTTTGCCTCTTTTCCTCATCCCCATATTCATGGCTACCTGGCGCCCCCAGTGGTCGTATCCATTACACTGACATGTATGAGATGTTGACCAACATGTCGCCACCCCTAGGCCTGGGCAAGAAATGCCCCTCCAAGGTGGCTTATAAGGTAGATCAAAAAGCTGAGACGGCTGCCATGTTTATCAGTCAGCAGAAATAAGCATAGGGAAACTTCATTTTTGTGTGTCAGACATGAGATAAGTACAGTAAGGCATCCTTTGTGTTGGTTATAATACCCAGATTTGCTTGTTGAAGTTTTGTCTATCAGCAATGATTTGCCTGTCTGCTTTGCATCTTGGCAGAAAAAAACTAACATCATTTTTGTTTAGTGATATCTGATGAGAGACTATCTATGTTATTTCAAAGGCAGTTTAAGGTCATAAAACATAAAGTTGTTAAACATCTACATGCCTGATACCATCGTCAGTTGTCCTCATTTCTTTCATACATACCCCTCAGCCGCCTGCATTACCAAGTCTGCATGTGCATGCTCCCACAACTGTGTTGCTTGTTTGTTTCCTGTTCCAGTATATTGCTTTATAGATAAGCAGGCTCAGAGCATGCTAAATTGCAGATTTATTACTTTTATTGAACAAAGCTTGCACTATATTGATTTTGTTTCGCAATTACACATTACAAAGGATGACAATCTCTTCATTGTTTTTATGCATTCTATATTATTACATAGCTTTTTATTTAATATAACAACAAAAAGAATCATAGATTGTCAGCAAAAAGTATTTTAAAATTATTTGCTGCTTAGTGGTAATCAGTAAAGCTGAAATTTAAGTTAAATTTCATCATTGAGATGGTTTGGGAATGAGCTTTAAAAAATAATTGTATTTAAAGTTAAATTTGTGAATATTGGATAACTTTATATCATGATTTGACTGCTTAATAATCATCTCAATAAAGTTACACCGGTCACGGAAACCATTAACAATTTTCAATAATAAATCTTCAAATAACTAAAGCTGTTAAAATTTCAGCTGACTCTAATTTCTCTACGGTAAATGAAAAATATGTTTTTTTTATTTTCTGCTTTTTGCATACATGGAAAGGGGATTTGTTCTTTAATACTATATAGATTACTAAAAAACGAGTTTTGAGGTATTTATACAAATGTAGGCACACTAAAATGGTCAAACAGAATATCCATTTTAACATTTCCAAAGACACATTACACTATAACTCAGATTTTTGTTTTACTCTTTATAAAATTCCAGATGTGGAAGTGAGCCATACCACAAAGTTGAAATTTCGTTGCACAAGATCATCTTACAAAGAATAGTGTTTAACTTATTCTTAAAAAATCTAATCTATACCAGAAATCACTGTCATTATGTTCTTGTGGCAGCAATAACTTCCACACCAAAGAGGGTTTTAGTTGCAGTGACCTGCTGGACGTAGGGGGCTTTGACTGATCAGCAATTTTTCCAGTTAATCATTACCAGTTAGGAGTAAAACTGGTCAATTTCTATGACCAACCGATTTCTTGGTGTATCTTCATCTATATAACTGTCTTACATCATTCTCTTCAGTTATAGAATAAGTTTTTTTGTGTGTGTAATACAATTCATGCTTTCCCATTCTAGAGGAGTAAATATTTTTGCCACACATAGGAGAGCAAGCTTTAAACATTTAGAAGACCAATAAATCTGCATTTTTCTTAAATCACCCTTGCAGTGAGCTTTCTTGAGCTCTTCTACGATGTTGTTCTGAGTAAACTTTATCTTACCATCAGAGACTTGTCCTGATGAACATGCCTGTGGATGATGAGATGACGGTCCACTTCACATCCACCCTCATGGCCCTCATTCGCACCGCACTTGAGATCAAGTTAGCAAGAGGTTTGTCATAACCTCTCCAATAAACTGGAATATAACTCTTAAAATATTAAGTTTGAACATAAGTATGTGTTTTGGTATTGTTATTTCCAGGAGGAGAAGATCGAAATCAAATGGATTTGGATCTGCAGAAGGAGATTGGAATTATCTGGCCCCACCTTTCTCAGAAAACGCTGGACCTGTTGGTTCCAATTCACAAAGGTACAATCCTCATAATAAATGATACTTAAATTTATATGGGGGGGGGAAAATGGGGAATTATTTTTGTTTAAAAATAAATATTCCTTTGCCTTTTAATGTGAATTAATATCTGATGCTTTGGGTTTTCTTTTGTCACAGCTAGTGACATGACTATAGGAAAGATCTATGCTGCCATGATGATAATGGATTACTACAAGCAGAGCAAAGCCAAAAAACTGCGCCAGCAACTGGAGGAACAAGTATATATATTTTTTATCCTATTCCATGGTTTGAGTTCAACCCCCATGATGTTTCTTTTTAAGTATATGTTCTCCTCTTTCTTTCATCTTTTGTCCTGTTTTTTTCTTTTTCCTTCTTCTTCTTCTGTTTTTCTGCTCTACTTACATTGCAGTGTCCATATGAACTGTAAAACTCCCTGCATAATTATAATAAAGCAATTTATATACATGAAACAAGTGGAGCAGTATGGCAATTGCGATACCGCTACACTTGTGAAAGTAAAATCTGTTGGGCTCCTTTTGGCATCAAGACAATTATTCTTATTGCCACCTTGCCAGACAGGACACTGTAAAAAAAAAAAAAAAAAAAAAAAAAAAGTATATGTTCTTAATGGGTGAATGTAATTGTAGATGTTTTAAATTTGATATTAATGCAAAAATAAAATATATGAAATCAGAGATTATCGTCAAAAGGATGAAATAAGCCTAAAGTAGGTGAAAAAAATAGATTGGTTGCATATTGTTAAATCATTTTAACTTTGTATTTTTTGGGAAGTTTACCCTATTTAGACCACAGCGACTTAGTTTGATGTGGATGGCTAAACCAAACCTAAGAAACAGACCAGTAGATGGCTATACAATGCCTTTCCAGGGTACATTTTCTTATTTTGATTACACATATTTGTTGATATGTTAATTATTAAGGAATGTTGATTTATAATAATAAGGTTAATAGTCAAGGTAGATGCCAAATGAAGCCAATTAAGAACTTTAATACAACATTTTAAGAAGTGCTTAAGTTTAAGCCAGAATGACATGTTGATGTAATTTTTGCACTGATTTATTAATCTATTTTTCTGCAGGTAAGTCTGACGACAGGTAAAACAATTATGTAAAAACAGGAAGCCCAGTGGAGGGGTTAAATAATAAGCAGGCATAAAAAAACAATCTAATCAAATGGGAAAAATAAACTGATGCTTTGTCCAAATAAACATTAGAAATAAATAAGACATAAGGAGCCTCTTCCTACCAGATGTATTTTTAATTCTCACCAGCTTTGAGTGAAAGGTTAGTTGGTAACATAGAAACACGGCTGAAATCAATGAAGAGAGGACATAATGTTTATAACATATTTTCATTGATTTAACTGTTTTAATTTCCCATTTGTACATTTTTCTCTTCTTAGAAACACGCCCCCATGTTTCAGCGTATGGATGCTTCCTCTCTTCCTCAAGAAATCCTATGCAATGCCAAGTCTCTGTCATTTCTCCGACACAGTGCTGGATCTGCTCTGTAAATATCTGACTTTTGGTTTTTTCTTAGATCTTTCTCTAGTTCCTCTGCTCTGACAGCCTACATTTTTTCTCTTTTTTTTGTGATCCTACAGGACCAGAGGAGGTTTTGTGGCACTCAGCCCCATTTCTCCACAGGAAATGTTCCTGCAGCCACGGCCTCACTCCAGGGAGAGGACAGAGGAGGAGGAGGAGGAGGAGGATGAAGATTATCACTCACCTTACCACCTTTACCAACATCAACATCACCATCATCGTCATTTACATACGCTAGTAGGTGTTTCAGTTGTACTCAGCTTAAGACTATCCGGAGAAGGCACTTACTGTAATGTTAGTACTTCAGGTTACATTTAAACTTTCTAAAACTGTTTAAATCTGTTTGTCAAAAATATTTCCATCAATTGATTTTTTTTTTTCGGTTTATGACATCAGAGTCATAAAATCCATTGTATGTTTGTACGATTTTTGTGATAGAAAAACAGAAAGTTGCAGACACAGTTATATTTTAAATATTGTAAATGTTATATTTTCTGACAAATAAGTGTGATAATGGTTGCATAACTTTGATATTCCTCCAGCCTTCATGTATATACTCTTTTCATGTTGTGCAATTTTTCTTATTCGATTATGCATATCATTTATAATTCAAATTTCCGATGAATAATTCATCATTCTAATCAAAATTCATCCACAATGAATCTATATTTTAGATAATTGTGGATTATCAGCATTTAATAATTGTAATTAACTATTCTGATTATTAATTAACATAATTATTATCTTAATATATACCATCAAATATGATTATTTAAACCAGTCGTGGTTTCGTTTGCGTCATTTCCTAGTAGGTGCTGCCTGGCTTAGCAGTAGATTACGCCTGTATTTGCCCCCTTGTTTCCTTGTTTATCATTGTTCCTTTATTATTGTAAATACTGTATGCACAATGGGCTTTATATACTAACACTAATGAGCAAAAAGAAAGCATAAAGCACAAATAACACACCAGAAGGATGCTGTATTATTTCAGAAAGTATGCAAAGAGTGTGAGTTACTGGCATATTTTTTTAAGTCAAATAATGTGACTATGTAGCTTTAAGTTGCCAACATAAAGCAACAATGTAATACGTCAAAATGTCTAGCAGAGATATGTATGCTTTCGAAAGGCACCATATATTAGTTTAGACTCAATAAGTCTGGGATTTTTGGTAATTTGTGTGTTGAGCTTCTCCATTTCAGCAGAAGAAATAATTTATTCTGTTTTATTTGTGTAGGTGCCGGAGGTGGTGGAGTACAACCATCTGATGCAGAAAGCCAGGCAGGACCAAACAGTTATTAAATCACCACCGCGCACTGCATCTATCAGAGCATCCTCCATGCCCAGGCTCGCTGTTGATCCACAGGTAATGAAAAGTAATCACCTGTATGCAGTCCTAAATCCAGTGTGTACCGAATATGTCTTGTGAAAATTAGCAGGCAAATAAAATTTGGATTTAGTTCTCATATTCACTGCCTCGCTGCACTAAAGCAAAATAAACTGGTTAGAAAGGCCATAAAGTTGTGATTCACTCAGCTCACATTTAAATGTGGGGTTTGTGTAAGCGGTGGATTTTGCTGTCAGTTACTTGTCTGTCTTCTGGTTGATTTACATGCATGAAGGCTGTAGTCTCAGAAGACGGGCGGCTCATGAAACGCTCCTTCTCCACCATCGGAGATCAGTGTGTGAACGGCCTGTGGCAGGAGCAACACTCTCTGGAGAAAATCAGTCCTGATGACACATTCAAATCTCGCCAAAGGAGTTTCAGAGGTCAGTTTAACTTTTCCTAAAGATGGAATATTCTTATGTTTTTGTTATTTCATTTATATATATCTATATATATATATTTATGTGTATATATATATATATATATATATATATATATATATATATATATATATATATATATATATATATATATATATATATATATATACACATATATATATATATATATATATATATATATATATATATATATATATATATATATATATATATATATATATATATATATATATATATATATATATATATATATATATATATATATATATATATATATATATATATATATATATACATATATATATATATATATATATATATATATATATATATATTAAACATCCATTAAAAAGAACAGTTTTCCCCAAAATAAGTCTAATTTCTGGCTTAAAATACCATAAAGTAAATAAATATCAGTAGTCTCATTATACATTTTTTACAAGACCCAGTTTGGGCAGTTTAAGGGTATAGTGGAAGATTTTCGAGAATTTTTGAAAACACCCGCCCTCTCCATTTTAAAAAAGAAATGCATAAATGCAAAACCCTGTACCCACCTCCGAGAGGAAACGCCTATTAAAGGCGTGCGAGAATATGCACAAGTTAATTTCTCCTCATGCACGCTCTGTTTAAAAGTTTCTGTTTGCATCGCTCATACAATCTTACTTTCCAAAGGAAGATTTTCAGTTTTTCCTCTATGTCAGACTTACCACCGCTAAGTAAAAATGGGGGTGAGCATACAGTATAGTATGGCCTTACGTAAACATCTCACCAGAATGATTGACAATTAGGGGGACCACTAATTGTGATGATCCAGAAAGAACATAAATAAATCATTGGGGGTATAACGTAACTAAAAATGTAACTGTGATCGCTAGGTCCCAAAATCAGCCCCAGAGAAACAAGCATTCGCGAAAGAGGGAGATCGAAAGAACGGCGCCACCTGCTGTCTCCGGACATTTCCCGTTGCAACTCTGAGGAGCGAAGCAGGGAGCCTTCTCGTGAGAGTAGGCAGTCCCGCTCACCAAGCGAAGGACGCGTGCATAACATCCAGAAACAGGTAAGAGTCCCTGAAAATACCCACCAAAAACAAATGTATTGTGTTGCTTTTTGTAAATGTTGATCAAGATTTTTTACATAGGTTTTCGTTGTAAATGTAATTTTAATTTAATATAAAAAGAGTTGTTCTTGGTCTCTACTTTCTTATCTGGTGTTGTTGTGAAGGCGATGACATCAGGTAGTCCAGCAAACTCTCCCCCGGAGTCCAGTACCCCTCGTAACCGGCGCCTGCTGCCTCAGACACCCTCTCGTCCACGGCCTTATATCTCCTACTCTCCTCTCGTGTGCAAAGCCTTGACATCTCCTTCTGCTCCTACCGACCGTGAAGGACAGTGCCAGCCTCAGGACGTACCAAGTGGCTCCACAGAGACCTCTTGGCAGGCTGAGAAGGAAAGCAGACCCCTGTCGGCAGGTCACTGCTCCTCTCAGGGTCAGAGTTTAGGACCAAGCCATCCTTCGCCTCACCGCTACATATCTGAGCCCTACCTGCCTTTTCATGAGGACTTCAGTGGTGATGATTCAGGTGAGAGGCAGGAAACACTGACCTTTGAGTCTGCCATGGCCACCAGTCTGGGACGAGCCAACGCAATAAGCTCCGCCCCTCAGCTCAGACACTCTTGGCAGGTTCCCAATGGTCACGTCCGAAAGCACTTGGTGAAGGGGAGCCCGACTGATAACAGCGAGCTGCTAAGTGACACAGATGAGGATGACCGCTGCTAAAACTCAGAAACAAAGACGCATCCGATGCACATTGCATCGGGGGAGAGCAGAGCGGCTTCACGGCATCAGGGGAGCTAAATCATCTCCCATGGGGCTAAGAGAACCTCACATTCTCCGCACCCGTAGCATTACAGCCAGGACAGAGTTACAACATTATTGATCTGGATACTTTTGTCAGACTTTATATGTCCGTTTCTGTTTCTAGTAGCTGAAAGGAATCTAGATATTTGGACCGGAATGTCTGTTTATATGTGTGTGCTATGGATACAGAATGTGCCGTAAAAAAGTGAAATGCAGAGGGGGACCCTAATACAAGTAGCCCAATGCCCAAATCAATAGGTTCCAGCTCCCTCCCAAATAAATGTTTCATCACAGAACAAAAATACTGTCAGATGTCTTTACAACATGTCCAAATGTTTCCAAAAATATCTGATGAAGTGCATTTTGTGGAAGTGAAAAATAGAGGTAGTATATCCACATGTAATGAGATGAATGTATTTTTATTTTAAGTTCAGGTATATTTAGTGGGCTGTCTATAGAGCGCAAAATTGTATGAGGAAATTTTTCTGTGGTCAAGCAGCCACTCTGTACTTTTCCTGTTTACAGTAAGAATTTAGTGAAAGATAAACGGGCATTACATTGCTTGGTCTTTCTGTTGTAATGTGAAAACAATGCAGATGCTCGGAAAATAGGAGAGAGATGCTCTGTCTCATGATCTAGTGACTCCAAGTATGTATTATATGACCCAACGTGAAGTTGATGAAAAGCCAAAATTTGAAATCCAGTTTCCTTTTTTTTATATGTTTGCTTACCGACTCTGCTGACCATGTCTGGTAAAGCAGCCATGTCCAAGTGATGCTGCCATGTGAAAAAAAGCCAAATGTTTGTCCAACCTATATTTTGCTGTGCCAGACAGTCCCTCTTGATGGCGTGGTGGAGAGCTAATTCAAGACATTATCTCGTCTGCAGAGCTTGGGATGTGTTGCCTTATTTCCTGCGAAGATTAAAGCTATGACAAATAATTGCCATACTGCCATACATGGATGCTTTAACAGAAATCACGGCAATGCTGCTGTTTGTTTTGTAACTCATAAATTTTTCCCATTATGTTTCGTCTGTAACACTAATATTGTATTTTTTGTGCTTACAGGTTTTTGTATTTCATGCATGATCACAATAACTGCCTGATTATTTTTGGTGTTGAATAGGTTCTTGCAACAAGTTATCTGAAGACATGCATTATATTGTCTGCAGTGTTTAGTCACTTGTCACCCCCAAAAGATGAATTTAATTGTTATCCCATTCCTACCCTATAGTTTTCAAATTATACACCCTTTCTTCTTGGCTTTAACAGATTTATCTCTTTTAGAGAAGGCTTTCCAGTATGTTAAGGAAAGCTTTATGGATTTTTTGTTTTTATATATATATATATATTTTTTTTTTTTTTTTCTTAGACGAACATTTACATGAGATGTATGAGATCAGACACTATGTTTCATAGCCTTTGCTCCAATTCATCTAATAGGTGTTTATCTGTTGAAGTCAGGACTTTGTTCAGGCCTCTGAAGTTTGTCCACACTTAATTATATACCTTATATGATCTTAATTAGTTTTCTTTGCTTTCGTCTTGTTTTGGGTTTTTGGCTTCTTTTTATATTTAAATGTTTTTACTCTTTGCTCTCCATGTTTAGGTCATTCTTTTGTTTTAAAATACCTCATGCTTCTATTTTTGTACTCTAGTCAGGGATGCAACTCCTTTATTTTCTATTGGGCATGCAGTTAAACCTGCAGGCCCAATTTGGGCACTATTCACTATTCTGGGTTACCACTTACCACTTTACTCCTGTTGGTAATATCACATGCACTAACAGCTGTTACCTACAGAAATGGCCAACTAGAAGTGATTGCCCATAAATGATCACCTCTATATCACGGTGCACCCATACACCACAAGTGCAAAGTGCATACCAACTTTTTGCACCGCTGACTTTAGTTTTTTGTAAGTTTTAATATTCGTTTTGTCTCCTGTTCTTTGATTAATATTTTGGTGATGTTTATGGTGTTTTGGGTTTCTGTCTATTTCCAGGTTTGTACTCTGCTAGTCTTGTTGTGTTTTGTTAGTGTTGCTTTTCTGTGATCCCAGATTAAGCCGGTACCGTGTCTCAGTGTCTTACTTCTATTATCTTCTCTGGTCTCTCTCATTCTTTCCCCATGAATACTTGGTTTTCTCCTTCTGTGTCAGATCTCTGTTGTTGCTATTAGTGTGGTTTGTTACCAATGGTGTGCTTGTATCTTTTATTATTATTTCTTTATTTTGTTTTTATTTTTCCCAGTTTTGTTATTGGTATCTTTGATTTTTTTTATTTCTTGACTAAAACAATATATTTCCACCTGACTGCCTCCTGCTTTGTAATCTGCTCCACAAACGTACGACAGTTAAAGTGTTTCTAGACCTTCCTTTTTGCCCTCTAGCAGTCCTATTAACAACCCTAAATGGTTCTCCCAATATTTGCAGCTGCAAGATGTCAAAAAATGTCTTGGCAAAGTAAAGCATTAACAGTTAATAACAATAGAACTAACTGGAACAGCCTTAAAAAAATAAAACCTGGATTCAATGATTGGATTCAATCAATCCTGACCTTCACTCTTCAGTTATGTTGTGTTTCTATCTCATGAAGATGAATATTTATATCATGTGCTGTTGTGTTGGTAAAATATAACAAGTTGGCAATGTGAACCCGGCACATATTTGGACAGAGGAGCTCTATAAAACCTATATCTTAGTGGAAAGGTCTCTGGAATGTGTTTTAAAGTAAACGGGTTAGGTTTCAGCCTCTCACTGTAGTATAAACATTACATAGAACAGTCCTAAACATGTACAGGGCAGCTTAGGACTTAACTTGGATGTCAGTCTAAACAACCTAACTTGTGCCTAGGAAAGCTAATCCCTATCAGGCCTGGATTAATTAGATAGATAAGTTCTCTGGTAAATATGTTGTATGAGCCGTAAAAAAATTTATTTATTTATAGTACCTTTTGATTTCAACTGTAATTATAATTATGCTTGTTTTCTGACTGTTTACACAAACTTTAATTAGATGCCCTGTCTTTTCTGTGCCAAATTCAATTAAATGAGTATGATTTGTTAACAGAGAGGTCCGCAGATGTGTTTTTTGTAATTAAGAACAAGGTGATGGCATTTAGGACACAAACTCTGTTAGGCCTCTGTAAGTGTTGATTCTTAAGAAAAAAAATCTTAAATAAATCTGGAAAAAAAACTCTAATCCATGTAATCCATCTTTAATACATGATGACTCTGTTTCCAACTCCATCTCTATCTCTATGAATGTATTGACTGTTTGTTAAATGTCTTTTCCCAAGACTTCCTGATACAAGTATTGAAACCTTTGAGTGGTTGCATCAGGTCTTCCACCATATTCACAATAGTTTTTTGTGTAGTTCAGTTATTAGCTTACCCTCATAGCTGCACCTTGTTTATAATCATCCACTTGATTTTTGTTCTATGTCTCCTTCTTAATATCTCTATTAGTCAACTCTTTGCCCTTAGACAAAGAGTCGCTGCCCACCTGTTTGCCTGCGCTCCTTTTGTCATTTCATATTTCGGATTTCTCCTGGATCTTTGTTTTGAATTTCCTTTACTAAGAATATTGTTTATTTTTAGCTACCTGCCTCCTTCCAGCATTTTGGTCCTCTTTACCATTAAATCACACAATCATAAAAAAAAATCTAGATACTTTATAAATATTTATTATTAAGAAATGTTAACAACTTGCCCAACTCTGTTACACCTAGTGATTTGGTAAAGTACAAACAGATTAACAAATTCTTCACACAAAAAAGTTATACATTAACCGTAGGGGAGGAACTTTCGCGTTTTGTGATTCGCTCACCGACTATTGAAATCATGCGTGATTCATTACCACCGTCCGAGGCCGGGTTGACGTGAATTAATGGTGTTCTGATTTTTGCAGCTTGTGAATCATAACTGACACTTCCTTACATACTTTACCAATATGCTGAGATAGGATGGATGTTATCTGGAATGGATAATGCAGTTATTAATTATATAATTCAGAACTAATGTGAAAGAGGTCAAATCATCGAGTTGCATTTTTTCATCTGCGCCGACTGACTTTGTCTGATATGTGTAGCCCGTTTTTAACTACAGGAGCATAAAAATTACAGTTACAGTTCTATGAATAGCACACCTAACATACCGGTAACTAGAATCATGCTTACTAACTATTTCTAAATGTATTGGAGCAGAAAATGCCATTAAAGCTTTGTAAATAACACACTAAATCTGATTGAATCCCTTTTTAACTGTAAAGTGTTACATTAAATGAATGATTAGGTGAACAAAACATTTTTTGAAGTGATTCTTGTGATCCAGTTCACTCAAGAGAACTCATTTCCATTCCTATGTAGTATTTCTTACAAAGTATTTAACATAAATTGATTGAGAATTATACAGGGATACCTGAAAGCATAAAACTAATTCATTATTCACTATTTGTGCTAGGAGGCCCTTTAGGATATTATATTGGAAGCTGGTCCACTGACTCCTGTTGTTAACACGACTATCTAAATATACATAGAATTAAACATCCCTTTGACATTTAGCAAATCTAAACTTTTAACTGTTGGGATGGCCAATCGGAAAAAAAATGTATCATGCAATGTAAAAAAAGTAGGCTTTTATTTATTTTTTCCTTTTAACCTCAAATAGGACACTGGGTATTTACTCAAAGCTTTACTACATTATGTTTCTGTCAGATTGGTGACACAGTGTGAAAAAGGTCTTTAGCTTCTTTGTAAGGCTGGACGCAAATGAATCTGCACATTCTTGATTAAAAGCACATAAATGTATTGTATTTATTATAAACATTTATTTTCTAGGTCCGGTTGGAACATATTAAATGTAATTCATGTTAATCTTTCATCTTTGTGACAGTAGCTGAACATCATCTGATGCTCGAAGTCTCACTTATTCCTGGTGTATGACTAGGATGGCCTTCATCAGGACAATTGATTGAGGTAAATTGGTTTTCTATCTCAAAGACTATGCCCCTGCCGCTGTACACAATTTTAATGACCCTGAAGCAGTAATTAACTATTTATTTAGATACCTGTAAACATATATCAAGAATAGTTCAGCTTGACATTATTTATACACCTGGCATATTAAGATTTTTCATATATCCATCCATCCATTATCTGACACGCTTGTCCTGAGAGGGGTCGTGAGGGGTGCTGGTGCCTTTCTTTTTATATAAATATTTTAATTTCATTTGAAGTGAGAGACCTTCATCATAAACAAAGTAGGCTCAAAAAAGACATTCTTTTATTCAACAATTTGAAATTGCCCACCAAAATTTGAATGCCTCCTCATCATCACACTAATCTTTATCTGTCTTCAACATAATTCTTAGGTTGAAGTTAGGAGTGTAGTTTAGCTGATCACAGCAACATTATTTTCAGTCAGAAAGACATTAATGTAAAATCTAAAGATTCCTTGGAATTTGTATGTGTCAGGTGTATTAATGACCTGAGGCTTACAGCTGTGTCTGAAAGTTTAAATACCCTTCCATTGAAGACAGAAAAGTACAGCTGCCAGTAAAATACATTGAAATTGAAAAAAAAATTGCATAATTATTAAAAAAATTAAGTCACAACACTGATTTTGAAAATGTATATTTAGAGATATATGTGTATATTAATAAATAAAACAAGTAAACAAGCCTGATGGATCTCCTGAAATAACATTTTGCTGAGCAAAACTTTGAGGCAATCACTAAAACAAGGTGTTTTCTGAAATGTTCAGGTAACATTAATTAATGTTACCTGAACATTCCAGGTAACATTATGGGTGGGTATATAAACTTTGAAGAACAACTGTAGATGTAGTCCTTAAAATAAAGTGATCTAATTCTGCTAGTTAAGAACTCTGGTAAGCTTTTTAAAGAAGGTATAAACTATTTGTGATTAGTTATAACATATGATTATTGTCTTCTGCATTTCTCCTGAATTTACCTCACTGTGCTCCATTTCTGTGCCCCACACTACCATTCAAGCCTGTTCCTTGGATTCTGTCGCCTGTCTCTGATTTCCCAGCTCTGTTCCCCGACCTCAGCGTTTTGCCTTGTGCTCAGTTCTTTCACTGAGACAGAAACCTCTGTGCAATTTGTTACTGGAGATTCTGAATATAACTCCTTCTTTCAACCATGGAGTCTTCCTCACAACCTGTCAAGTTCCCAGTGAGACCATCTTCATATCACCAGCCTGTTAAACTGATGAGCCAACCTGCAGTTAAGTATGTTAAGAGATTTTTTTTTTCTTACTGTTATCTTTAAGTTTGTACCCATCTACAAACATAACTCTTCTTCTCCAGAGGATCTGGACCTTTGATGGTTTCCTGTATATCCCTGATTTTCACTACTAAATACATTAATGAAACTGATCCGATGTGTCCGGCTTACTTTCCGGTCCTCTGATTAGTTAATTGCACTTAACTCCAATTTACACACTAATCTGCATATCAATGTATAAATGAGTATGCATTTTTGACTGAGACTATATGAATCCCTTTCACATCCATTTGACTGGATCTTATGAGAAGAAAGGTGTTCTGTAACTCATATTTTCACATATCAAAAAAATTTCCTGAGATCAGTAAATAATGATATACTAGGGAGTCATATTAAGACAGAAAACCAGAACCAAGATGTGAGCCTGATCAAAATAAAAAAACAAGCATGGCAACCTTGTTTCAGATTTTTTTTTTTTTTTTTGTCCTTTTAGAGTCTATTAAGTTTCAGTTAAATTTTATTTGGTTCTCATTCATCTCCATCAATAGAGACCAGAGCCAGCAAATTCAGCTTTACCTTTGGTACCATTTACTATATCATAACAAAGGTCAAGTGAAAAACCCATCAAGAAGTCATTGACAGGTGAAGATCTGCCTGCCAGTCCAATGGACTAACAGTGATTTGATGAGATAAACATTGTTAAATCACTTATCAGCTATTAAAGTATGATGTTACAATAGATGTATGTGCGTGAGGGTTTGCAAGACTGTTACTGTTCCTGCAGACAGCAGGCATGTTGTCTTGTCCTCATTTATATTGGTGATAAGCATGGTGTGCCTTTTTTGGTGTCCCTGACAATCATTGATATCTGCCATTTTACAAAACCTCCTATCATTTTATTTAAACTTTTCAGCTGATTTATTTCTAAAGATCCCCTGAATTTACCCTTTTATACATAAAATTCAGTTTTTGTTGAATATATATATATATTTCACCCTTTTCTTTTTAATACCCTCTAGATTATATTTGAGGAGGACCGATTATTCTTCTCTGTTGTACCCATCCCATAACCACCCTTCTAAAGACTTGTGTTGCAATTTAAAGTTTTCGGGTGAAAGCCTTCAAGCCTGTGTCTGCTGGGAAGAGCTGTATCTTCTCACCCTTTCCTGTAAGCTCCAACCCTATCCTACACAGCCTTCTTTATGTAGTCAATTATTGCTATTCTGATCCACATGTGACATTCCTCACCTTCCCTCAGGACTGCATTTCTCTCTCCTGACAAAAATAACAAAGAAGAGGGTTTTAGAAAACTGTTCTTGCAAATTAGATTGATTTTTAAAGACATTTCATGAGGAACTATTGTTAAACATTGAGCAGAACTTTTGATTTAATGTCTGAGGTAGTTCAGATCTCCCACAGAGGCATCCATATTTAAAGAAATAATTTTTCTTTCTCATTCAAACCCATTTCTACAGAAAGAGAAGCTGTTTTCTCACCTCATCTGATCGGCTGCTCAAACCCAGCAAGCTGAATAAACCAAAAAGGATTCATACCCTCTGTTTATCATTATGCTCACATAAGTGTTGTTCACACTCTCAGGCATGAGACACTTGCAGATTTGTTGAAGAACTCCTGGACAGCCGCCCGTCTGTCAGAGTAATGCTAAAATAACAACACAGAGATGTGTCCATGTCAATTTCCATCTGTATGTGTTTCTGTTAGATCTTTTTTTTTCTTCTTTCCTAGTTGCTTAGAGCTGCAGAAGGATTTTAGGTATTTTAGAAGTGCAACTGAAGGCTCGCTTGGAGCTCTGACTTAGAGGGACAGACGGGTCAAACAACAGACCTGATTTTCACCTGCAACACAAGTCATGTCTGCTGCTCAAGTTTCCGTGCTGCTCTTCCTCCTAAATTATGTAAGTCTTTTTGTTCAAATGTTGTTTATTTTATTTTTAATTCAAGCTGGTTTAGACCAGCTAAGTTGCTGACAGCTTTAGTTTTAGAAACTATGGGCGTTTTAGTTCTAGATATTAAACATCTGGATAAAACATATTTTCCTAAAATCAGAAAGGATTTAGATTGCTGCAGATTCTACTGTAAATGTTAAAAAATGAATTTAGTATTTATTAAACTGACTTTTCTGTAGTTTAGTTGTCTCTGCAGAGGTTCAAAATTAGGCTCAGCACAGGTTAATGTTTATGATGAAATACAGAAAGGTGAGTTTCGATGTAAGTGAATGAAAAAAGTTAAACTAAACATTGACTGTATCCTCGAAAGTTTACAATTCTTAGCTTCAGCTCAGAGAGTTTCTACTTCTAGTCTCTTAATCTATTTAATTTAATTTCTTTCCTGACTCCTCATGTTGTTACATAACATGTTACATAATCAATATTTTTCTTTATTTCTTCAGTATTTTGTAATTTTTGTTCTTTCTAATCTATTTGTTATTACAATAGGGATTTGATTTGGATTTTTAATTTATTATTAGATGGAATTCTTGAATTTAATCGATTTGAAAACAGTTTTCATTATTTAAATTCATCTGACAGCAAACATAGACCTTACATTGTGGATCTTTTGATGCTGATCTTTTATTGTTCCAGTCCTCATTTCTGCATTCAGTTGTTTTTAACAATGTTTATAATGTTTTGATGATATAAGGATTTACCAATAAAAGTAGAAGTTTAATTTCTTTGTTTATAACATCCCTATCAGGTTGGATCTTTTTATGGGATAAACTCTCAGGCTGGATTCAAGTCATCAAGCTCCAAAAAGCAGGCTGGTTACTCTGAGACAACCCCAAGAACGGATCCTTTGAGCAGAACGTCCCCTGCTCCATACATACATGGTGAACATACACAGGCTGTACTGAAAACCCAAAACATGGTGGAAATTAAGTCTGCTATGAGTAGAGAGAAAGACAAACCAAACATTCAGAGTGGCAGAGATAATAAAAGCAGAGATCCAGTTCCTCTGCCTCTAACTGAGGAGGAGCTTTTTAGGTCTGATTTATTGGATAACCTGCGGACTCCTGAAGATGAACTTATAACAACAGATGTTGCTCAAAGAAAGCCTCAGGATGGTCTCCATGCCGGCCATGGAAGCTTTAAAAGTAATCTTGTATCTGCTGCAGACAGCATAGAGACGACTCTCCAAAGCCCTGAAATTCAATCTAAGAATCCCACAGAAACAATCATGGAAGAAGCTTTTTCTTACAGACCGCATGTTGCTCCCACTTCCACGCTCATTTCTGTTTCCACCTCTAGATCAGGGCCTCTTATCTTCAACTCACTGCTATCATCTGAGGGTGGCGGAGAAGTGAAAAAGAAAGCCCCATCATCCGTAATCACATCTCCACTTTTCAAAGGCATGACCTCCTCTCCAGAAGACTGCAGAGGAAAACAGGAGGAGGGACAAGAAGAAAAAACAGAATCAGATGAATTCTCTACACTCCAGAACCAACCAGACGTAAACCTGACACTTATCAGAACACTGAAGGGAGAAGAGCTGAATACCAGCGACGGTGAAGCTAAGTCTGATAATATTTGTGCTCTTGGAAAAGTAAAAATGGAAAAACAGCTGGAAGCTGTTTCATTTGACATGAAAGCAACACTGCTTCCCCATGCAACAGATACAGATCATGCCGATGTAGATATAAACAACAAGGAGGAAAGATTGAAACACCCAGATATTAACATTACTGTCTTTGGTAATGGGGACATCCAGCTCTACAATCAGTCTTCATCCAGTTTAATATCTCAATTTAATTCTGAAGGCGTCACCCAATCCCAGGCTGAAACTCCACAGCACGCCGTTCATGCTGCCAATCAGGCCTCAGGATTCACATACAAACGTCTTCAAGCCAAACCCAGGCCAGGAATCAGAGGCCCAAGGGTAAGACTTTTTTCACATAAACCTCTTTATAAACAAAGCTGGATTGCTTATACTGAGAGATATTTGTATTTCTACAAATATGAGCTAATTTTCAAAGTCAGGCAGTGATATATTGAAGGCAGATTAGAAAAATCTGGATTGTCACCATTTATACAGAGGTTAATTCAAATGAAGAATGATATTAAGATTAAGTATTAAGATAAAAACATGAAATACATACATGCAAGAAATCTAAGGAATTCAAATATGAGACAAATGTATAACTAGCAGTAGTGGCTGGTGGAGTTTTCTGCAGGGGGGCTATACTTCAAAAAAGACGTATACCAAAAACCCAATCAAACGTATCAAAGGTATCACACCAGTATATTACAATGAATGCCACCAACAAAAAACAACATTATAAAATGCCTGGTTCTGCTGGAGGTTTCTTCCTTTTAAAAGGGAGTTTTTCCTCTCCACTGTCGCTACAAACATATGTGGTGTGAGGGATTGCCTTCGAGTCAATGAGTCGATGCAACTAACTGGTTTTCCTTAGATAGAAAACTTTGAATCAATTTGACAGTAAGATCTGGTTGCATTGTAAAGTGCCTGGAGATGACATGTGCTGTGGATTGCGCTATATAAATAAACTGAAATAAATTATGAAAGCAGAATGCAACATTAGCTCCACTGCATGCAGTTAGCCAAGCCTTATTGCAGTGACATCAGCGCTGTGGTGGGAGGTGATGTGCAAATAAAGCTGCTTTCAGCTCTGGGGGCAGGAGAGCTGCGCCCCATGATGGTACTATCTTTTGCAATGCAGAGGAGCTACTACGCATGTACAACTTTGAACGAGTCAATAGGCAAAGATTTTTGTGCTCCATGGCGGAAATACTTCACCAGTCTTACGACAAACAAAACAGCTTTACTCATCATTAAAGATCAAATCTTTATCTTGCAAAATCTAAAAAATATATTAATATGTTTCGAAATATTTCAATTTTATATAAATTTTTTATTTCTTTTTATGTCTTAATCAAGGTCATTGGATGGGTGCGCCCTCTATTGGCCAGCCACCACTGATTACTAGTACATTTAAACATGACCAAGTGGTAGAAAATAACACTGTTGATTGCTGATTTACACAAACCAACAGTTTCTAAACAGCTCAGGTTTTCATGGAGTGAGGAGCTGTGAAACAACATGTTTAGTTTTTGTCCCAGGAGCACCAGTGGCAAGCCACAGATGGCTTGACCTACATAGTTCATCTCTGGAAAGCAGTTCTGAGATGAATTTAATGCCAGGTCCATTCAATGCTTTAGAGACACTTGATAAGATGGTCAGTAAAAAGATTTTAGGTCTGCATTATGGTTGATATTTCTGAGTGAGGAAGCAGGATTTTAGATGAGCTGCATCTTTGTGATTTTAATTTTTTGACAATCTTACCTAAACATTTAAGTTTGTTTTTCTTTCTTTTTTTTAAAGGAAACTCTTTACTCTTATTTGGGTTTGGACCTTATGTTGTTGTGAAAACTAAGATCTGAGTCCTCGACAGTCATGTTTTCTGTATGCTCTGTCTCTTCTGCATGAAGCTAAAAGAAGACATAATTTGTGTGAGGGACTTTGTCTGAGGCAGGGATCATGGAGATGTTTATTAAAAGTGTCCAGGGAATTTAAGCCTTTAGCAACCCATGTGTGATAAAGTAACAGATGAAATCCATCTACTTTTCTATTCCAACAAACAAGATGTTACAGTGCTTTTTTTTTTTTTTTTTTTTTTTTGTCCTTTTTTTCCTTTTCAAGGAAGTACATAACGCATAGAGATGCACAAAATATAAGAAGACCTGACATTAACTCCACACAAATCATCCATATCTAGAGAACCCAAAATAACTTATAAAACACTGAAAATATCCATCTTCTCTTCATCAATCAAAGTCCGTTTAAAACAAGTCAAAGAATGTATTAATAAAAAAAACATTTGAGCACAGCAATCGCCCTATCCTTTGATATATGGGACCAGTATTAGCCATACAGTATGAGAAAAAAGCTTTAGTTTAGAACCCTGTTTTATTAAAATCTATTTGAAACACACTACTTTTAAAGGCTTGCATTTTACTGTCTAAAACAAACTGCACGACAAATCAGTTTACATATTTGCCATTGTTACTGACGCTTGTTGTCATAACATAAAAAAACATCCAGAGATAATATAATGGTTGCGTTCAAAGTGTAAAAATAGTCGTGTCAGAAGAAGGCAAAAGTTAATTGAAAGGTTTTGTCTCCCTCATGTGGTCGACTTTTGGTACTGCAGTTGGTTTTTAACATCTTCAGTCATTTTCCTTTCCACACCTTAATTATCCTCTAAACTGCTAACCTTTTCCAAAATGATTATGCTTTTGTTTGTTTTATTTGTTGGAAACTATATCTGATTCATTTATTCTTCATATTACTAATAATGTTTTTGTTTGTTTAATAATTTTTTTAACCTTGTTTTGATGTTGGAATAGGAATCCAGTGTATATTTGTATCCATGTACACTGATAAGAGAACAAAAATAACTGAAGTAATTGATAAAATATACATAACTGTTGCTATTACCTTAATTAAAAATCTAAAAAGGTAATGAATAGCAAACAGTTTTCCTACAGAATGCAATAAGATAAAAAGATTTTTTTTTTTTTATTAATGGGGATTTATATGGTATATTATTTTATTTATTTTTTCTATTATTATTATTATTTGGTTCATCTTTTTATCCAAGCTGCAAAATGGTGAAAATTTGTGAAGTATTTGCAAGCTAAACTGTATTGTTTTCAGTACTTTTCTTTTCAGGGACAGCGTGGTCCACCAGGACTTCCAGGGCCACCAGGACCTAAAGGAGACAAAGTAATGAGTTCTTATTTTAGACAATTGGTCTGCTTGCATGATTGACCTGCTTGCATTTACATTGATTTAATATAATGTTTCTGCATGCCTAACCTTATATAATTTGCAACTGGCAGAGGTTTAACATTTAAATCAGTTCATTAGCAGCTCAGAAACATAGAATAAACACATTACTCTATAATAATACAATGTATCAGTGATCTCATCTATGTGTTAAACTACCTAGATTAAACCACCAATTCTACCCACATATGTAAGTCTTTAGAAAAATAATGCTTTCACGATCTGCCCTATGAATTAATTGTTGTTCATTTGGATCAGGCAAATGAACAGTTTGTTTATAGCTATTTTTAAATCTGAGAATCTTTATCTGAAAATCTAGAGGTTACATTTACATAGAAACATATTTTTTGACCTTGTTTGCTTGTTGTTTTTTTCAGCCAGAGGATAATCTAAATGATCACAACATGGTTTAAAATTAGATCCGTTTTACTCATCAAAGGAACATATTGTTCTCTGGCTTCTAAGGGCTACCGAGGCGTAATGGGTCAGACCGGACAGACTGGATACAGAGGCCCCATTGGTCCACCTGGGATGCCAGCCATTGTAGTATTCAGAACCTCTGAAGAAGAGTGGGAGGCTTTCAAGGTAATGCTCCCCTGTGGATTTACACAAATCATAACCCAGTATCCCCTATAAAAAGATAACAAAAATGGTTAAAAGGACAGAACGTATCTAGCAAACTATAATGATGTAGAAGCGAGCTAAATGGAAATGATTTATATACATAGTGGGATGTGAAGAGCTTAGTAGAAACTGATAAATTACTGTAAGCCACTTAAAAGATATTGAAAAAAAAAACAAAAAGCTCTTTAGATCACATTCATTCAGGTGTTTGGTGGAAGGCCGTTGTCTATATTCCTTGCCTTTAAATCGTTCATTATTAACAGCTGCTTGTTCCCTTTTTGCTCACTTTGTTTCCAAAGGATGCATTTTGTCAGTGATTTTTGAAGTTCTGTTGTTGGAAGTTTGTAGATTATCTTGTTGAGATTTTTTGCTTTTTATATCACTCCTGAAATTATGACAGACCTCTGTCACTTTGTCACACATTTAAAGGAAGCATGATAACAGTTATTTCTTGTGACTTATTCTCAATTGATCACATCAACAAAGATCAGCAAGATAGTTTTGATAAATATGAGACCGGGCTTGGGCAGCAGCAGACAGACAGGTTTGCAAAGTTTTTCCCATCTATAAATAAAATTGTTATTTGAACATTATGTTTTTCCTTTACAGAAGTTATCTGCATCTATTATACTTAAACAGAGAGGTGTGTAAAGAAAGAAAAGGAAGGAATCTTTAAGGGGATATTTGGGTCTCTTATTCATTGCTATTTTGTATTTAGTCCGTCAGTTAATGTATTTAATTTAAGCACATTTTAAAAGACAGAAATAACATAAAATTATTTTTAAACCCCCCTTTTTCTTCATTTCTTCTTAGAAAAAGAAAATCTACAAAAAGCTGGTATCTTCTTGGCCGGTACGTAACCGATTTGTCACTTGGCTCATAAAAATGTCTGAATGACTCAAATAAGGAAATTCCAAACATTTCTCAGGACCTGCATGGTTTTAAAGAGAACACTGAACAAAGGCATTGGCTGCAGCAATGTGAGGTTTTGAGATTTTGTTGAATGTCAGACATCTATTTAAAAGTATTTACTTTAGGATTGCAAAAAGTATCCCTGACTGCTCCAGAAAGGGAAAAATAATTTAATGTGCACAATTTCTTAAAGGTATTGTTGACTGGAAACCTTGAGCGTCTCAGCACAGTAAACAAAATAAAAGATTGCGCAGGGCACCATGTTTTTGAACTGATCAAAATCCTGGAGGATTTCCTTTTTTTCTGTGTTTATTCAAATCGTTGTAGTCTACCATAAGATAATCTAAACACTCCTCAGCTGCTGACTTTTCTATTTTGACATATTATTTTGGTCTAAAATTCTTGCACCAATGAATCCTAGAATAGAATAGAGTAGAGTAGAATAGAATAGAATAGAATAGAATAGAATAGAATAGAATAGAATAGAATAGAATAGAAAATCCCTTTATTGCCCCACAATGGGGAAATTTTTGTGTTTACAGCAATAAGATTATAAAGAAAATGGTCGCCCAAATCAGGACCTTACAAAACTGTATAAGAATAACAGTGAAGAGTTAAAAGATAAACAATAAATACTGTTCTCTAAAGTGTTTTAACAATAAAAAAAATGTGCACCTAGAGGATAAATAACCAATATACAGCTAAGGACATTTTTACAGTTACAGTATTCATATTTGAAATAGCAGCAACATTAGAGGTGTGCAAAATGACAGCAGCATGTTATTTAACTGATTAAGGTAGAAACTGCTCACAATCAGCATGAATATAACAACTTATTTAGGTTGGTGGGAACAGTGGTGGTTATAGAGTCTTCCAGCTGCTGGGAGGAAGGATCTGTGATAACGCTCCCTGGTGCATTTAGGGTGCAGCAGTCTGTCACTGAAGGAGCTCTCCAGTTCTGTAACAGCTTCATGCATGTATGGGTGGGGGGGGACATTATCGAACAGAGATATTATTTTAGTTAGGATCCTTTTGTTTCACATCTCTTGCACTGATTTCAGAGGGCAGCCAATCACAGAGCTGGTCTTCCTGATCAGCTTATCCAGACGCTTCTCTCAGCTACAGATAAGCCACTGCTCCAACAGACAGCTCCATAGAAGATAGCTGATGCCACAACAGAGTCATAAAATGTCTTTAGGAGCGCCCCCTGCACTCCAAAAGACCTCAGTCTCCTCAGCAGGAGGTGCCTGCTCTGACCTTTCTGATACAGCACAGGTGCCAAACTGGTTCCAGAAAGGGCCGTGTGGCTGCAGGTTTTCTTTCCAACCAAGCAATAGCACACCAGACTCCATTCACGTCATCAAGTGAGTCCAATCTGAACATGATGACTTGATGAGATGAATGGAGTCTGGTGTGCTATTGCTTGGTTGGAAAGAAGACCTGCAGCCACACGGCCCTTTCTGGAACCACTTTGACACTCCTGTGATACAGTGTTGTGAGTCCAGTCCAGTTTGTAATTCAGAAGAACACCGAGGTACATATAATAGTCCACTATCTATCCTTTAATCCTATCCTTTAGTCATATTTGATTTATTGCAAACTGCAAGCTTTAAGCAGCTATTTGAAATGAGAACAACCCTAAAACTGAAACATTTACATTTTATAATTTAATGTTTACAGTCTCGCCTACATTTGCTCCAGCAAGATGCCTTTTCTGTCTTACGGCATTATTCAAAATGACCCTATTTGTTAGCAAGAAGTTTATGTGATAAAAAATAAATAAATAAATCCATAATTGTATTTGTTTTCTTCAGTATTTTATTTTAAAGGAGGAGGAAACTTAGAACAACTTTATGCTGTTATTTCATATGAACTGTGTCTCTGAAGTTAATCTTGAATCTTTCCTTATTTTAAGACTTTTAGTTGTTATACCTACGATTTTTTTTTTCTTTTTTTGTAGTTTTCTGTTTTGTTTTACAGAAACGTAAGGGGATTACTGGCCTGCCTGGACTTCCAGGAGAGAATGGACCACCTGTAGGGAAACGACAGAATTAAAATAAACCTTATCATATCATATTTTTCCCATTTAATTGATGTAAAAGGATTTTGAATAATCTCCACATATAAACATTGTCTATCAGGGGCCACCTGGAATTATTGGAAAGCAGGGACCAAAAGGAGCTCAAGGGAAGATTGTAAGTGTCTGTTAGATTCCTAATTTAATACTGATGTCTTACTTTATAACCCAGACAAGGGTTTTGCAGCCTACAGCTTCAAATTATTACTATTAATAATTTAGATCAAACAATTTTATAGAAAGGATCTATCATTTTATATACATATACATTCAAGCTTTATGCTAATAACATTTGTCTTGTTTTTTCATTTTTTATTTTTTCTGATATTATGGTGTAAATACTATGCTTTACTTTGTAGAGAAAAATATTTTCCCTAAAAATATATTTTTTTCAGTTGTTTTTAAAGGTAATGATAAAAATAGATTCTTTAATTTAGATGAAGATGAACAAAAAGCAATACATAATACCTATCTATAAAATGTACAAAGCTGATTTAACTTGTTCAGCTCTCTTTGTGGTTGTGCATTTAAATAATTAAATAGGAGTGAGGTTTAAAACTGCAAGGATTGTTGACCTCTGATTCATTTGATAATTGTAGAGAAGAGTGAAATGGGTTTTTAAAATGTCTGAAAACCTTATATCTAAAGCTGATAACTTTACTGTAACCTAACTGTAAATGTGTTACACAGAGAGTAAAGAAAAATGTTTAATAATAATAAATGTTGATGTTTTTAATAGTTAGTCTTTTACCTGCCCTGAAAAACTCCCAATAATCAATTAAAGATCCTCCAAGATAATTATAGCACCTTTAAAGAAATCTATGATAAAGGTGACGAAATAATAATTTCAATTGTTTTTAGAATTTTATTTGGTTCTTTAATGCAAATAGATTTTTTATTTGCTACACCAATTCTCCCTCATTTGCTGATACTATGGAGGTCAGCAGACACTTTTCTTAATGTCCATCCTGGTCTAGATCTTCCTTTTGTTGACTTCACAGACTTCTTGGACAGCTTTAAGAGTACTTAAAGATCAGAGAAGGACAACAGAAGCATTGTTTGGGTCAGATGTTGAGTTACCATCTTCTATAAAAGATAAATATGGAGATACAAAAAACAGAAAGATACCTCACATAAAAGGATTAACCATTAACCCTTTTTTTAAATAAAGCTGTGGTTCCAGAACCTAAAGTGTATTACATTATTATTGTGTACTCCACTAACTAAGAAATATATCTATGTGCAGCTCCTCTAGTGGCAAAAGTGGTAGGGAAAATATTTAATAGCTGTTTTTAAGGCCTCTCTAGCCAAAATATGGTTACACCACATGCACATTTCAACCCAATTGTAAAATATATGCAATTTTGTTTTTTTAGGTCTTTTTTTTAGTTTATTTGGATAATTTCAACAAAACCTAATAAATAAAACTTAAATGATATAGATGTAATTGTATAGTAAAGCCTGTTTATTTGAAATACTTAATCATTAAATTTATGTATTTATGACTATCTTTACATGAAATTAGTACTCAGTGTATTTATTTCAAATAAATAAACCTTATTGTTTGAATTGCTTTAATTTAATTAAATAAACAGGCTTTACTATACAAATACACCTATATCATGTAAGGTTTATTTATTAAGTGTTGTTGAAATTTTCTAAAGAAACTAAAAAAAAATACCTAAAAAAAATAAAATGACATATATCTTAAAATTTGGTTGAAATATTTATGTGGTGTAACCATATAAATAAATAAGCTTTATTAAACTAATGAATCGGCATTATATAAGGTTTATTCAATAGGTTAGTATTAAAAATAAAAAAATATATAAAATTCTGTAATCTAATATTTTGCATAAATCCTAAAATGTGGGTGAAATATTTCTGCGTAGATTATGGATAATGAAAATGTTGCTGCTACAGGGCAGACCTGGACCACAAGGAATGCCAGGTCCACAAGGTTCACCTGGAGAAGAAGGCATCCCAGGACTAAACGGTGAATCGGGCCCTACAGGCTTACCTGGAGAAAAGGTGCAGATGTCACTTGACATACAGTTGCAAAATTTCTCCCAAGTGTTTCCTGTTTTTATCTAAAACATAGAAAAATACATTTCAGTTATTTAAAAAAGCTTCTCAGAAATAATACATTAACATTGTAATGTCTCACATGCAAATATATATATATATATATATATATATATATATATATATATATATATATATATATATATATATATATATATATATATATATATATATATATATATATATATATATATATATATATATATATATATATATATATATATATATATATATGTTTTTATATGTTAGTAGGAAAGCCTAGAGAATACATATTGGTTCAATAATTTGTTGAGTCCCAACATCTGAGTTGGGGAGTTAATAGAGTCTGAACTTAATTGTGGCAGATTTGATAAGTTTTATACTTCTTCAGAGGGAAAATAAAAAGAAATCAGTGGAGGCATCAGGAGGGAAACTGTAGACATCTACAAATGTAAAAACATGCACCTACAAAACTTCTGTTTGCTCCTTTACTTGTAGCTAATTGTCTTTGTTTGATTTTCTTTGTATATAGGGTCTTAAAGGCTACGGAGGAGACAAGGGCAGCAAAGGGGAGCAGGGTGAGTGGGTAAGATTACAGTGCAATTTACATCTTACAGAGATTAAACACGCTCCTGACAAAAACTGGCAATATTTTGTTCATTCTCTCATCAAGATTGGTTGTTATATGTCAACAAACCAACACCTCGTTTGAAAATATTTATCATGCTTACCCTGATAGGTTTTAGACTTTTTTTGTCATTTTAACGGTTTTATCTTCCTTCAGGGTTATCAGGGAGAAACTTGTGCTCTGGGACAGAGAGGAAGAAAAGGAGAAAAGGTACAATTAAGAATCCACTCCTTAAAATGTAATTAAAGTGAACATGTCATCTGATTCGTTTGTCTTGTCTTGTATTTAGGGCAATAAAGGGTCCCGAGGGTTTGATGGGATTCCGGGTTATATTGTAAGTGTCGATTTTAAACTTAAAAAACAAAGACTGCCCTTTTTCATTGCTTTTAGCCTCTGATAATGGGATTGTTAACACTCCTCTGACTGTAGAAAGTCTTTTGTCTAATTTGCAGGGCCTGCCGGGGCCCAGAGGCCCTCGTGGTTTCCCAGGAACATCAGGACCTCCGGTTAGTCTAAGAAAGCTAACCGTATCAGACCTAAAGACAATAAAAACAAAAACAAACAGCACAAATACAGTAGCACTGTGACCATATCTCTGACTTAGTAAAAGAAAAAATGATTAAATGTTTCCATAACTTGAACAGGAGGGTACTTCCTATTAGAATCTAACCACATGTGAACTGATTCTACCCACTGTTGCTTTTTAGGGAGAAATTGGAGCCTTAGGCTTTAGTGGTCCTCCAGGTCCACCTGTAAGTATTCACAGCATCAGTTTGCTGCAGAACACACCGTTCATCATTTGGGTACCCGATTAAATCAGTGTTTTATCTCATCAGGGGGAAATGGGCCCCAGGGGATTAGTAGGATTCACTGGAGTTAAGGGGCCTCCAGTAAGTTATAAACATTTTAAAACAGACAATGTTAAAAATGAAAATTAAAGACAATAATTAAAGACTTGTTTATGCTTTTAGGGTCATCAGGGGCAAATGGGCTCCAGAGGAGCAGCTGGACCACAGGTGGCAAGATATTAGCATGTATACTCATATAGCAGAAGCTGAAATATGTAAAGGTTTTAATAAAATACTGTGGTTTTATACAGGGAGAGCGTGGTCCAGATGGAGCAGTGGGGCCCCCTGGGGTCCAGGGCCCTCAGGTACACTATGTCAAAACAATTGATTTAAACCTTTTGTCTGTTCATTGGTAAAAATGGTGTTTGGTTATGGGTAAACATTAATCACTATGATGAAAATTGATTTTCATCAGTAATACTGATCCTTTTGTTAATGATGCTCAGTACAGTACTGTGATTTAATAAAAAATAGATCTGAGATTTTAAGTTAAGTTCATTCATCCAGATTAGGAAAAACTTCCAAAAATCCCACTTCCTGGACACCTCTTCTGGCTCAGTGGGGCGAAGCCTGAGGCGTCCCCGGGCCAACCAAGAGACATAGTCCTTTCATGTTATCCTGGGCTACTCTCTGGGCCTCCTCCTGGAATGTGAACGTGCCTGGAACACCTTCCAGCGGAGGCATCCATGGTGCATCTGAAAGAGATGCACCTCAGCTGACTCCTCTTTATGTGGAGGAGAAGCAGCTCTCCTCCGAGCCTCTTCCTGATGGCCAAGCTCCTCACCCTATTTCTAAGGTGGAGCCCAGCCAGGCTGCAGAAAAAGCTCTTTCAGCTGCTTGTATCCAGGACCAAATTTTTTTGGTCATGATCTATATCTCATAATCATAGGTAAAGTCTAGATCAGGGGTCTTCAACATTTCCAGACTAAGGACCCCAAAACTGAAGGCGAGATGGAGCAGGGACCCCCTAATTATATTTATTGTATGAAAGTGTGTTCTATCAAACTGATCCTATAGTGTCTCTATTACAGATTGAGTAATTTAAGGAAAGTAATTTCTCCCTGGGATTATTAAAGTATTTCTGACTCTGATTCCTCATTGATGGGACAGGTGTTGTGAATGAAACGGTACCCAGCTTGAAAAAGCTCCTGTGTGTCGCTGAATGTGTGCATTGATGACTGAAAGACATCTTCTACGTCCATTTATCTGTTTACTACTCTGTGTTGAATTCATGATAATGTGTATTTAAAGACATTTTAATTAGTGGGAAAAAATGCAGGGAGGGAATATAAAAAAAAGGTTTAGGTTACAGTTATCCTATACCTGTTTGACCCTTTTTTCTCTGGTTCATTTGTCATTTATGTTGAGGACTATCTAAAAATATAAGTCATGTTTTTAGATATTTTATGCGTCAAATCTTGACATTCTTTCTCTGACTTTTTGAAGAACTAAACTAATCTAGAGTCTATGTTTCTGTTCTTACAATTAAACGTATTGGAACAACAATAACATTTTTTTTTTTTATAATCTTCTCATTTCCACTCTTTTGTCAGATATTTTACTCAGAAACGCAGATCTTCATTGATGGCTGAAAGACATCTGTCTCCATTTATCTGTTTACTACAGTTGTTGAATTCATGTTAATGTGGATTTAAAAACATTTCAATTAGTGGAAAATATTGCACAATGGAATATACCTGTAACAAAATGGAGTCTAATCAAAACTTTCGCGAGCCCCATGCAGTACCTCTGCGGACCCCCTAGGGGTCGCAGACCCCGTGTTGAAGACCTCTGGTCTAGATCATAGACCGACCTATTCATTGAGAGCTTTGCCTTTTGGCTCAGCTCCTTCTTCACCACAACAGACTAGTGCAGTGTTTGCATTATAGCAGCAGCAGCACCGATCTGTCTATTGATCTCTGATGAATTGTTAGAAGTACCAGGAGACATTAAAGTAGCCTTGATGCTCTCTAGTAGATATTTAAAATGGGAATTTGATGGGCTATTCAACTGAGTAAGGTCAAAGATATTTGGGTAAATGTACACAGAAATGCTTCTCCAGACTCAGTATTATCTCTGACCTAAATCCTACCGGAAACCTGGATTGAGCTGAGGAGGGCAGAACAAAAAAGAGGACCCATTACTCTGGATTGTCTAGAGATGAGAAAAGCTTGAAGGCTCCTTTACACTGTATAGAGTGACCTTATTAAGTGATGTCATTCTGTCCTGATGGTAAAAAGAAAAGAAACAAAGTTTTGATCACGTAAGAGCTAATAGGAACAATGCCACTGATTTTATTAAAATCCGTGAGTTTTAAAATGCATTTATTTATTTTATATGAACTGAATCTTAGATTAAAGGTTGGATTTCTGAAATATTTCCACTGCAATAAATGAATACATTTTACATTAATCATAATCAGCGATATTTGCAAATGCAGAGGGTGCTATAGGTTGAGGGATAATAAAATAACCTCTTCTTGATCTCTTAAAGGGAAACCCAGGACTACTTGGACCTGCGGGACCAAAAGGGGATCCTGTGCGTAGGTTTAGAAAAAAGAGGGAGAATAATTTAGATATATATTTTGATTTTCCCTTCATTTACCTTTGTTCCATTTTTCTAGGGAGATCAAGGAGATGAGGGTGAAATTGGTGAACCTGGAGCTCCTGGATCAAATGTAGGACAGTTGGGACAATGTCTAGAAGTGAAAATTAGCTAAAATCTCTTATGAACTTGTCAGAACAATATCTATTTTTTTCTTTTTTAGGGGGCCAGCGGAAAACCAGGAAAGACAGGACCCTCAGGTGATCCTGTAAGATTACTTAAAGCAATTTCATTTTTGAAAATATCTAAAAGGGCTACACCATGTTCAGTTCCCTACTGTAAAACCACAACAATCAGTCTAATGATAGACCTGTATGTCATTTGTGTTATAACCAGGGAGCCAAAGCCAGAAAGGGTGAGAAAGGAAACTTGGGATTTAAAGGGGACCTTGTAAGTTTGATCCTGAGTCCCTTTAGCAGATCAGTTTTTCAGCTCAGATCAGTGACTCAGTTCTTGGACTCCTGTTTGTGTCCAGGGACCTCCTGGGCCTTTAGGTAAAAAAGGTTTTAAAGGACGTAAGGGTCCAATGGGGCTACATGGACTAGATGGACAAAGAGGACCAATGGGACTTCCTGGACCCACTGTGAGTGAATAAAGTTGAAATGAAAGCATAAAAGATGATGATGCCACAATAATTTCATCATCTGCTGTTACAGGGGTCTGATGGCATTATGGGGGAACAAGGGAGGCAGGGAAAAGAAGGATTAAAGGTACGTTTGATTAAATGTCCAGAATTACAATGTAAAGGTGAACAATTGACCTTTAACACATTTGTCAATATTTGTGTTTGTGTGTTCACAAATAAAGGGTAATCAAGGACCTAGTGGTATTCAGGGAAGCCCTGGGTCAAGAGGTGACAAGGTAGACACACGATCAATGCTGAACTATCATGCACTGTGCAGAAAGTCATTCTATGCCATATAGTTATTAATAAAACACTAGGTTCAAAATAATTCTCATTTTTTTTCATGATTCAGCCATAATATTTAAGGTATCTGGATTTATCAGAGTTTATATGAAGTGGAAGAAAAAAAAAAAATGATTTTTTAAAATATAAAAAGAAGTTGTGAAAAGTCTTGCAGTCATAAGTATTCACCCTTCATAAATAAGAACTTGGACATGGATGTTATTTTGTAGCTCTGGTTGAACCTTTAGTGTCTTTGTCCTACAGGAAAATTAACCTCCACCACATCCTCGACTTTTGCAGGAATTTTAAACAACACATTCTCCTCATGAGAAAAATAAAGAAATTATATTCTATCATATTATCACCCTGTATTTAGCGTCTGTTTTACAATCAGCCCATACCAGCTTTCCTGTCTGTCATTAATGGTGTTTACACCAACAAGAAGAAGACAAATGGAGCAAGTGCTTTACATGCTATCCCTATGCAAAGGCACGATCAGGAGCCAATGATGGGTCAGCTGTGTGAAGGACGCTGTGTTCCTTGGACTTCACTAACATTCTCCAACAAACATCGGAGGCCTTACAGAACAGCTGTAGTTATATTTTTAAAATACACACAGGTGTACAAGGAAAATGTTTTTTTTTTCCACATCACAGGTCGGCATGTCTTTTTCTTGCGCTAAAAAACAGAAATCAAATCAAATATATTGAAATTTGTGGTGTTGACAGGGAAAAAAATGTGAAAAGCATGAAAGGTCAACTTTGTGTTCTAAAGTAATGTATGAAAGAGAATGAAAAAATGTTGAAATCAAGGCGAGAGTTTTTTAGGGGTTTTTGTCTGTTTTTTTGCTATAACTATCAGTATAATGGTATGTGAGATTGGAGTGTAAATAAAAGATCCATGAAACTAATGGTCAGTGCTATATTTTAGGGTCGAGGAGGCAGAGCTGGGTTTTCTGGACTGCCTGGTCCTATTGTAAGTATTGGTGAAGGAAGAGTTTTTTTATTTCTATTAAATGCTAATCACTGATCATTATCACTGCTTTGATTGTGTTTTCTCCATAGGGGGAGATGGGCAAATCAGGAGAGAGAGGAGCAGAAGGAGAACCTGGTATTAAGGTTCCTATGTGGCCATACTTCTTTTGTTGTTATGATGTCTGACTGCAGTACTCTGGCTGAAATTAACTGTTAGGTTTTTAGAGGTCTGGGGGAGCCCAGGATGGGGTTTTGCAGACCTCAGGGGATGACTTATTGAGACTGAATGGAAAACTTTTGGGGTTTCCGTGTCAGCAAAGGTTCTTTCTGTGTGATTCTCTCCATGTTGAATTGCATTTATCAACTCATCCCATGACCCCTTTCCAAACAAAGGTGTGAGAAATAAACAGATTACTGGGAGGAGAGGGGGGGGTTGCACCCCTGGCACTTGGTGGCCTTCGCACTGAAGAAGGTGCTGCTTTTTCTTTTGTTCTTCTGTTCTATCTCTCTGTTGATGTAGGAGCAAATTCCTAGGATGGATTTTTATATTCTTTTTATCCTTCCTTCTTCTATTTATATCTACTTTGCCCCTTTAAATGTTTCGCCTCATGTATTTCCCATTTTATTTCTCCTCTCTTCGCCTTCATTTCCATCTTTGTTTCCATGCAAACAGTGACAACTGGTTTCCTTTATTATTAAAGCAAGTGTCAATTTGGAATATCTTTTCTTTTAAATAGAATACCTTTGATTTTTTTTTTGTGAGGATAATTCTTTATAGAGAATTTTACATATTAAGGTGTACAATATGTATTTAGTCATCATTTAGATCACATCTTGCCTCTCTGGAGGGTTTTTGTTACAAAGTTCAGTTGTTAATATGTAAAATTTAATGAAATTTATAATTAATCTGGCAAGGAATTAACTTGTTCTGACATTTACCTCTGTGCACGATTGCAAGCGTGCAAATACCATCTGTTGTCTGCAGTTTGCTCATGGTATTCCTCTTCAAGTTTTTCTTAATAGATTTGGGGAATGGAAACATTTTAAAAACTCAGCCTTTAAAAAAAATAGGTTGCAAGAGAAAACTATTTTTTTATGGCTTATTTTTGCTTGTTTTAATGAAAATATTATCATTTACATCTATAAAACTCATCAACTGGGCTACATTGCGTATGTACGTATGTATACACATATCTTTTGGGAAACACTCTCTGGTCTTTCCGTTGAAATTCTGAAGGATTTAGAAAAATTGTTTAAGTTTGGCCATATAATACAGAACTAAAGGTTTTCCAACATGAACAACAGATTAAAGGTTCAGAGCAAATATAACTAGAAAAAGCTGTTTCGGAGAAACAGCAAGTGGGAATGCTTTTGCTGAATGAAAAAAGCTGAAATTAACTGCAGAACATATGAAAATGTGATAGGAAGTCATCAGAAACTTCAAACTGCAGAAAACAATTGAATAATCTGAAGATTTTGTAGGGTAGAATCATTTGGCAGTAAAATGGCAGAAACAAACTCATCTTAAAAGCTGCACAGCCAAACCATACATGATATCAAAAAATGTCTTTAATGTATGCACTAGGAGGTTTTTAATATAATGTCTCCCAAGTTTCTAGAAAAATTTCTAAAGAAATTTTGAAGGGGGGTTTACCTACTTTCCAGAAACTTGTCAGGTGTTTTATGAATTAGCAGCAAACAGAAAAACTTAATTCATGTCCAGAAAGAGAGCAGAATGAAGCCAAAGTTCTCAGCATAGGCTGAAAAGTATTAAATTAGCTGAATCAGAAAATAAATTACAAAGAAAAACTTGAATCTTAGCTGGTTGAAGAAAAAATGAGTAGCTCAAGGATGGGCAGTAAAATGTTGAGGAAGATGGTATTGAATAAGTATCAACATTTTGAAACTGTGGAAATGTCAAGACTTGTAAAAAAAAATTGAAATTAATTAAAATGTGTCAGTTGATCAGCAGAGAGAAAACAGTGTCATCCTTAGAATCTTGAAAATCCACAAACCAAAGTACAAGACTGACCATAAGAAGCACAGGAAGGACAGAGAGAGAAGCTTATAAAAAGAGAGTTAATAAAACTTAAGGAGCTGAATTTATCAAAAAATCTAACCTGCATGTTATGAGCCGCTGTGTTGATGACAGCACAGTTGGCAGGCTTAGGCTGCATGTTATGAGGTTAGCACATGCTTTATTACAGTGTAAATCTTAGAACCTGATGAAGAAATATGCACTGAGGTGTGTGGTCAACAGGCCTTGGTAGTGTAATTTGAAGAAATTGGTTGAGTTTGGGTCATAGCTACGAGCCATATGGCACAATGAATGAGTTTATGTAAGAAAGAGGCTTTTATTTTGTATAGTCCCTTTAGTCTTATTTTGAAAGTCTATCATGGATGTGTGTCAATGGAAGGGTCATGCCCAGCAGTGATATAGAATCCATTTCTAAATATGAAATCACTGGTTTTCCATGTTATTGGGTGAATAGATAATGTATTAGAGCATAAATGGGAGACTTTTATTGTGAAATTCGCTCTGGGGTATGTTTTGAAAAGGTCCCTAGAGTCTAATAGAAACAAGCTGGTAGAGTTTGGGTCATAATGCTGAGCCATTTGCATCAATTAATAGGCGAGTATAACATGGAGGCTTTTATTTTGTAGGGTCACTGGAGTCTTATTTTGAAAGTCTAGCAGGGTTGTGTGTTGAGAAAAGGGTCAGACCCAGCAATGATACTTGATGACTTCCAATCGTTAAATCACTCTTTTCCCCTGTTATTAGGGCAGTAGATGAAGTGGCAATGGGAGGCTTTTATTTTGAAATTTGCTGTGGGGTGTGTTTTGAAAAGCCCCCTAGAGTCTAATTTTTAAAAAGTGGTTGAGTTTGGGTTATAATGTTCAGCCATATGCTGGGAAAAAAATATGAGTTTAATGTAGGGGCTTTTATTTTGTAGGGTCCCCCGGCATCTTATTTTGAAAGTCTATCAGGGTTGGGTGTAAAGGGAAGGGTCATGGCCAGTAGTCATATTGTATCCATTTCCAAATGTTAAATCAGTGTTGTCTCCCTCCATTAGATTAAAATGTGCTGTTTAAAGTGGCAGAGGTAAAATCCTTTGAAGCTCGGTTACCTTGACAACGCTTAACGAGCCTGTCAGTGACAGAGAGGTAACCGCTTCACTTTCGTTCCTTTCCTCTCAGGCTTTTTTGAATGGGAAAATCGGCTCCAAACAAACAAGTGCTGAAGACAAACCGTAACTGGTATCTAGAAAATTCTTTCAGTCTAAGCGACAGCTATCCTTTGTCTCCAATTGGGGTAACTTTCATGGCTGTAGCTCATTCACAACCTTAATGGGAAGGAGAAATAAAAAGGTTTGTCACACCTGCTGGTCTCATTAAATAACATGGAGTTCCATGGTAGAGCTGAGCTGTCAAAAGCAAAACTTTCCCTCCGAACAAACGAGTGTTGAGCCAAAACCGTAAAAGGTATTCAAAAAATTCTTTCACCGTTGGCGTCAGCCATCCTTCGGCTTCGACTGTGCCAACTTTCATGTTTCTACTAAAAACTATTTGGCCACGGTGACGATGTAAAAATGTGCATTTTCTGAGTTTGAGGATTTTTCTCAGAATCAGCGTTTTCCTATGCCCGAACAAGTCAGCTAAACAGCTAAACCATAAATGATATTGAAGAAATTCCTTCAATGTGAGTGCTAGAAGGTTCTGAAGATGTTGTATACCAAGTTTCATGTTAGTACATCAAATAGTTAATAAATGGGAGCGATACGAAAATATGTATCGTTTTGGATTTTGTCTGTGATTTTTGGAAAATCTCTCATTGGATTTCTATTGGGGAAGTGTGGACTTCTTCATGGTCTGGGCCAAACTGTCGGAAAACCGTAAATGCCACACAAATGAGGGTTACATTTCCTGAATCCTGACAAAAATCCCTACGTTTTGATGTATTGAGGGACTGAGAAGAATTTGTTCGGAAAAACCAGAACAGCTCAAAAGCTAGAGCACGCACTCTAGCAGTTGAAGAATTCCGTCCATAGACTTCCATTATAAATCTGAAAATCTTTAAATTTTCTTTTAAAGTTTGAAGCTTCACTGAAGCAAAAATGTAAAAGTTAGCAAAAAGCCGAGTGAAACAGTAATAGCAGAAAGATACAGAAACATTTTAAAAGTTGAATGGTGTTTCTAGCTGAAAGTATGCTGAAGTAGTTAAAGGTCAAAGACGATGAAGCTTTAGCTGAAGTTTGCTGAAATCTAAGAATTCTACATGCATTTCAATGGGACAAAAAAATTGCAGAAAAAGTTGAATATCGCGAAAACTACAAAAAATATCTTTACCAAAAGACATAGCAGAATTCTCCTGAACGAGCTGAACGTTTTGATACCAAAATTGTTGAAATCGGTTGAAAACTGTGGGACTAGTTAGAGTCAGAAAAATTTAAAGTGAACAACAATAAGTGGGAATGCATAAGCATTCCCACTTGATTATGAAGTCACATGTTCACATCATGTTTGTGCAGGGGATGGTTGGAGTTCCAGGAATTACAGGACCAAAAGGGATGAAGGTGATTTGATTTACAACTATGTTCGAAACTTTCATTTGAAACTTAATTTCTATTTGTACATCACTTATAAAAACATATTCTTTAAAAAAAAAAAAAAACTAGCCTTAAGATCCAGCCTCTGTCAACAGACATGTTTTACAAACAATACGCAGATCAGAAAAAACACAGTAATGTAAAGGCATATTATTCATGTCTCATCCTATTTTAGGGTTTCCAAGGTTATTTAGGCAGCAGAGGTCAGGATGGCAAACCTGGAGCACGGGTAAGTGTGGTTTAGTTTTTAAAGTGATAATTTAGGTTTAATAAAGACAAAAGGGCACTTTTCCAGGTACACTAACATTAACTGGCCTTTACTGACAGTAAACCCAAATGTTAAAGGTATTTGATTTAACCTAGTACTTAAAACTCTGCTAAGTCAAATATTTTGAGGTCCTGTAAAATTTTTTTGTGTTCCGTGTACACTAAACTCTTTCCTATGAATCAATCAGGATTATTTTATTCATATTTTATTCTGGCATCAATTAAGAATAGCTTAAATAACTTAAGAAGGAACTACATAACTTTAATAAGAAAGTACTTGTGCAGACACCATGAGTAACATTGCTGTTAGAATTAATGAGGACTGTTTATATTGGTGAATTTAGAGACAAAATTCCTGATAACATAAAACAGTTCCTTGTAAAATATAAAAAGTTAATTTTAAGTCAAAGAAGCTTAGTATTGGTGAGTACTATTGATGTGTAATTGATATTTAAATAAAAGATACTTGTCATTGTAGCAATATTACTGGTTTTATTTTAAGTGTCAGATTAAAACTTAAGTAGCAGATTGTGCAGATCATGCTTCAAATATCTTAGAAATCATTTGGTAGTGGGGATTCTGTAGTGGGGAGGTTTTGGGGTTGTGTAATAAGCTGTTAAATAACTTTTCTATATTTTAGGGTCCAATTGGTGAAAATGGAACAACTGGGGAGTCTGGATTGGAAGGAATAAAGGTAAGTGTACTGCTGTTGTCTTGCCTTGTTAACATATCTTGAAAGGTTTAATAGTTTTGCCGTCGATAGGCCGGATGCTATCAGTCAAAACAATTTTAGCCACCAATAAAGTGAACAGATTAGAGAAAAACGGCAAATGTTAATACTTTGGGATTCCAAATGGCTCTGTGCTATAAATGTATTTTAATCAGTTGTACACGTACAAATATTCTATTGCACTTGCAAGGTTTTCAGTTTAAATTTTTACATTTCTCTGCTGAGTCTGCATTTTCTCCATGTATTTCTTTAGGTACTAAAACATGCCTGTTTGATGAACTTATGCCTTCAAATAGGATGTTAATAATAAGTAATAATTTAACTTTATTAATCTAACACTGGAAAAATTCTCTCTCTGCATTTAACCCATCCCCTTGGGGAGCAGTGGGCTGCCACTGTGCGGCACCCGGGGAGCAGTGTGGAGATAAGGGTCTTGCTCGGAAACCCAGAGTGCAAGCTGTCGGGATCGAACCAGGTTCTTGCAACCTTTTTAGAGCACAAGCGCACTGCCCTTACCACTAAACCAACACTCCTGATGTTAGGAGTTTTTGCACAGAATGAAATGATGCACAGATATTAATTTTTATAAAAGAAAAAGGACTTAGTATAGAAATATTTTGTATCTTGTTGTTGTAGTTTTTTTATTGTTTGCATAAGTCCTCCAGGATTTAGTTTATTCGCCATATATTAAGTAATACATTTTTAAATTGTCTTTCTGAAGATTAAGTCTCAGCCTTAAGCAAGAGAGACTTACTGCTGGAGGGCAAAGATTTATCTGATTTACCAAGCTTGCGTATGCACAAAATGAGGCTTGAAACTTCAGTATATCACCTTCCAGTAAAGGTTATGTTCTATCAAAAAGACATTTAGTGTGGAAATGTGCGGTCCCCCATGTTACCTCAGACCCATGCATATGGGTATGCCTGTTTTGGAAGAAAAGGTGAGGTTGGGTATTAAAGCCTGATTTATATAAAACATTAATAACAGATCTATATCATCAAATTCCATCCAATATTGAGGTGTAATTCGCGTTGGTGCTAGTGAACTATACTTGATGACCATTTAAATAAATTAAAAAGGCCTATTGGGAGCTGAAATCCTTAATGAGAGTTAACATTTCTCTACCCTAACATTCATCCCCCAGTAATCAACAGTGTGAGTCATAACACAGATGAAAACCTACATTTAACAAGTTGTAAGCATTCACCATGATTTCTGTTAATGTTTGTAATTTTAGTCTGACACCCGTTTAATGGTTATTGGTAACCTTGAAATAACCCCGATCAGCTCCTTTAATACATAACAGCATGTATACAGTGCTTTTGCATGGACCATTTATGCCTGGATGTGGGGGTGTAGAGGAAAGTACATGAGGTGTAGCCTTGGACACAAACTGGTGCACATAGGTGTAATTTATCAAGGACATTTGCTTGTTCTTGTGTGTGCAAATCTTTGGTTAAATCAGAAATATATTATATGTGATATTTTTTGAGAAATATTTTTGCTTTTCCAGGGATTTCCTGGAAAAGCAGGATCTCCTGGTATCCAAGGGCCTGTGGGAAACAGTGTAAGTATTGACAGAAACAAAGTATACATTTTCATCATAAATTACAGATCAAAATGTATAGATCTCCATTAATATGTTTGTTTTCAAAACAAGGGCAAACCTGGCAACACAGGTCTAAAGGGAGCACCAGGAAGTCCAGGAGTCAAAGTAGGTGTACTTCCTTTACTATGATAAATCTGTTTAAGCTCAAGAGCAGTAAGCATTGGTTTGAATAACACGTTCTGTGGCCCATACACATCTGCGATCTCTTAAGCCTGTAAAATAAAGTAAACTCAATTACTATAATTATCATAAAATTGTTTTGTTTTTCATTGACCATGTGAAGGTATTCAATAAAACAATATAAACTGGCTTTTTCAGGGGATGAAAGGTAAAAGAGGCCCCAGGGGACACACGGGAAACGAAGGATTAAAGGTAAAGATTTTGGGTTCAGTTTTTTTGGTATTCAGCTTATCATCATAGCTGCACAAATGATGAGATTACATGGGAAATCATCACATTATATTTTTTTTTATAGGGCAAAATAGGCGAGGAGGGCCCAAAAGGAAAGAAAGGAGCCCAAGCGAGTATTCTAGCAGATATGCTGCCACTTATTTGTTTTTCCAAGAAATTATGTTAAAGGTCTTTTTTTTTATTTTAAGCTGATTTTTATTACCTTTTATGCCTCAGGGAGAGCGAGGAGCACCTGGACCAAAGGGATACACGGGACCTCCTGTAAGAAATCCTTTTCATCCATCCATTTATTCTCTTGTATTTCTTCTGATGTGCTTTGTTCATTCTTACCTCATTTAAGCACAGATAGAAACAAAAAACATAAATAACCAACCAAGAATATTTATCATTTTGTAGGTTATCATCAAATGGATTTATATTTATATAACTTAATAGACTTATCGTTAACACCTGATTAATAACAACAGTTTTACTGCTGCAGGCATTAAGGCACACGATTTGGCTCGACTGGGATGTCAAAACTACCACAAGAACATGAACCATCACTGAAATAGATATAGACCTTCTAATAGGACTCTACAAAGGAGCTGTTCAAACAATTACCGTACCTAACAACCCTTGTATGTTTAGTTTAACTCTCATCAAAATGCATTTATTATCACTAGGGCTATTACCCACTCTAATTTTAACAACAGTAAACAAACTGTTTACTGAACAATGTGCCTTATTAAAATTAAAATTACTGCAATCAGTTATTATGCTAGGTTCCAATTTTACTTTGTTTTTATGTAATTCGCTGTCAAAAAAGTACAATTTAAAGTTTCTTTGAACTCTAAATTTATTTTTAACTATTGTTCTGTTATCTTTCTAGTTAAGCAGTCATAAAAATGCTGTTAAAAGCTAAGCTGCTGTGATCAAATGAGCCAAATGTTGATATTCAGGTTCATCAGCACTGACCACATTTCAGCACAGTTTGTATTATTCAAAGATCAGAGAATGATTGATCTGATCTGCAGAAAGCAGAATGATATGCAGGAAAACAGGTTAATCTCTGTAAGGGAAGCTATAGGATAAAAACACAGTTAAAGTTAAACCTTGTCTGCCGTGTATATTTCTCCCTGGGTGTTTCTTTCTCCATGTTGTCTTTATTTATTTTTTTTATTGAGTTGCTCTGTTTTTGCCCTACATTTCTGTCTTTGGCCAAGCCATAACTGACATGCACTGAATACTTGTGCAAAAAAAAAAAAAAAAAGTCTTAACTTTGCATATTTACCACAGGGAATAACAAGATTATTATATATATATTATATATTATATAATTATAATAATTTTTCCTCATAGGGTATCCAGGGTAACATTGGACCTTGGGGTGAGGTCGGGACACCTGGTCCTCCAGGTGACAAAGGAATGCAAGGTCAACTTGGGCTAGATGGAGTAACTGGTTATCCTGTGAGTTAATTTTAATACATTAATGCATTTGCTTCTTTATAGCATGCTTCCAGTTACCAACCTGTGAGTCTGACCAAACAGGCCACAATGCTGACCAAAATATTATTAGAACCAAAAGACCAAATAATTAGCTAGTCTGGTTCTCCCACTGTTCAAAGACCTTGATTTGGTTAATTGATGCAGACAATTACAAATATGCAACTATTGGGAAAAAATATAGGTTCTTTATATGTAGAAACACAACCAGTGTCTGCAGGGGTTGGCCTTACCCTTTAATCAGTCATTCCTTTGCATCAAATCAGAGGTTTGAATGACTCGGTTTCAGGCCTGAAGCCCAAAGTAACTGTGAGAAAAAAAATTGAAAAACCATGTTTGGCTGTTCTGAACAGAAACTTTAGCTGTGAAAAAAGAACACTAATTAGCCTTAAGCGTTTCCAGCCCTGTGTGTGACAACAGATCTCTTGTGATAACTGCTGACAGTATCTGAAGCAAACAGAATTTTAGCCCTTGAAGGGCTACAATTTCTTTTGGTTAGTCACCAGATCATCTCGGCATCTCGAGGCTCTGGTGTAAGAGCGGTTTGAATCAAAGCGGATGTTTTTTGGCTTTTAATCGTCATTGCTTTGCTAAATCCCACCGCTGCATAGGGTTAGGGTAATGAAAACCTTCACAAAGAAGTTTATTGATTCAACTCTCCCCATACAGGGTAAAGATGGGCCTCAAGGACTAATTGGATCGACTGGTCTTAAAGGCGACAAGGTCAAGCATTTTAAGAAATTCTCTTCCACCTTTACTTCTATCATAGTGCAGCCTCTCTTTTTTTCCCAGCACGGGAATTTTAAATCATTTATAAAAATAACCAGTGATTCAGTATTTGCTGATTTTGTTTTTAGGGATCCAGAGGAGCTGTAGGACAGAAGGGAGTTGATGGTCTCGATGGTGAGGAGGTATATTAATAAAACTCTCTCAATCATATATATATATATATATATATATATATATATGCACACATGCAGACTTTAAAACAATCTTTATCACCATTCTGGTAATATGTTTACTGTACATAGGCCATCCTACGAGCTTTCATTTACCGTGGTGAGTCTGACATAGTGGAAAAACTGCAAATCTTCTTTTGGAAAGTAAGCTTGTATGAGCGATGCAAACAGCAACTTTTAAATGCGTCTAATAGGCATTTTTAGTGGAGTGGAGAGTGCGGGTCTTTTCAAAAATTTGCAAAGATCATCAACTATGCCTTTAAATCTGGCCCTTTCAACTTAGCAAGCATTTGTTTTCGCAAAATGATAATCTTCCAATATATAGTTCACTCAATTAATTTCTGTAATTTACTATTTTTATTTTTTATTTAATTAACCAGAGCCGGTAAGAAATTGAAACAGTGTCTCCCTACACTGTAGGGACAAAAAGGGGCTCATGTCTTCTAGTCTGTCACTCAGAATGGAAAGACAAGAGAATTTCCATATTAAATATGAGAGATGTACTGTATGTAATCTATATGACAGGAGAAACTGTATATGTATATTAATACTCCTCTAAAGTTGCTCTTATTTACAGACATTAGGTAGTTATATGTAGGACAGTCAGGACATGGTTCAGGGGCAGGGCGCTGCCGTTTGTATCCATACAGGAAGTGCAACACTAAAATCTGGTCAGTTTAGCTTAATGTTTTCATCTATATTGTTATGGTCTCTTATTTATACTCTGATATAATGACCTAATCCTAAGGTCAGTGGATTGAATATGTTTTAATTTAATTTCCATTGGGACCGACTTTTTTTTCGGGACTGTTTTCCGGTCTGTACTTGGGAGGGATGTCAGGAAAAGCCTTATATGTCTTTGGCTTCAGAAAAAAAATATTTGGAGTCTGTTAAAACCTAAAAAAAAAACTCTTCGCGGAACTGTGTGTTTTGATTAAATTAGATGAAAACTGATCTGCTGAGAAATGGTTTGTTGTCAGAGGAAGCACATGTGGGAAAGCCTCTCATTCCCTACTGTTAGGGATGGTGGAGGATCTGTCATGATGTCGCTCCGTTTGTCATCCATAAGCCCTGGGTGCCTTAATACGCTGCCTTGCACTGTGAACCAACTGAAATAATAGCACTTTTAGACAAATATCTGCCAGAAACTGAGAACGAGTCATTTGTTTGCAGGGTTAACAATTGTTTTCTGGTCTACACTAAGCTAAAACAATAAAAGTTAGATTCATTCATTCAATATTTACTTTATTTTACTAAGCGAGGTAATAAATGTCATGCGCACTCTGATGTAATCTATTACTTTTGTAATTAGGGCCCATTTGGACTTATGGGACCAAGAGGACCAGCTAACCAAAAGGGCCTTCCAGTGAGTAAACCTGGATTTGAGTTTAATGTTACTATAGTGAACTGATAAGAGCTGATACTATATCTTATATATTTGAAAATGCATCACAAGTAAATATCTTATAGTTGCATTTAATAAACTGTTTAGGGTGACAAGGGAAATGCCGGACCCACAGGGCCAAATGGAGTAAAAGGAAATGAAGGCGAAAGAGGAAACCAAGGGTCACAAGGACCAAAGGGGCCACCGGGGAAGCAGGTTCAGATGGATATTTCTGTTATCTTTGTATGCTGGACATAAAAGTATTCAAACTATATAGGTACTCATGTCTGAAATATTAATTAAATTACCTGAGGCTTCATGAACAATACATTGCCCAACTTTCACTCTGAAAGTTTTCATTTGGGAGAAATATCGGAACTTGTGGTGCAAAAAATCATTCATGTGTAAGAACTCATGCATACACGTCAACGCACACTTCATCCAGTTGATGTATCTTTGCCTGGTCCAACCCTACCCATAAATTATGCAAACCATTATGAATGTCTAGAAGGCACCAATCACATGTCCAAATTACCACGGCAACAGAGCCGTCAGGTACTCACAGAGAGACTTTGTCAGCACACCTGATGGTTATTACTTACATCCATTCAACATTTAATTGAGTGACATCAGCTAGTCAGTACAGAAAGTTGCTGAAAAGTCTGTCAGTATTTCTGCATTACATTTTTTGTATCAAGTCCAAAGCGTGCTGTCTAACTGCCACATTAAGCTCCATTGTGATGTTTACCAAATCCTTACAATTCATGTGAATACATTCTCAAATTTTCTATTAGAAACATTCAACCACACACACTATCTGAGGTATAATTACAGTCCAAAGCAATTTACCACATCAAAAAAAAAAAAAAACAGAAGCTAGCCATCATGCACAAAGTCTACTTGAAGTTGATCATGGTATGCACCACAGATGAACTCATCACAGATAAACAGTATTTAACCTGTAAATCAGCTCCCTAAATCCCCCCAGTTGCAAAGTGTGCAAAGTGGGAAGCTAACACAGTTTCTCCTGATGCGCTTTTGTAAGGCTGATCAGTCTAAATAAGTCATGCCTCAAATAAGTCATGCCTCATCATGTGCCAGCAGGTTAGTAACATCTCTGAAAACTCATTCTTCCATTGGCAATGTGGTCGAGTGGAACAAATGAAGGCACACCCTCCCCAATTATGCACGCCTTTATGTAGCTGTTATCAGTATTTTTAATTATAAACACCTCATCATTCTTATGGATCCTCACAACTGACTTTGCTGGACTCAATCTGGTGTTCCATAGTTTGTTTTTTTCAGCTAGAGTTAAATTGTCTGTGTTCAGAATACCCATGGTCCACAGACCAAAGCAAACTTACATAAATAGTAAAAAAGAAATGTTGACATTTTCACCCTTCTGAAGCTGTTTTCGGTTACTTTCTAAGGCATATTATTTTATCATTGAGGCTAAATTTGATTCAGTTGAATCATTAAGGTTTAACTCACAAAAGGCAAGACCTGTGACTCCTGGAGTTTAATAAAATGAAATCCAGTTATCTTCCAGTGGATTTAGATGAGTTTTGGTGCTATATACTTTGAATTCGTCATTTTAAAAAGGATTGTGCTGCTTCTGTCAAAACTTTGAGTGAATTACCACACTTTCATGGAGCTTTTAGTTTAGTACATGCTGAGTAGGGCTTAAGATATTGCCCCACAATTTTTTTGTGTGTTCAACCAACTTCTATAAGAGGCCCTGAGCTGAATCAGTGTCCTCAGAAACATACATGGAGTTTATAGATGTTTTCCTTTCCTTTTTTTCCATGTTTTTTTTTTCCAAAGCAGGGATACAGAGGTCCCCCAGGAGACGTAGGACAACAAGGATTTCCAGGGCCTAAAGTAAGACAGTTTATGTGAGTTTTACTGAATAAACCATAGAAAATGTCTATAAAATAAGACAAAAAGGCAAAATACCTGACAAGAAGATGATGATACTTTCACAGGGAGAAACAGGCCCCAGAGGTACAGCAGGAATACCCGGACGGTTTGGACCTGGAGGAAACACTGGAGCAGCAGGAGTCAAAGGGCAGAAAGGGCCCCAGGGACACACGGTAAGTGTGATGACCTTATGTTGTCAGAAATACTGTCAGAAAGTAAATCTTAATGTCATATTTCGCATGAGTGTACATGATACTGTCATAATATGGTAAATAAAAACATGTCTGGGAGTTACACAGCAATCTCATACTATTCCAGGGCCCTCCTGGAAGGATCGGCCCTGCTGGGCAATTAGGACCGGTTTTATCTGTAGGTACCATTTATTTATTTGTCTGAATGTGTTTATCGGCAGCGTCTTTTTACTGTGAATAAGATGCATAAAGCACTTAGACAGAAATGTTTGTGACTTGTAGCACACATTTTGCAATAAAAGGATACAAACATGGTCATCCAATATAAATGATAGAATTGGTGATCTGTATGTTATGTTTCCCAATAACAATACAAACATTTTAAGAGACATATGACATTGATTTCTTGTCTGAAATTAACTTTTGTTTTAAGTCAGTTAGGATTTCTGTTTCTTACTGTTGGAATAATAAAAGGGATATCTATTTTATTCAAAATCAGTTTTTTACAAAGATTACAAACCTTAAAACTATTTGGAAAAGCCCAGATTATGGTTTCAAGGCTTTATAATGCTCTGATTCACAACTCTTGAGTTAGACAGAGGCAACTCAAATCGACTGCTTCTTTGTGTGACGTCATGGGAAAATCCAAACACATCAGACGAGGTATCAGGAAACGAGATGGATCTATACAAGTCTTTTTCAAGCTTCGGTACCGTTTCCACAGAAGTAAAAAAAGAAATAATGAAAGTTATGGATGCCATTTTGATTTCAGAAATGGGGGTGCGCAAGTTTTTTTTTGAGATAACCAACTTCAGGGTGTTTGACCATCCATTCAGTGGAGCATCAGATGTTTGTAAAGTGAGCTTCTTAGAAGTGACATGGGTGACAGCCAATGACACAAGATAAGATGGTCGGTCAATCAGGAGCTTGTGGGCGGTCTAAACTCGGGGAAGCAGGCTTCAACTTGAGCTGCCATTTTCCGCTTAGTTCTAGTGCTTGACAAATGTCTGTGTACTGTGGGGTGACATTGTTTTTGGACAGTAACAAGTGTAGGGGACCAAAACTGATGTTTGAAGAAGTCCAGGGGACATGTCCCCCCTGTCTCCTCCCAAAAAATGACGTCCATGATTGAAGGGTTAAGCCATCATAATGTGATGTCCAATGTCATAATTGGAAAGGAAATGTTGTTCTCCAGAAGCAAAACAAAAAACAAAGTAAAAGAGATTGTTGTGAGTGAATGCCTAGTGACTAAGATCCTCTCTTTGGGGTTTTTTCCCTAAGTCTGGTGAAAGTCAAAACTGAATTATTTTGCCTTGATTAGACCTTTGAAATTCTACAACAGGAGGGACTGATACCTCACTATATAAATGACTAAGTAAAACATTATTTTATGAAAATAACGCAATGCACATTTGATGGATTTTGTAAATAGGCAATTACCTTAATCATATCACATATCAAAAGGTGTGTGAGTACAAGGCAGCCTTTGAACCTCAAATCAAAGCAGTTCTCTCAGAAGTAATGGGCCAAAACTAGAGAAAACTATTTTGAGAAACTTTTGGAAAAATTATCCCAAAAAATGCTCTGCTATTTGAAAGATAGAAATCATTTTATAAATCCTAACTGACCTAAAACAGGACAGAGGATGTGACTTCTGTTTTTTTTTTAAACTGAAACTGCACTCTATGTGCCTACTTCAGCCTCCATCTATAAACTGTCTTGCTTTGACTGTGAGATTATATTTGCAAAATAGTCTCTTTAAACTTCCCTTTTACAAAATGTGAAATACTATATTTCCAGGGCTTATCAGGCATGAAAGGAGATGAGGGCAAAGCAGGAAAGCCTGGACAAAAGGTGATTTTTATCTTTTTTTTTTCTATAATATGTATGAATTCATATACAGGATTATTTTCCAAATGTTGTGAATAAGTTTTTTGTTTTGAAAAGTTTTGAATCGGTAGTTTTTAATTTAGGGCAGTCATGGGGTGAAAGGCATAACAGGTCCTTCAGGCATTAAAGGAGACATGGTGAGTTTTTATCATGACCCTCACCGGGTCCACACCCACCACCACCCACCCACAGCATTAGACTTCATCAGGCTTATTTAATGGTTTGCAAGGAGGCATACCCATACAGAATTTGTGTAATTGTGTGTCTTTGCAAGGGTGCAAGAGGACAAAAGGGGGCAAAGGGTGAAACTGGGAAACATGGTGCAATGGTAACAACGTTGTTATTTTCAACTGTGAGCAGAACACATATACCACTTGACACTGTGCTTACCGCCTATTAAATAATATGCTTCCAGGGCACTGCAGGAAAATTAGGGGCTGTTGGGGCTCCAGGAGCTAAAGGTCGACCTGGACCTGTTGGACTCCCTGGTTTTCCAGGAGTCAAAGGGATTCAGGGGTCAAAGGTGAGAAAGGTTTTAACAGTGAATCTGTATAAGTAAAATAAAAAAAATAAAAAATACTGTTAAATAGATAGTTTGACTGATAATTATCTATATTTCATCGCTACCCTCCCAGTTGAAGATGTCTTTTGATATGTTTTTTATTATAAAGGGGGAAAACGGCCAGTCAGGACGAAAGGGATCCAAAGGAGCTCCTGGTAATATTGTGAGTTTATTTTATTGGAAAAAATTTGTCTCCTGCGGTTGAGCTAATGTGGAACTCAAAAGTCAGATATTACAAAACAAATTTGTGGTCTTCACATTAATATCAGTTTTTTCCACTAAGAACATCTTATGATTCTTGTAAGAATCAACCCTGCCTCAGACCAGTTATAAAATGCAGCTGATGTAATTTGTCAGGACACAAAACCAAGCAAAATGATCAAATATTTTTTTAGACTTTTTTCGTTCTGTCTATAATTTCCTCTCAATTTCCTCACCAAATATATTAAATTTTTTAAATATCAGTACATAAAGCTACAAAAAGAGCTGTCTGTTCTTGGAGAGATAGGAGAACACCAGTGAGAGACAGACGCTGAGCAGCAGTCTGTCAGTCAGGCCTTTATGACAGTAAATCTGAAAAGAAATGACTTCATTACAAATATCACAATTTGGTTAATAGGTGATTCTGACTGGAGCAAATTACATAATTTGTATTCTGTGAAAGGTGTGTGGATTAAATCAGACACTCCAGATAAACTTATTGAAATACTTCTCTATAGTACATCGGGGTGGCATCATCATCATCATCATCATCATCATATTTTTCTTTTGTTACTAACTTAGGTTGATGGCAAGGAGGCTTTCAGACTTGAAGCTCTTCTAAGATCAATCTTCAGCCTACCCATTGGAAACATGACTGACTGAGTTACATTTTAATGAAAGTTGTTTTATAGGGATCTGAAGGCGAGAAAGGGAATCATGGACCACCTGGAACACCTGGAAAACCAGCAAGTATCTCTATTAAACAAAACACAGTCTTAGATTATTGATCACAGCTGCAGGAATCTATTACAAATAGAAGATAACTTGGCATGCAGATGATTTCTAAAAAACTTGTCTTCTTTATGGCAGGGCTTGAGTGGCTTGGATGGTTTACTGGGGGTTGAGGGTAATGAAGGGTATCCGGTAAGAACACTTTTTTTTTTTGGCTTCTGTTTTCTTCCAGTTGATCTCATAAAAGATCAACATTTTTAAACACAACTTATCTCTTCTGCTCCTTATGAAGGGGGATTTTGGTTTAAGAGGAGCTCCTGGAGCCCCAGGCCCCCCAGGCGAGACAGTAAGGCATAGATAAGTTTGAATCTGGCACATAAAATAGAAAACAAATCATCTGGTTACAAATGTTTTCATATTAATTATAGGGAGAACCTGGATCTCCTGGGATCAGAGGACACACTGGTGCTATAGGGGTTAAGGTATGTTATTGTGGTATTTTACTTTACTTTAGTTTCTTTTTAAAATTTTCGCAAGTTGATAATCCAATACTGACATGTATTAACTCCACACAATCAATTTTCTCAGGGTAAACCTGGTCCAACTGGAGCAAATGGACCTCCTGGACCAGTTGGGCCAAAGGTATACAAGTTCATTTTGAAGCAGAACAAAGGAACCTTTGGAGGATTCATTAACACCAGAGGTCATTTATTATTTAGGGAATCGCTGGACTAAGAGGAGAAAAGGGTGAAGCAGGCAATGATGGAGCACAGGTAAAATGCATAAAGTGCGCTGTTGTGCAGCAACTTTACATTTAATGCTCACCCGGGGAAGGAAAGTGATTATTGCCCGGTTGAATACTCTTGTAACTTGTTATTTAATGAAATAACTTTTGGTCTGTTATATGTTGTTCTGTAAACACACACCCAACTGTGTGTCAGGACAACAAATGAAAGTAGGATTCGGGCTCCAATCAAGGTCAAGCACTAAACTCTGCACACAGTCCAAGTCCATCCATTAATCCCAAGTGGGGTCATGGTGCCTATCTCCAGTTGTCAATGAGCAAGAGGCAGGGTACACCCTGGACAGGTCACCAGTCCATCGCAGGGCAACACACAACCCCTCGCACAGGAGAATTTAGAGAAGCCAATTAACCTAACAGTCATGTTTTTTGGACAGTGGGTGGAAGCCGGAGTATCCAGAGAGAATCCACGCATGCTCAGGGAGAACATGCAAACTCCATGCAGAAAGACCCCAGGCCAGGAACTGAACCCAGAACCTTCTTGCTGCAAGGCAGCAGTGTCACAAATTAGAGTTTAAAACTCTTTGCTGAACTAGTGAAGCTTTACTAGACTAAGCTGGATGTACACAAATAAAATAAAATGGTTGAAAACCTCATTCCATAAATAATGCAATGATGCACATTTTGGTATGGGTTTTATATTAGTGTTTTAACCCATAGTGAAATATAGTTTGTTTAAGCTTTATAAACAACACCTGAAAACATGTCATAGTACCATGCAGTCATCGCTAACTTTTTTATAGCTTATAGTTTTGATGAAATCATCAGAAATCATCAAAACCCAAATTGTTTAGCTGAAAACCCTTTCCCTAACTTTGCCAGAGCTGTGATCTGTGTTGATCTCATGTGTGGAAAGGTGAGGCAGGACGTGTTTAATCGGTCTGTGTTCAGATTGCCTGTGTCTTTGTCCTTGTGGGTGCTCCATGGTTCCAGTCTCTGCTACCTTCAAGTCATTCCTGTAAAATCAGAGAGAAATGTTGCGGAAAGTCTGTTTTTCAGAACCGGATTCGAAGATTTACCAGGTCCACTTAAGCTGTCAGCTGTAAGAAGGTTTTGATAATCATGGCCTGCATGGTCTTCTTTTTAGGGGTCTCTCCAATGTAGATTGCTTGGAGAGCCACAACAAAAGAGGGAGAGCCGTCTTACTGTGCACAGCAGGGGGACATGATGAGATGTTCCTGCGATGTGTTTCTGGGAGTGTTTTGGAGACAGGATGGTACAGATGTTTGGAGACAGCAAGCATTTTGCTCCATCAGTGTTTAAAGTTAATATTATGGTTTATGGCAGGGTTCCTTAACCCTGTTCCACAGGGCACATTGCCCTCCATGCTTTAGGTGTTCCCCTGCCCCCACATGCCTAACCTGAATAAAAAGGTGATTGGAAGGTGATCAAAAGGCTTTTGCTGCATTTGATGGCTGCCGAAGGGGTAATGCAATCATTTATATCGGTGTGCTTGAGTAGAGAAACATATAAAACATGAAGGCCTGTGCGCCCTGAGGACCAGGGCAGTAGTTACATAAATCTCACCTTACAATAAATAGATTTTTACCCTTGCAACACAGAAATTTGTCTTTGATTGAATAAATAAAGAGTTTTTTTTTCTAAATGGTTTAGTATGTTAAATATTTGAAGTGACCTAATTTCATTAGTTTTATTTATAGGGTCTTTCGGGGGATATTGGGATGCCAGGACCCGTTGGTCTGTCAGGGCTAAAGGTAATTTAAATTGTGCAAAATTGTGCAAAAACATTAGACTAATAAGCATAGGGGTTTTTTATATAATCAAATCCAGATTTAACTGATTTCTAAATTTTATCTCAGGGAAGTACTGGTTTGCAGGGCCTAACAGGTCAAACTGGTCAGAAAGGAAAACAGGTAACTCTTTCGTATTTTTATCTTTTTTTAATGTCTTAATCGATATTTGCAAATTGATAACACATACATCCTTTTCCACAGGGGCAAAAAGGGCTTGAGGGGCCACCAGGGCAGAGCGGCGCACCTGGATTTACTGTATGTTAAAAATGAAATTCTGACTTTGAACATACAAAATTATGTTTTGTTTTTTTACAAAAAATAAATTTGATTTTGTAAATAACCCTTTGTAACCATTTTTCCTGCAGGGCCAACTTGGAGAAAAGGTGATTTTCTTTTTATCTTTATTTATATTTTTCTTAATAGGAGATCTTAAGATGGTTAAGATTTCCTATTAATGATTAATTAAGATGGTTTAAAATCTTAATTAAACTATATTTGTAATGAACATTTTTTTTACACTTACATTGTAGTGTTGATGCATTTGTGTATATATATTTAATATGGAATTGTATTGTTACCATTAAAGACATTAACATTTTAAACCCTTTTCAAAATTTTCAAAGGGCATCAAGGGTTTCCAAGGAGACAGAGGACCAAAAGGGGTAAAAGGCAAGCCTGGACCTCCTGTAAGAGACGTCGCTATGATGTGAACAAACACATAATCACTGAATTACCAAAGTCTTATTCATTTTGCACATTTCACTTTTTGTTATGTAGCAACCAGTAACGTCAATGTATAGCTAAAAGCCCCCCAAAAAAACTAAAACTAAAAAATAAATCACCATAATGAACGCATCCTTCCCATGGTTATACATGGTGATGGCAGAACCATACTGTGCAGATGCTTTTCTTTAGCTGAAAGGACAAATCTGGTCAAAAAACGATGGGAAGCAGGATGCAGATTAATTAAGGGAAATCCTACTAGAATAACATGTTATAGGGTTAAAAAACACTTAATACTGGTTAAAGGGATCATCTTTAAGCAGGGTATTGAAACAGAGCTATGTGGAAATCATTTTAATCAAGTGGGAATGCTTATGCATTCCCACTTATTGTTGTTCACTTAAAATTTTTCTGACTCTAACTAGTCCCACAGTTTTCAACCGATTTCAACAATTTTGGTATCAAAACGTTCAGCTTGTTCAGGAGAATTGTGCTATGTCTTTTGGTAAAGATATTTTTTGTAGTTTTCGAGATATTCTGCTTTTTCTGCGTTTTTTTTTGTCCCATTGAAATGCATGTAGAATTCTTAGATTTCAGCAAAATTCAGCTAAAACTTTATCATCTTCGACCTTTAACTACTTCAGCATACTTTCAGCTAGAAACACCATTCAACTTTTAAAATGTTTCCGTGTCTTTCTGCTATTACTGTTTAACTCAGCTTTTTGCTAACTTTTACAGTTTTGCTTCAGTGAATCTTCAAACTTTAAAAGAAAATTTTAAGATTTTCAGATTTATAATGGAAGTCTATGGACGGAATTCTTCAACTGCTAGAGTGCGCGCTCTAGCTTTTCAGCTGTTCTGGTTTTTCCAAACAAATTCTTCTCAGTCCCTCATTTTTCACTCAATTGAAATAAATTATACATCATAACGTAGGGATTTTTGTCAGGATTCAGGAAATATAACCCTCATTTGTGTAGCATTTACGGTTTTCCGACAGTTTGGCCCAGACCACGAAGAAGTCCACACTTCCCCAATAGAAATCCAATGAGAGATTTTCCAAAAATCACAGACAAAATCCAAAACGATACATATTTTCGTATCGCTCCCATTTATTAACTATTTGATGTACTAACATGAAACTTGGTATACAACATCTTCAGAACCTTCTAGCACTCACATTGAAGGAATTTCTTCAATATCATTTATGGTTTGGCTGTTTATCTGACTTGTTTGGGCATAGGAAAACGCTGATTCTGAGAAAAATCCTCAAACTCAGAAAATGCAAATTTTTACATCGTCACCGTGGCCAAATAGTTTTTAGTAGAAACATGAAAGTTGGTACAGTCGAAGCCGAAGGATGGCTGACGCCAACAGTGAAATAATTTTTTAATACCTTTTACGGATTTGGCTCAACACTCGTTTGTTCAGAGGGAAAGTTTTGCTTTTGACAGCTCAGCTCTACCATGGAACTCCATGTTATTTAATGAGACCAGCAGGTGTGACAAACCTTTGTATTTCTCCTTCCCATTAAGGTTATGAATGAGCTACAACCATGAACGTTATCCCAATTGGAGACAAAGGACAGCTGTCACTTAGACTGAAAGAATTTTCTAGATACCATTTTCGGTTTGTCTTCAGCACTTGTTTGTTCGGAGCTGATATTCCCATTCAAAAAAGCCTGAGAGGAAAGGGACGAAAGTGAAGCGCGTTTCTCTCCAAAGATGGCTAATGGAGGGAGACAACACTGATTTAACATTTGGAAGTGGATACAATATGACTACTGGCCATGACCCTTCCCTTTACACCCAACCCTGATAGACTTTCAAAATAAGACGCCGGGGACCCTACAAAATAAAAGCCACTACATTAAACTCATATTTTTTTCCCATCATATGGCTGAACATTATAACCCAAACTCAACCACTTTTTAAAAATTAGACTCTAGGGGCCTTTTCAAAACACACCCCACAGCAAATTTCAAAATAAAAGCCTCCCATTGCCACTTCATCTACTGCCCTAATAACAGGGGAAAAGAGTGATTTAACGATTGGAAGTCATCAAGTATCATGGCTGGGTCTGACCCTTTCCTCAACACACAACCCTGCTAGACTTTCAAAATAAGACTCCAGTGACCCTACAAAATAAAAGCCTCCATGTTATACTCGCCTATTAATTGATGCAAATGGCTCAGCATTATGACCCAAACTCTACCAGCTTGATTCTATTAGACTCTGGGGACATTTTCAAAACATACCCCAGAGCGAATTTCACAATAAAAGTCTCCCATTTATGCTCTAATACATTATTTATTCATCCAATAACATGGAAAACCAGTGATTTCATATTTAGAAATGGATTCTATATCACTGCTGGGCATGACCCTTCCCTTGACACACATCCATGATAGACTTTCTAAATAAGACTAAAGGGACTCTACAAAATAAAAGCCTCTTTCTTACATACACTCATTCATTGTGCCGTATGGTTCGTAGCTATGACCCAAACTCAACCAATTTCTTCAAATTACACTACCAAGGCCTGTTGACCACACACCTCAGTGCATATTTCTTAACCAGGTTCTTAAATTTACACTGTAATAAAGCATGTGCTAACCTCGTAACATGCAGCCTATGCCTTACAATGGTGCTGTCATCAACACAGCGGCTCGTAACATGCAGGTTAAATTTTGTTGATAAATTCAGCTCCTTAAGTGGTATTAGCTCTCTTTCTATAAGCTTCTCTCTCTGTCCTTCCTCTGCTTCTCATGGTCGGTCTTGCTGTTATGTGCCCCAGGCACATTATGATTTTTGTCCATTTCTTTTCTTTGTTTTCTTATAAACTTTAGTTGAAGGATCTTTTGTTAATATATTTTAGGATTCTTTTAGTAAGTTAATTATGTTAATTTGTGGTGCTGTCGTCCGCCTATAAATAGGCTGGCCTTCAGCACGTTAGCGCGTTCCTTTCGCGTTCCTTTCCAACCTCGTTTTTGGACGCCGCTTTCCACCTGCTCATTTGCTCCATCGTGCGCGGTGCGCACTTGTCTTGTCGCTGCGGCCTGCAGCGGACGTTCCAGCCTGCCATGTGGTATTTTTGTTAACTTTTTCTTACTTTTTTCTCGAGGTTTTGGCCTGGCGGGACCGGTAGTCCTGTTTTCGATTTTTCTTTTGCTTAGGTTATTTTTTGTCTTTAGTCCGGTATCAGTAGGGGCTTCGACGGCCCTGTATAGGGTTGGCCCCCTGCTGTACCGTTTTATTCTGTTTGATCGGCCTGCCAGGTCCAACTTTCTGTTGTTACTTTGGGTTTCTTTTTTTTACTTTTTGGGGCACGGGATTTGAGGGCCGTTAACTATTTTTCTCTTCGCAGAACATCTGAGGAAGCTGAACTGAGTACAACTAAAACGAAGAGAATTTATTAATAAAATATCTTTTTTTTGAACCCTCATTTTTGTCTCGTGTCCTCAAATATGTTGTGTCCTTGGTGGGCGTAACATATTTTTGGGGGCTTGTCAAAACAATGTTTGCCTTTAGTGCCCTCCGATATGTTGTGTCCTTGGTGGACGTGACATATTTTTGGGGGCTTGTTTAAACAAAGTGTGCCTTTTAGAGACAGGTCGTGTCCTACGGTTGGTTCTTGTTTGTTGGCGGTTGTGCTGGGTTTGTATGTATTTTTGCGCAGCTGACGCGCGTTGCGCTGATTAGTTAGAGCATTCGGTTCTGGTGGTGCTGTAGCTTTGTTAGTGCAGAGGTGTTCCTGATTTGGTGTGGCCTGATTCCAGGGGTAGACATGGAGTTTGACCTGGATGAGTTTGTTCGAGGGCCCACATTGGACACTTTGCATAAATGCACAAAGGATCTGTTGCTGGTAATGAACGTGCGCCCGCTCTGCATAAATCTATCGGTTGTTTCCAGTGAACGAGATGACGCAGGTGTCGGGGCAGCTGCAGATGCACGGGAAGCCGAGCATTTTGAGGTTATTGTGGATTGGACGATTTGACTCTGGGGTTTTTGTGGCTTTGTGTGTGTGCTTGACAGTTTGTGTGGCTAGATTCCAGGGGTGGACATGGAGTCTGACCTGGATGAGTTTGCTCGAGAGCCTACATTGGATGGAGTGTTCCTGTTTAGTGTGGCTAGATTCCAGGGGTGGACATGGAGTTTGACCTGGATGAGTTTGCTCGAGGAGCCACATTAGATGTCTTTAGTGAGTGCACGAAGGATATTTTTCCTGCTGCAGTTTTAACAGAGTCTTGATGAATCGCCGAAGGAAACCTCATGTGCAGCTGATCCATGTCGTTTAAAGGAACTTCAGGTCAATTTTGGACAGCTGGCTTTGATAGAGGGAAGAGCTGTTTTTTGAAATACGCAGACTGAAGTTGGTGAATTGGATGTATTTGCTGCGCTTGGTGGCATTGAGAGCGCATTGGATCATGTCTTGGATGTGAGAGCTATGTGACGCGTTTTTATTGTAGGAAGAGGGGACAACGTAGTGGCTGACGCACTTTCCTGACTCTAGTCCCGCTTTCCTTTTAGCGTGTTTTTATTGTAAGAGGAGCAGACAATGTCATGGCCGACGCACTCTCATGACTCTAGTTCCGCTTTCCTTTTTTTTCTCTGAATGGGTTGAGCTTTGCTTCGGACCCCATTCAGAGTCTTTGGGTGGGGGTGTTATGTGCCCCAGGCACATTATGATTTTTGTCCATTTCTTTTCTTTGTTTTCTTATAAACTTTAGTTGAAGGATCTTTTGTTAATATATTTTAGGATTCTTTTAGTAAGTTAATTATGTTAATTTGTGGTGCTGTCGTCCGCCTATAAATAGGCTGGCCTTCAGCACGTTAGCGCGTTCCTTTCGCGTTCCTTTCCAACCTCGTTTTTGGACGCCGCTTTCCACCTGCTCATTTGCTCCATCGTGCGCGGTGCGCACTTGTCTTGTCGCTGCGGCCTGCAGCGGACGTTCCAGCCTGCCATGTGGTATTTTTGTTAACTTTTTCTTACTTTTTTCTCGAGGTTTTGGCCTGGCGGGACCGGTAGTCCTGTTTTCGATTTTACTTTTGCTTAGGTTATTTTTTGTCTTTAGTCCGGTATCAGTAGGGGCTTCGACGGCCCTGTATAGGGTTGGCCCCCTGCTGTACCGTTTTATTCTGTTTGATCGGCCTGCCAGGTCCAACTTTCTGTTGTTACTTTGGGTTTCTTTTTTTTACTTTTTGGGGCACGGGATTTGAGGGCCGTTAACTATTTTTCTCTTCGCAGAACATCTGAGGAAGCCGAACTGAGTACAACTAAAACGAAGAGAATTTATTAATAAAATATCTTTTTTTTGAACCCTCATTTTTGTCTCGTGTCCTCAAATATGTTGTGTCCTTGGTGGGCGTGCACATAGGTTTGTAGATTTTCACTCCTCTAAGGATGACGTTGTTTTCTTTATGCTGATCAACCAACACATTTTAAATTATTTCAAATTGTTTTGCCAAGTCTTGACATTTCCACATATGATTTCAAAATTTTGTAACTTATTCAATACCATCTTCCTCAACATTTTACTTCTCATCCTTAAGCTACTATTTTTTCTTCAACCAGATAAGATTCAAGTTTTTCATTGTAATTTATTTTCTGATTCAGCTAATTTAATATTTTTCAGCCTATGCTGAGAACTTTGGCTTCATTCTGCTCTCTTTCTGGACAGGAATTAAGCTTTTCTGTTTGCTGCTAATTCATCACACGCCTGACATGTTTCTGGGCAGTAGGTGGCCCCCCCTTCAAAATTTCTTTATACATTTTTCTAGAAACTTGGGAGACATTATATTAAGACCCTTCTAGTGCACACATTAAAGACATTTTTTGATATTATGTATGGTTTGGCTGTGCAGCTTTTAAGATGAGTTTGTTTCTGCCATTTTACTGCCAAATGATTCTACCCTACAAAATCTTCAGATGATTCAATTGTTTTCTGCAGTTTGAACTTTCTGATGACTTCCTATCACATTTTCATATACTCTTCAGGTAATTTCAGCTTTTTTCATTCAGCAAAAGCATTCCCACTTTGATGTTTCTCCGAAACAGCTTTTTCTAGTTGCATTTATGTGTCTAAATTGCCTAGAAAAAGTGCAGACCCAAAATCAAAAGAGAAAAATAGATGTTAACAATTTAGTTTGACAGAGAATAGGAGATTTACAAAGAAAAGGAATTTTTACTTTTTTAAGATTTCAAAGCCACAAAATACCTGCAGCTGTAAATTTGTAAAAAAAAAAAAAAAAAAATGGTTTCTAGAAAACATTAGCATACAAATGCACACCACACTTTTCAGATTTTATAAAAAAAAAAAAAAAAACATTTTAGAAACAGAAAAACCTCACATCAAAATCAACTAAATAGCTTAAACATTTGGTCAGAGATGGGAAGTAACGAAGTACAAATACTTTGTTACTGTACTCAAGTAGATTTTTCTGATATTTTTACTTTACTTTACTACTTATTTTTATGGCGACTTTTTACTTCTACTCCTTACATTTTTACACAAATATCTGTACTTTCTACTCCTTACATTTTAAAAAATTGGCTCGTTACTTTACAATGGAGTTACCGTTATTATTTTTCACGTCATCAATACCAAATTCAATCTAATAGGATGGGAATCTACGTTGCATTTGACGCACCACTACAAGATGAATCGACAGATTCGGCAGTATTCATTCATAGCAAATCATTGCAGCTTAGTGGCGGTGGCGTTAGCATAGTAGTATGGACGACGAGATGATTGAAAATGAACACAACGGAGATCTAGTCCTATTGGCAGACATCCATTTAAAATGTAGGCAACGGCATGAAAAAAGTGGTTTCTACTTTTACTTTTATACTTTAAGTAAATTTACAAGCCTTTGTTACTTTTACTCGAGTAAAGAAGTTTAATCAGTACTTCCACTTTTACCAGAGTATTTTTTAACACAAGTATCTGTACTTTTACTCAAGTACGGAAAGTGAGTACTTTTGCCATCTCTGCATTTGGTTATATTCCCAAAAATGTGGGAAAGGGTTAAAACAGTAGGACTTATTACATGTATTGTAATGTTGCCAAAACATTTTTGATTTTCCCTTTTTTTCACTACAGGGACAACCAGGATCACCAGGCAGGCTCAGAGGAGATCTGCCAACTGAACAAAGGCACAAATCGAGATCCAGTAAAAGGCACACGCAAAACAATTCTCAACAATCATTTTCTCTCCAAAAACAAGATGGAAAAATACTCGTCAGTATAGAGTTTCTTCTCTTACAGATGTTGCTTATCTATTAATACTTGAATCTAGCAATCACTGCAGTTTTAAGAAGATTACTGACTCCTCTACAGCAGGATCCTCTGATGTCAAGGTGGTCTGAAGACAAGGAAGCTGAGGAATCATCCACTTTGTCATTAGGAACAAAAAATAACCCTGGCACTACCTGCTATGAATTGAAACTTGTCCGTCCGTATCTGGAAGACGGTGAGCATCTGTTGAATCCCCAAATACAACAATATGTATATTTAATGGAGATGCAGCATATGTGAAAAACATTTTGGTGAATACTGAAATAACAAGGTGACTTAGTAATCAAGATTTTTAATGTCTATCCACCTTCAGTCCAAGTAAATATAGACACCCAGATAAGTGGGCTATCCAGCTACTGGGTTGTAAATAAAATCTGTGTGTTTTCAACACAATATGGTTTTAAAAAAGTGGAATGGATAGTCTCATTTTTTGGCACAGAGATTACTTGGTTGCAGTTTCTTGATAACTTGAGCAACTTTTTTTTTACCTGACAAAACCTTATACTGTTCATTAAAACCTACATGTTTTAACTTATTATTTGTATATATATATATATATATATATATATATATATATATATATATATATATATATATAATATATATATATATATATATATATATATATATATATATATATATATATATATATATATATATATATATATATATATAGGCTCATATGTGTGTGTGTGTGTGTATACATATATGATAAGCCTGTATATAATGTGTAACCCTAATTTGTGGATATGATTTCCAGGTTCCAATTATTCTGATTGTTTAGGTTCTTTCTTTGTTTTAGGTTATTTTTACATGGACCCCAATCAAGGCTGCACATGTGATGCTGTCAAAGTCTTCTGCAACTTCACAGCAGGAGGAACGACCTGCATAGGTCCCCGAAATCCACAGGTAGTCAGGGAAATGAGGATTAACCAATTTGTCTGAAATTATTTCACTACTAACATTCAGGGTTAGAGCTTTAAACAGATGTTTTTGTTTTTCCCAATAATTATCAGAAGATTTTTTTTTTATCTTAAGGCTGCTATTTCTTAGACCTCAGATCATTAGGAATTAAATAAGAGACAAATCTTCAAATACTGTATCATTGTAGGAAGGCTATCAGACCGACAAAAAAAGAACACATAACCTAAAGTTGAATTTTTGTTGGTCAAATTGCACTATTTCTATCTATATGACCTTTTTTTAGACTAGTACAGAATAAATATGAAGACTTCAAGATTTGATATCTTTCTATTTTAGATATTTAATCCTCTCTGGCTGAGTAAAGATGGTTGTTTCCCATTGTTTGATTCTTCATTTCTAATCAAAAACATGTGGAATTTTTCATTTATAATAGACCAGTAGGGACGAGGAAAATAATTGCTGTATGTTAAGGACAAAATGTGATATAATATTGTTGCCCACAGACAACAGTTTTGTTCCTTATGTCAATACTGTACTTGCTTACATTATAAAAATGATTTAAAGGTGTAGAAAAATGTATACATTTTAATTTTTATCTTGCATTGACATAACTATGGGAGTAATATTTTATTCATTAGATTAAAATGAGTCAGAAACCAGATATGGATCAAAAGATGTCGATGCTGTGGTTTAACCAACAACAAAATGGACACAAAGTAAGTCTCAAATAAAATTCTGTTAGATTATTTGTTTTTTCTTTTTCTTTGCTCAACATTTCTTCTGTCTTTCTGTGGACAGTTTGAGTATACTACTCTGGACGTTGTGCAGCTGAGGTTTCTGAGATTCCACAGTCAGACTTCTGTCCAGCACGTCACTCTCAGATGTACAGGAAACCAGTCCAGTCCCACAACCATGGCCAGTTTGACTGTATACCTGCGGGGAGATTCTGGCCAAGTCATTGATTCACGCCTCATTACAGCTTCCAGAAAAACATGTGAGGTGAGAGAAAGAAGAAATCTGTCAACATATATTCTCCATCTGTTCAGCAATGTATTGCATGAATTAGAAAACACACTGCTTTTACAAGATATGTGAAATTATGGTGACAACAAAATAAGAGTGATATAAGAGCACTTCACACCATACTGGCACATGATTTAAGTCTTATCAATGGTGTCTCTAACTAAAAGCGTGATATTGAAAAATATCTGTTTGCAGATTATATTTGGAGTAATTGCACTACTGTCACTATCTGTATGTTTTTGGGGTTTGTTTTTTCTCTGGGTTTACATTCAGCATCTTTTTGGCCTTTGATCATTCTTGATCTCTAAATATCATTGTTTTTCTTCTTGAATTCAGTTGGTTAAGAGTTAGCAAATGATGGTGTCATGTGAAACATAAGGTGCACTTGGTACCAAATGACGGCAGTAGATGCAACTTCAGGTGCATTTACTTCTTCCAATCAGACTGTGGAAGTCATTGTCAGTTAATGCTTGAATTTACCCATGAATATATATATGCCCAAATCTCAGGCTTCATAGATATTTATATATATATATACCTTCATACATTAAATCAAATATGGTGAAATAAGCTGTTGATTCTTAGAAATCTCAGTACATGATTCCTGAATGTTTTTTGTTTATCTCCTGTTTAAGTGTTTTTTTTTTTTTACTTTTTATTTAGTATTCAATTTTGCATTAAAACAAACAAGAAAAAAAAATGTGAACAGAGAAGGGCGATAAAAATACAGCAAAAGTATATAGAGATAGCACTAGATAACCTGAGCCACTCTAACTATAAGCTTTATCAAAAAGAAAAGTTTTAAGCCTAGCATTTAAAGCAGAATGGATGTCTGCATCATGGACTAAAACTGGTGGTTGGTTCTACAGGAGAGGAGCCTGATAACTAAAAGATTCACATCCTATTCTACTTTTTGAAATTCTAGAAACCACTAGTAAACCTGCAGATTGAGAGCGAAGTGCTCTGTTAGGAACATAAGGAACAATTATATCTCTGAAATAAGATGGAGCTTATATCAGAGATATAATTAAGAAATTAGGAAAATGAGGATTTTATATTATATTCTGGATATAGCAGGTTAAAGCCAGAATAGAATTGAGAATAATTAAGAAGATACATTTTCTGAATTACCAAGAACTTCAATGTAAGAGATGCAGTTGGAGGGAAAGAAAGGCAAGATCATCTCTGTAACTGTGAGCTCCAGAATAATTACAGCCAGTGCAGTGCTTGCATTAGCATCTGGGAGATGTGATTGTGCTTGTATGTACAGCAAGCAGATAGCCAATGGAAAACACTGGTGGGCTTTCCTGATTATTTTAGCTGATCACGTTTTCTTGAATGAAGAATGAGTTCACAGCATCCCTAAAGACAAATCTAAAAATTCAAATATGATTTTGAAAGAACTTCTCTTCGGAATACAGTCAACTCTCAAACAAATTTGAACAGATTTGACTGTATGGAGGAGGCGACCATTTGTTATTCAGGAGTTAATTGATTTGTAAAGTTGTTTTTGATAAAAAAAATAATAATAATACAATTTTTTGTTTTGTTGTGTCACCATGGAAAGAATATCGCTGAATTTTTACAATAACATTTGCTAATATAAAGATATTTGTCTATAGAGAAAGAAAACTGAATCTTTCCTTTCTCTCTGGTGTTTTTTCTAGGTCGAGATGGTGGTGAAGGTCCGAGGTAGCACAGAAATGTATCAAGGAGACATGGAGTTACTTCCTGTTAGAGATCTGGGAATAGAGCTCAATAGTCCTCCTAGCTTTATTTCTGAGTTCTCTGTAGTTTTGGGACCCATCTGCTTCTTGTGAGCAATATATTGTGTGTGTGTGTGGGGGGGTCAGATTAATCAGAGTTTGATTGTAAAATAATATATATATAAAATATACTGTATATTATCCATATAGTATATGAATTGTATCTATTTATTTTGATTTAAACATTTTTTCTTCATCTTAAATTTATTATGTTTGATCAAACACGTATGTACTATTTTTTTTTTTTTTTTTTTTTTTTTTTTTTTTTTTTTTTTTTTACAGTGTCCTGTCTGGCAAGGTGGCAATAAGAATAATTGTCTTGATGCCAAAAGGAGCCCAACAGATTTTACTTTCACAAGTGTAGCGGTATCGCAATTGCCATACCGCTCCACTTGTTTCATGTATATAAATTGCTTTATTATAATTATGCAGGGAGTTTTACAGTTCATATGGACACTGCAATATAAGTAGAGCAGAAAAACAGAAGAAGAAGAAGGAAAAAGAAAAAGAAAAAAACAGGACAAAAGATGAAAGAAAGAGGAGATAGGAAGGAGACAATGACAAAACATTTTCAGTCTGCTTCAACACCTGTAATGAGATGGAGAAAAAAAAAGAAAAAAAAAGAAAAAAAGAACAGCACAACCAAAAAACATGGTACGAGATATACAATAAAGCAAACACCTTGAAACTATCACTAAAGTAATATTATTAAGTCTGACATGTACTCTGTGTTACCTGAAGATATGAATGTGGGGTTTCTGTTTGGAAGTGAATCTCTAAGTACCTGAAGCCTAGCACCTGTAGTTGTTTGTGAGGGTGAACTTGTGCATGTAAAGTTTTAACCATAGAAAAAAATGCTCAATAGTGGTTGTGGAGAGCCGGAGAGGCACACCCCCCAGAGCACTGAGTCCAGCACCGGGAGACCCAAAGCCCCAGGCGCCCAAGGGGACCCCAGAAGCGAAGGCACCAAGGCGGGGCCAGCCCCGGAAATCAGACCCCACCAAGGCAGGAGGAGAGACAGCCACGAGGAAGCCCCCCAGCCACCGCCATGCCGGCGCCCCGGGGAGCCGCGGGGACGAGTCCGCGGGCCCCGCCGGCAGCCGGCCACCCCGAAGTAGGGCCGGGCGCCGAACACCAGCCCCCCCACGGCGCCGACCGAAACGCCCCAGCCCCACAGAGCACCGAAACACGCCCCGCCCCCCCGCACCAAGCCCCGGCGACCGGCCGCAACACCCACCGCGACCGCACCACCCAGGAAAACACTAAGACGGCCCCGCCCCCGCCGGGGCCCATGCGCATCCGCCGCGAACCGGCCACGAGCGCCGCGGGACCCCCCCAAAACGCCCCCCGCCAAAAGCGC